ACATACAGGCTGTATGAGCCTAGACAAGTTCATTGCACGTGCCACCCCGCACGCCGCACCCTGCACCACGCCCCTCCCCACCTTTCCACCTCAGCGTACTTCCTTCCCCTTCCCCTTCCCCGGCCCCTCCCAACTAGTGCCTAACTATTGTGTGCGAACGTCTCCGGAACTCGAAACCATTCCCCACTCTAGTCGCAATTTTTTGTTTACTTTTTCATGGCAGGCTCATACAAAATTTGCCTCAAAAAGGGGGTATAGGGGGGAGGCCTTCTGTCAAACCCGTTTAGAGTTCAACTCAAAAATACGCTCTTTGAGTTCTTTGAGCCGTGGCTGCAGTGCTCTTAAAAATTGAACTGGCTTTTCGGTATAGTTCGCTTTTTCAGAAACCTGTTTTGTGGTAAGCGTTCATTTTGGTTCAGGAACCTAAGTCGGGGCTTAACGGTGCGGGTGTCTGGGTTGTGGGTCTGCAACATCGACCACAACTGCACACACAATTCTGCAGAGTCTAGTCTCCACAATGGTTGCGAGAGTATTCACCTAGAAGTGGTTGCTTGTTTCCTAGATAAGCCAAAGCGAAATTTGAAGCGAAATTATTCAAAATGCAGTCAATATTGGCGGATATTTCTGTGAAGTCCAGCAATCTATTTAGTTGCGAGTAGAAGAAATTGACTGAACATTTTGTAAAAAAGCTGTTTTGACAGCAACCTATATAATGAATCCTTCGAAGCCCAAGTATTACATACTACATATTTTCGCTATACTTTCGGCACCAAACTCAAATGGAAATGTCCTCAGAAGCTGCAGTAATTGAATTTTTCTATATGTATAACTATTGGTCTACAAGTATGTTTTTTATAAAAAAATATTTAAAAGTATGTTGCCTTCACAATTTTATTTTATTATTTATTTTAGGCTGTGTATTTTTTGGTAATAACTCGTCATCTCTCTATCTTCTCACCATTTCTTTCTTCAAACAAACTAAATCTGCTAAATGTCCTTAGAACCTGCCCTAATCGAATTTTTCTATATGTATAACTATTGGTCTATGTTTTTTATAAAAGAGAATTTTAAAGTAAGTTGCCTTCATAATTTTATTTTATATAATATCTCGCCATCGCTCTATCTTCTCACCATTCCTTTCTTCAAACGAACTAAATCTGTAAAATGCTTCCGCAAAACATCGTATTTAGCAACATTAAATATTGTCCAATATTTTATCTAAGATTAAAACAGATATGCAATTATTTCTACTTTTTGAATTCTTCTATTCCCATTTCTGTCTATTGGATTTCTTTTTACACACTTCCTCTTCTGCTATCATCTTTAAGCAGTTAAGCAGGTTACCAGCCTAGTTCTACGTCTATACTTATGTTCTTTTCTACAAGCAATAATCATAATGGCAATGGATAGCAAAAACTAAGCTATTGGATGAGCGCCAAAGAAGAGTCTTCAGCTTTAGATAGTTAAGCAGTCTATCGTCATTCTACATTTATCGTTCTGTCAATATTCATTTGATGTTTTGTCCCGTATGCAATGTTTTCATTCTTTTGCAGTTAAAAGGGCAATCATTCTACACAACGCTCTTTCTTATAAGTGTGTTAAGTAATAAGATTGTGAAAGAAGACACTTAACTTCTGGATTGTCGTAGAAAACAAACATAGGGCTTTTGCTGTACACTAAAGTCTTAAAACAAGAGGAGCTTTGGAAAACAAAAACCTAAACAAAACCCCAACTGAAAAGTACTGTGTGTGTGTCTTTCTCTGAAGAATTATTAGTGGCGCTTTTTATGGGCCGTCGCGGCCAGATGATAATCACGACATGAAACTATTTTCGAAGCACTTAAAAGAGACGCACATAAATTTCACCGAACGCAGAGGCAAATGGCATCGTTAAAAAGCACGGACTGCCGCCGCTGCTGCTGTTGGAGGGGCTGGATATATGGACATGGACGCGAGTGTTTCTTCTTTTTAATTGCAATTGCGGCAACGACTTCGATTCGGGTACTCAGCGAACAACAAACAACGAAATAAAATCGAAGCGAAAGTCGGTTGCAAGTTCTGCTTCCTTTTTCTTCCTCCAAGCCAAATTAAAGCCAATGCAGCTCTGAGGAGGGCCAGGGAACAGGCGGGGAGCAGGCTGGGAACAGGCATGTGTGCCATCAATTTTCGCACCAAATGCGCGGGCGTGTGCGGCCACAACTGGCGGGGAGGGTGAGGGGGTGAGCGGGTGAGGACTGTCTCATTTGGTTAATTTATTGTAACGGCAACTGACACGCGCCGCCGTCCATGGAGGCGGAAGGGTGAAGCGCACTCTCCTTGTCGGTTATAAATCGAGGCGACCTTCTTCAAGTCGTTCGACAAAATGAAAGAAAAGAGAAAACATGATGTCATGCAGTCGATCCTATCGGGAACGATGCGAGTGAGATTTTCGATTTTTTAAAAGAATGCCTCATCAGCAGCACAGCATCGTATAAAGTGATTGTCCCAATCTTTGTTATTATTTAAATAGGGCTGTTAAAGGGGCACGCAGACAGGCAGGATTAGCGCTCCTAATCTGATGATGATGATGATGATGATGTGGCTATGGCGACACAAATGAGCGATTCAAATTGCTTTGACATTTTCCAGGGGCCAACGGTGACAGCTGTGTGGTTACATCTTGAATGGCACGGTGTGAAATGTTTTGGAAGAAAAGCAACAACTATAATTAGAAAGCGATAAAGAAGGAAGAGGGGACCAATGCAGACAATGAGTGCCTTTCTAGAGATGTTCCTGCACACATAATCGGATATTTGTGGGCAATTCATCAAGGGGAATCGTACGAATTATCTTAATATTGTAATCAAATTTAAACTAAACCTTGAAGATTTGAAGGCATAAGTAACGCGTATAACCAAATGATTTGAAATCTAATTCTAAAGATAGAGTTAGCTTTGCTTTCGTCACTGTTGAGCCCGCAATTCTCGACGCTTACTATATATAGAGAAGAATTCAGATTATTTTGTTTTAATTAAACACAACACAGCAACGTTTTGTTTCTCGGAATTTGTGTCTAGGTGTCAATTGTACACAATTAAAGAGAAGGCGCGCCCATTTGTGCCACTAGAGAGCTTCACTTGTAGAGCTAAAGCCTAGCAAGGGGTTTCAAAGCATATATTAGACACACGCACAGCTTCAAGTCATTAACAACGGCTCTGGGTGTCTAGGAAAGGTGCAAGTCGCAAGTCGCAAGTCGCAAGTCTAGGCACTCCAGACACGCACGATGTGGCCGACAGACAAACTTCACGACAACTTGAATGCACATTTTGTCAAGGGGACTGGCTGATGACTGAGGAGAAGGGCGCACAGTGGAGGGGAAGTTGCCATTGAAGGTGCAGACAATAGTCCCCTAACAATGCTGCAGTTACAGACATCTGACAGTTGGCAGGACAGATAAGTCCACATGTAAGGCAGTCTGTTTCTCGACAATGTGCCAAATTGCAAAGAAGAAGAACAGCCACCAACTGGGGTAGGAAAGGGCACGAATGTGTGAAGATTGGAAGATTGGGGGACCCATCTCTCTGCCCACTTGTGCCGACTATTTAAGGCAAGCATTTGAGGACTTATGTGACAGGCGACCTTTTCCGATACTATCAGCAAAATGTCTTTCCCAAAATCTAGACAATGAAGGGACCTCATCGGCACGAATCCATTTTTAGACAGTATACATATTTGGGCATTTGCAGATTTACTCAACATTGAGTCGAATTTCTCTTTAAATGGAGACCTTCTGTTGTTTTCTGTGCCCTCATTTTTTGTGCCTTGTAGTACCTCCTCCTTACCTTTGAGAGGAAAGAAATGCTCTCATTTAGGAAGGTCCACCCCAAGATGTTTTAACTAAGCGCGACTAATTCTTGCCTCCAAGTACACTCCATTAATGAGTAACATATTTTTCGGGGAAAGTCTATAAAAAAAATTGAAAATTTCTTTGGCAGTCGGAAGGCGAATGAACTTCGGTCTCAGCATTCATTTCTCACTCCTCTTCGCGCGCGACCATAAAAAATTTCCAATTCTCAACACATTCTCGCTACAATTTTGTTATGGATTGCGTTTGAAACAACAACAACAACAACAATACCAGCAGAAACTTCAACAATAACATGCCACATGTTGCAATGCAAAGCAAACAAACAACAACGAAATACTTGTGTTGAATGTCGATTATGGAATACCCTGGAGTTTTGATCTTTGAAAGCGAATAGATTTCTCAATCAATTCGAGTTTCAATTATCTTTGGATGATATGAAAAAAAAACCAAAAGACTATTGGTTCAAAATAAAAACAATAAGAAGAAAAGTTCTGCTACAGAAAACTAATTCCTACAATAAAGCTAAAATTAGTGCACATTATTTGTTGTTTATATCCACTTATCTTTAATTTTTGGAAGCTTCTGTCCAAATGGAGTGAAAACTTTGTTTCCTTAAAATATTCCGCAATAGGTGAGCCTTGAAAATGTTGTCTTTTTTATTTAGAAAATTATCAAAAAGTTTTAACTATTTTGCCAATCCATCATGGCACCTTTGACTTTGGCTTTTGCAAATACCCTTCTGTCAAATGATTTATTTTAATGTACTTCTACATACTGCCGAAGTGCCCGCTCTATCAACAAATGGAGTCCCCCCTTGCAGTCGCTTGGAATGCCATTTGTTTACGAAAATCTACGAAAATAGAAATTTCAGAAACAATTCCAATACATGGAATCGGAGCAGCAGAACTCATGGACGGACATTGAAATCGCCAGCACCTCAACAGCAGGGGCGGACGTAATGTCTCTGACGGCCCCCAGCCGTAGTCTCAGCACCTCGTCCGTAAGGGCGGACGCAATGTCTGTGACCGGCCCCCACCGCAGTTTCACCCCCGACGACATCGACGATGTATTGGATCTAAGTTTCTCCATACGCGAAACACTGCTTTGCGCATTTTGTATAGCTATTCCTATAATATTGATGACTTTGCTCTTACTTGGATTATTGTTGGCCTCACGCCAATGCGCCGCAGCACGGCAGCCGAAGGTGTTGCGTCCAACGCTCTTGCAACAGCTCCACTTCTTGCCCGACCAGAGACCAGGATGATAACGATACGATTTCGGCGTATTGCTGTCGTCGCAAACTGTAAAGAAAGTAACAAGAGAAGCGGATTGGGTTTGTGAATAAAGACTTGGTTGGCGCAGCTGTTGCAACAACGATATGACCTTGTGCCACAGCATTTGGCAATCTCACGACCAATATTTGCAATTTAAAGCCCCGTCTGCCTTCTGACTATCATTAGTTTTTAATCGCGGCTGTGGCTACGATTAAAACTAGAGATGAGCGTGATCGAAGGCCGTTAAGTTCGTGAGCTTGGTGAGTGTAAAAATTAGCGTGAAATTCCGAAGGAGTTCACACTTTCACATCTTTGGAAAATTGGTAAATTGTAAAGAAAATTAGCGCACTACTTTGGTATCTTCTTTGCCTAAAGCTTAGATCAATAACAATATCATAACCAATGGAAAGAAAGAAAAAATAAGTTGTATTTAAATAAAAGGAAGAAGGCAGATAATTGCAAACTATTGAGTATACATTGCACAATTATTATTGAAACAAATTATTCTTTGTAAACGTGATTGTCTTTCTTTTTTTGTCACGCGCTCATATCTAGTTATTATAAGTAACTAACAGCTGTACAGATCGCGCAGCTTTCGTTATTTTGGGTCAACAGTTAACGATTTCGCTCACCTTGCCGTATGGCGTGTATCCACTCGCTGCGCTGCTCCTCGCTATTCGCTATCACGTACAACGTGTACTGAGGAACAGCTCCTCGGCTCTGCTGCTGCTGCTGTTCACTGTTGCCGCCCTGCTCCGCTTGCGCCTGGACTGTTGTTTCACAGTAGCCCACTTGAAATGGGTAACCCTGGCGGTTGGGAGAGTCAGAGGGAAAGTGGAGAGTGGAGAAAGCGTTAAATCAAATTAACCCACCACTAACACATTGACTTCACTACTTACATCCGGCGCAAAGGGATCTCCGCCCTCGCCGTTAACCGTCGCCTCCTCGACCAGTCGCACGCCTCTCAGAAAAATGCGGCCACGCTCGCGACGACGCTGCAATAAAAAAATGGGGAGAGAGAGAGCGGGATATAAGTTTCAAGCTGCACAAAAATGCAGAACTTTCTGCCGTCGTCGCTAATAAACTGCCACAAAATTTTTCGCCCTTTATGTTGTGCCTCATTCTGCGGCACTTAAACGAAGTCGAAGCGTCCTTTTTTCGGGCTTGCATGCAGGGACAGGGATGGCAGTGTTGCCAATTTAGCCTTTTCCCCGACAGTTTATAAATAAATACTATACTCTAATAAACAGATTTTCATTCTTCCTCTTGTTCTTTTTCACTAAACTAAAGGTCTGTTTTCGTGTTATCATAAACATGGTAATACCTTTTTTTAAAAGCTCCATCTAGCTTGTTGCAATTGCAATTTTAGCCATTTTTTGACACTCAAAAATTGGCAGCACTGCCAGGAAGGGAGTGGAGGGAGTGGAGGGAGTGGAGAGAGTGGGGTTGCAATTGCAAGAAGGGTTTTAATTCCTGCACGTGTGCAGCGCGTCGACACTTAACCGCACTTAACGGAGGAGGCTACGTGTTGCATATGGCGTCGATGTCAGAGTTGGTGTCGGTGTCGCTTTTGGGGCTTCTTGAAATTGCCCGGACAGGCGTCTCTCTCCTTCCTGCAAACTCAATTAAGTCAACTAAATTAGCTTAATTGACGTGTGGCAGTCTCTGTGGCTTTTGTATCGATGCACATAAATCTTAAGGGCCAGCCAGCCAGCCAGCCAGCTAACCCATTTCTCTTTGTTTGCTTGCAGTCGAAAGAGTTGAGGGAGTGGAAAGAGGGGGGTTAGAATTTCAGAGATAAGCCCACGAGTTCCCGCTGCTTATCACAGACAACCTAAAAATCTAAAAGTGAAGCAACAGTCACAACAAAGAGTACAACAGAAAAAGCTCGTCAACAACACAAACACAACACACAGCGTTGACACAAAGACCCCAAACAAGCAAGCCAGAAATAATAATAAAAATAACAAGAATCTAGTCCCGTGGCAAAGCGTTGTGGGGGGAATAGTTTGTCGACGATGCGGCAACTGAACAAAGAATTAATTCAACTACCTCCCTGCATTAAAAAAGAATAAGTAAGCGGGAAAGAAGGCCACATTTGAAAGGGGCGTAGGGTTGGCACACGCTTGCAAATTTTATTTGTTTGTTTATTTCAACATTCTCAATTTTCAAGGAGACTTGCTTGCGTGCTGATAAAATCATTTCTTTCGACTGTGGCCGATTTTTACAGTGTAGGAAAGTGAGTCGTACGTCGTCGACGTATAGACTAGCTTTTCTAAAACTTGATTCTGATTGCCAGATTGAAGAACAAACATTGTGCCAGCTAGATCTTAAATAACTGTTGATTGAACAGAACTTGGCCACAATTAACTGATTGGCCCGATATAGCCATACCGATTTCACCGTTGTTTTCAACCTCTGTACGTAATATCATCACTAGATTCGTAAATATGTGCTTGCTTAGAAAGCAGACTTTAAAGCAATACATGGAACTACTTTGTGTTTTGTATTTTGCAGAAAATTAAATTTTAAGTATTCTAAAAGCGTCTACAAAACGCGTCTGTACAATTCTGTAATTAAACTGTGATTAAACGCTTTTGTAACTAAGTAGGTGCCAGTTATAATGCCACTGAGATGACATGGAAAACAGCTCAACACTGAAGAGTATTTTGATGAACAATAACAACATGCAACTACTTAGAAGAGGGAACGCGAAACCGCATCTGACTTGTTTGTTATTCGAAATGGAAACTGTGTATGAAATTCTTGTCGGCAGCAGAAAATTGAAATTGAAACGCATTTCGAGCAGCGCTAAATTGGCGTTAATGCGTCGCAATGATGCTGATGATGTTGATGTTGATGCTGCAAATGTCTCTCGTATTCACAGTTAATGACTCAGAAGATTTGCTACGAGTGGGCGGTTGTTCGGTTGTTCGGTGGCTTTATGGCGATGACATGCCAACGCATCCGGCGGCTGCCAGGGAATGGTAAGGGAACAGAAGCGGCGACAGCGATGCCTTCCTGCACGCCATGTTGTGCCACTTTCCACTCAATAGAAACAAGAAGCCAAAGTTGCAGTCGCAACTGAAATGAAAAGTACACTCAGTGTGTACGTGGTGTGTGTGCGTATTTGTGGCAACAAAGCAAAACGCTTTGAAATGATGTTAAACTTTGGACTGCACATGTGTCAATGAACTCTCCTCACACATCCACGCTAGCAGTGGGCATACATATGCCACCATCTAGTGGCGAAATTAAAAACACATGAGGTACAACTTTTACGGAACAGAAGATTGTTTGAATTAGACCCACATCCTATATTATATATTTGGAATGACAAGACGCATCAATATACTCGTCTGTCTATCCGTATGGAAGATTCTGGCATGTAGACTAGTCCGTAATAAGTCCAAAAAAATCTTTTTAAGCATCACCTTATATTATCCATTTGAACATCAAGTTTATTATGTCATAAGAATGATCGTTGGAAAATCATTCATAGTCTTAAAAACATTTTTATCGCTTGAACAAGAATGAATCGACCTGATCCTTTTCATGTAAATAGCTTTTAAATCAATCAACACATCATATACGAGTAAGCTTTTAAAAGAAGTTTCAAATCCAGCCTAAGATTATATGATGCTTTAATTTTCAGTTCCACACTGCCCCGCCGTCAACCCAGTAGGCTGATTTTTTATTGTTGGTCGTCCATAAAATTGCACTGCAATTTCCGGAGCAGGGCAACACCAAAGAGGAGCGACCTGGCCGCGTAACACAATATATACAGCAAAGGACAAAGGAGTTGGAAACATGAAACGTCTAGGGTGCGTAGCCCTTACGTGTAAGTACCTGTGCGCATATATGTATGTGTGTGTAAGTGTGTGTGTGTGTGTAGGGGCAGACAAGGTTCCGCCACACTCACCGGTGCATAATTGAGAAAACTGTCAAAGCAGAAGAGCGAAAGATGCAGAAACAATTACAACAATTAAGCACAACAGACGATGCTGGGCGGCAAATGGGGAGTGGCGAAGGAGGAGAGTGACATAACAAGCAAAGAGAGAGGGAGAGAGAGGGGAGATCAGAAATGATGTACTCGCTAACATTTTCCTGAGGCAATGCAACCAACACACTCACTCACTCACACAATCGTCACATGCACCTCTCAATATTGATTAATGAAACGCGCTGCTTGTAGAGTGTTCTTCCTCTTCTTCTGCATCTACTTCTGCTCAAATAGAAGGTATGGGTGGGGGGAACGAATGGGACCGCCACTGACAATAACCGCCGCCGATTTGATTGATAACGGGCTTCAGGCTGCTGCTCACATGCTGTGCAGTCTTCGCAACCACAACGGATTGAAAAATCGACTCATATAAATTATAACTGTAATAAAATCGAATTTGTATAGGTACCTATGTATGTATCTGCATCTGTACATTTACGAGTAGGTGAAATTTTTAATGTCTTTTCACATCAAAACTACAATTTCACGGCCGACAAACCTTGCTTAGGGGACCACAGCCAGGGAGCATTATAGTAATAAAGTGAAATGCCAGCTCCTAATAGTATTGATGGGCAATTTCATTGGCAAATGACGGACAACGGGACTGCAGATATGTTAATCGGTTCAGTGTTTGATGTGATATTTAATTTGTATGTGTAAGATACATTCAAGATTTCAATTTCCTTGAAAAGTCTTTAAAATCAATCAATTAATTCCCCTAAATACGATGCTTTCTAATACGAAGACAAGAAGAAATACAAAAACTTAAGTAATTAGATGAATAATTTCAAAAAAATTTTAAACAATTTAATTAATAAATATTAAAGGTGTCCTACGCAGAACTGTATATGTCATTAAATATCATTTGAAATTATGTAAAGGGCTCTCTATGGTTAGTTTTTCATCACTATTTTCGAAAATATTACTCGCAGCAAAAGGTGAATTATTTATATGCTTAATTAATTAACAAGCATAGCTATCGGAAGGCCCTCATTCATACCATCATTTATATGCACGTTTTCCACACACTGTGAAGCTGTCTAGTTTTAATTAGAAATAAAAATACACAGTTTTCCTGCAGACTCTATTTTCCCACATCAAAGGACATGCTTGGCTGGCTCGTGTTTTCGCGGTGTAATTTATTTGGCGTTGTTAATTCTGAAAATACGACTGAGTGTGTATCGCTGAGTCATGCGAGTCCCATCGTTGTTGGTCATAAGCCTGCCTGCCGGCCTGCCTGGCCGACTGACTGACTGATCTGACTGTCTGCCTTCCTTCCTGCCAAGATACTGACAAAAGTATCTATGCTCATTAAGGCCTTCTTGTTCTTATTGTTGTCTGCCGCCGACTTCCTCTTTTTGGCTTCCATGCAGTTTTTCAGCTTTGAGTGAAATTTGCATTCAACGTGTTCTTTCATTTCATTTTGGACACACAATACACAATAATTTTCCACTTGCTGGGCGTGTATCCTTCAGTTATAATTTTAATTTTTAATGATGAGAGCAGGGAAAAGCTCTTGGAAGCCTGCATACATCAGTTTCTTTGGAATTTGACTGTGAGATCGGATCGTGTGATCAATCATCGAACCCTAAGTCTATTTTTTGAAAAACAAAAGCGCGCGTTGGCGATGAAATTAGCGATAAGCTCTCCAAAGCCCGCGCTTTGAAATGCGGGCATTAAAAAAATTTGGATTTAAAACAAAACACAAAAAAGAGGCAGAATGGAAAATCAAATCGAGTGATGGGTCGATAGCATCGCAGTTGTGTGGAAAACCATTCATTGTTGTTGTTGCCATTGTCCACAGCTGATCAATCAGCCAGAGGTGTGCTGGTGTCCCCCTCCCCTCGACACACACACACACACACACACACACACACACACACACACACACACTTAACAACGGTCTGCCACATGGAGTCGGAATAAATATGAAAATCGTGACTTGAACGCTTAAAAAGCGCTTTAAATATATTAAGCAAACATGTGAAAAACATGTATAGGAGTCGGGAAATGACAACAACGCCAACAAAGGCAAAAGCAGAGAGCCAACAAGAATAGGAGGCATAATTGAAAAGCGAACTGTGCAGCGGAGGGGGAGGGGTACGACAGCATTATAAATGTGCGGAGGAAATTGTCAGTCATAAGGTCAGAATGAGTTGGACAGCAGACCCACCGAAAGTATCTGTGCGCTACAAATACGTACATAGCCGTAATTACACACACACTTCAATGTGGCAGCCATACAGTGGTACAATATATTGCAATAAATCGAACAGTTCGTTTGATGAGTTTGGGAATTGAATATTTCATTAGTACCTTCGATGTATAAATCTTATTTAAGATATGTGTAAATAAAATACTTTAAGAGTGGATTTAGCGCTTATATTCATTTTCTTCACAAATTCATTAATTTTGTTCATTATTGTTTAATGAAATTTTAAAAAAATTGTTCAAGGGAATTTTGCGATATTAACGTAACTACTCCGAATTAGTCATGCCTGCCTTTTTGATAATAATTATACAGATTAGTGAAAAAAGTTAACCAGTATATTCATTTTGTTTTCGTAACAAAGTCTGCTAATGAGAAGAGAATTGGTACTTTCCATATTTATGTACATAGTATGTGAACATACTGAAAGATTTCTATATTTAAAGCACAAAACACACAAATGCAAGGATTAGCAAATGCTTGGGAAAAACGTAAATATTTAACAGCTCCTTTTTCGGATTCTTCATATCATCTTCTTCATTGCTTGAAACTTAACTTTCACCAAATTACTGGTAGCTGTAGCCCACTGTGCGTTACATCTAGACAGCTGTGAAAAACCCCTACGCACCGGCACAGTCTTGGGCATCCGAAGACGGTTGGTTAGCTGTTTAAATACTTTCTTCATGTGCCGAAGGAACCCACTCCATATAACAACACACACTCGCACACAACAGGGCTGCCTGCCCTTTGTCTACTTTTGAAGCAATTTGTGTTTATTTTTATGTTTTGATAAATGCATTTCATGCGCTTTTCAACATCGCGGCATCGGCTCGCAATGCCAGTGGTAGTGCTAGTGGTGGAGGTCGTTGCACGCTCCTAATAATTGAAGGCATATGTGGCAAGCAGCTGGAATTGTAAGAGCGACAACAGCCCCAGACCCAAGTACGGCCGCATATTGACCGAATCGCACAAATAAACGAACAACATCCAGAACATTGTCAGACTGCAAATGGCCAGATACATTTTATTTGAATTTCTGCTTTGCTTTTTTTATCGCATGCGAGAATTTGGCGGCAATGGCAACGCATGCAACCATCACCAACACACACGAATTTTATCAATCTATATTTCAGATCGAATTTTTGTGATAATTTCAAAACTGTTTTCTAAATAATGACAATTTGTTTTGTGCACTCTTCATTATTCTCAGTACAGATAAACGTGCACAATAATATTTGTTGTTTTATTCTATTTTTAGAACGCACATGGCCAGCAAATGTGTGGCCTTATGTATGCGCAGAAGCGAGAAGAGGAAATGAGGAGCAGGAATGACGATGTCAGAGCGAGCGAGAACGATGCGACAAGAATAAGATGCGAGCGATAGTCGATTCGCTTCTGTACGGCAGAAGCCAGGCTGCCCGCAAGTGCCCGGGTAGCTCAGTCGGTAGAGCATTGGACTTTTAATCCAAGGGTCCAGGGTTCAAGTCCCTGCTCGGGCGGAACTTTTTTGCTGGTTATTTAATTTTTTTTTTAGCTTATCTTTACTTTACTTATAATTATTTTATATACATACATATGTAACTTGTTGTGTGTTGTAAATAAAACGTCTAACATAGAGAAAAAAGTTGGTGCAACCTCTATTGTTAATAATATTGTAGCTGAATAATTAGTTTGATGCATTTTCAATAATCAGTTTTAAATCAAAATTGAACTAAACATTCTTAAACAAACTGTCGAGCTCAAACAGTCTTTAAATGGTCATTATATTTGTGGAGCTACGTAGTCTAAATAATATTATTATATATATTCAAAAAATAAATAGAATCAATGTGTTAATGGTGTATATAAACAAGATAAAGGAATGCTGTTTTAAAGTCTAAACTTTACACGTACGATAGAAGCATTCGAAGTTTAGCTGATTTTATATTTTAGAATAATATAATCTAAATTATTTTGCAGGCAGCGTTTTAATAAGTCACTGATTTCAACATTTTTATAAAAATTAATAAAATAATTAAAGTAAAGGTTTACATTAAAAGGTATTAAGCTACTAAATCCAAGTGATTTGGATATTCATTGATAGATGCAATCTAAGAACTCATTAAAACCTGGTTAATTCTACTTTGAATAGAGTGCAGATCATATAAATAATTTCAACTTGGCCTCTGCTAAAACACATTTTAACACCTCAGGTACGGGATATAACAAATATGCTTAAATATTAATCATTAATATCAATCAGCTTGATTGGGCAATAGCAGTCGAATGGAAGTTTAAAAGTAGCTTCGTCCCTCAGTGGACAAACAAGAAGGCTAAAACGAAGCGCAATATTATGAATTTGCCATTCAAGGCGTAGAGCACTAAAATTTCATTCATAAAATGAAATGTACGAGCATGTAGTTGTATGTGTGTACTCTGCATATACGTATATATGTATGCGTATCCTTTGCAACATAAAATTGGCTATAAATGCGGAGACTTGTGACGGGCTGAGAACTTTTCTGCAGCAGTAAAGCACACAAGCAGCGCCTGCGGCCAATTTGTTGGCCTGAAACGCCTTTGAGAGATGGGCCACATGGCGGCTACTAGAAGCGACCTCTGAGCCAATTCCTGAGCGATGAGTGTGCAACGCCCCGAAAAAATTGCTGCCCACCACAAGCCATGTTTGGAGCACACACGTGAGAACTCGCATCCTTCTCATAGCTGCATAGCATAGCAGTGCAGTGTCTGGGGATATGGGAGCAGTGCTTGCCAACCAGTTAATGCAGACCGGAAACGGGCGGATGCCAAACAGATTGAATCATGGCCTATGCAGACGACGTCGTCGACCGATGGAAAGGAAAGTTAGTTGCAATTTATACGGCATATGCATGACAGATTCATTGGAATTTTGATTTTGTGCAAGAACGAAAAGCAAACGTGACGAATGCAGCTAGTCAGCCGAATAATGCATGCCCTGCACTATTCACTTTTATAAGTTGAAGCAGAGCTTAGGAGGAGCTATCTAAGCTATCTATCTATTTATTGATTCGTAGTGTTTAGAAACACCTATAGAGCTAGTATTCTACATATTTCAAAGCTGTATAACGATAAAGCCCAATTCTTACATGAAAAATAACATCCATCCACAAACATTTCTCTCCTTTGTCAAAACTATGGCTCAAGGTCTGTCCCGACTAGTTATAGGATTATAGCCGTGGACGATACTATACTTGTAGAGCTAGTATTCTATTTCAAAGCTGTAGCCCAATTCTGACATGAAAAATAACATACATCCACAACCATTATCCTACTTTAATAAAACCATGGCTCAGGGTTTGTCCCGACTAGCTATAAGATTATAGCCGTGACTCTTAAACAATGAACTACTCTGAAACGTGCTTTGATGATCTCTTGAATTCCATTATTAGACATTTGTTTTTTTGGGGGACAAATATTAAATAGTCTAACAAAGATGCTCGTCAACTATAAATAGATAGTCTGTCATGGAAATAAAAATGCTTGGTTGATTAATTACAGATTTCGAGAAAACAACCATTTCCTTTTGAGAAAGGGTATTTATGGTGTGTCAACAACAATTTATCAATTCAGCTGCGACAATTGCTGGCCAGTTTTTACAGTTATGGCCAGGAAAGCCATCCATGGGATGGCCTTTGTAGTAGCGGACCACCACCGAAAAAGTAAGTCACACGTTGGTTTTAAAGTCTGATTTGAATTATGAGATTTACTGCCGAGTCGTACCCTAAAAAACAAATAACAAACTGCTTACAATTGCGACTGAGAGGTTGGGAGGTTGAGAAAGATGTCTTTTATGATGACTCATCAGCGGCAGTGCGATAAGATCAATCAAAGCGACAAACAACCGGCCAAGCCACACGGACCTAACTAACTGGCCAAGAAGCAAGCAGTACTGCGGCCAGCCGCAGAGCTGTGACGGTCATAATAACGCTTTGAATACGAAAGTAGTCGACAAGTTTTGGACCGCTACAAAAAGTAAGAAGAAAACAAAAACATTTCGGTTTAGGTGGAACTGTGCGTTCGAACCGGCTTCGATTTCTAATTATTGGGGCCGCTCTCAGACCAGACGATGAGACGATCTGAGATGAGACGAGACGAGAGGAGAGGAAGGCGCAGAGGTGGTTGAGGCCTGTGGTTGGGTTCGCTTCATAGCTTGGCGGCGCGTGAGCTTCAAATTAACAGCGGAAATAGCTAAAGCGATAAGGCCAATAAAAATAACAAAAACTTTCAGCTCGTGTGTTAAAGCTGTTCCAACATAAAGGAGTTTGTTTTTATAATTCCAATTAAATGATATTGCAGCCGCTTTGCTCCGCTAAGCCCCACGAAAATGAGACATAAAAGGTGTTTTGGCTTACACCAATTATGCTTTTACCATTACCCCCGGAAAATAATGATGCCCCGAGCTCAAAGCCTGTTCAAACAAAGAGTTACTAGGTATGAAGAATTCTAAATATTCATGCGATTGATTGATGGAAGTTCCTGTCAAAATTTCTTATTTTCCAAAAATTTAGCAACGAATACAAACTACTTCGTAGATCTTCACTCACTTCCCTTTGCAATTTTAAAAACCTAGTGTTAAAATTCTAAACTAATATGTTTGTAGGATATAGGCACAAAGGAAAGAACTACTAGTCTGGCTATTTAGTTATAATCCTGAGCAGAACTAAACACAGAACACAGCGTTCTTTAAGCACTCAGAAATCCAGCAAGATTTGCCAAAATTGAGATAAATATTATAGACTAATTTATGAAAACCCAACAAGAAAACTAAATATGTATATTGAAGATGCAATGGAAATATCTCACTGGATTTCTGAAAACATATTCTATCCTTTTAGTTACAGGCTAGTGCAAAGTTTAAAGCTCGCTCCGCAATACTTCTGCTATTTAAAGTTTGATAACTAGTGATTAAGTTTTCAGCTCCAATAACTCAACGTCAGCCTGGATGCGGCGAACAAACAAAAGCCCTTTCAGCCGAACCCAACGTCAGGCAGCGAGCCGACTTTTTAAGGCGGCATATATAGGCCTGCTTCCTGCCCGCTTGCCCGCCTGCCTGTTTCCCTGCCTGTAGTTGGCTCGCTGGTTGCCTGCGGCTAGCAATCTGTCCAGACAGGTAGCTGACGTTATGAAGCATGAAAAGCTTAGCCAAGATAGACAACAGACAAAGCGTCTGCGTCTCACACAAAAGGCAAATGGGCTGGGTGGCGACTTGAAGTTTTCTCATAGGCTTTACAGCTCATTAGACAGAGGTGGGGAGTTCGATTTTGAATGCCTGGCACGCACCTCGGCGGCTTACCCACCGCCAAGAAAGACGACAATGGCTTGGACGGAGACGAATGCGCCTAGATTTTTATGAATCATCTGCACATCTGCATTCACATATCGAGCATGGTCATAACTACTCCGTTAATAGGCAAAGCATGTACATATCCCCAGCGAACAATTAAAGCGCACACAACAGGTTTATGGGGCCCATGATATTCATTTTTTCCACTTCTTCGCCGCCCGCTTACTTGTAAGTGATTCATGGCTCATAATACATAATACAAAACACATAACAAATTGTTACACGTGTTTATGGAAAGGTCTTGTAATGTTTTTAATTGGGCCTACAATAGGGCGTTCTGACTTAAATGAATCATTGCAAAATCTAAAGAAATGCACACCTGCCTGGAATTTCTTTACACCCGGAAATTCTAAAAAGAAGTCAAATATTGAAATAAAGCATCGATTATTATTATTATTCCATAGACTCTTCTGATCTACTTCCTTACACCCACCTCCTGTTAATATTCTAAATCGACGTCTAACTAGGGCACTAGCCACTAGATTATTCTAATTAAATGAATACGTATCCTGGAAACCATCTTAATAAGACTAAATTCTTTTTATGGTTAATGAGATTTTGGCTTTAAGACCCCAATGCTAAGATCGCGTTCATCAAACTTTTGGTTGGGGACTGCTGCATTTTTAACAAATTAAAATTAATAAATTAAATTACTACTTAAGCTTTATATTTTCCGAAACCTATATAGACAGAGGAACAGACGTATCGTGTCTTATCGAGTTATAAGTATTTATTTTCAACAACAGAACAATTCCATTACAGGCTCTCCCCTTTCTGACAGAGGGAATTAAGAACAGCAAGGCTCGCAGCTATCAGTGTGCGATTTTTTAAACCAAAATCGAAAGCAATTGGCGCCAATTTCTCATAAACTCGAAACTGCAACTGATTAATGTGGACCACCCGACATAAAGAAAAACACTCGAGCAGCAGCTAATTTGTTAGCATTGTTTTGGACGCTAATACGAGGAAGGCATTCGTTGTAATTCTACGAAATCGGATTTGTCCGACGCGGCATGCCACGGCGATTGCTTAAAGGTGTCAATTCGTGAAGAATTTAAATGCACATCTTGCGATGACTAATAATATATGTTGCTGCCCCGCTCCCCACACCCAGTCCAATGGACGTAGCACTCGTAAAACAAGACATTTCGATTTTTCAGCGGAAACGGCTTATGAACGCGTGTTCGTTGCTGGGACGTGCCACGAAAAAGTGAAATGCCTGCATGATGCATTGATTAACTGCACCGTTTTACATTATAACGACCCAGTTCAAGCACAAAAGAAAAGAAAACGACTCTAGATATCGGTTCTAAAGAGAGCAATCATAGATAATTAGTTAACAAATTCAATTAAGTCCCAGCTTCCTCGCTTCATTAGCTGTAGACAGACATGGAAGCGATAGAAAATAAATGCAAGTAAGCAGCACAGCCGGCTGCAAAATGTTTTAGAGTGTACGTTTGGACTATCTGAAGCCAATATTGAGTATTTTTAGCACTCTCGGACGCCAGCAGAGGGACTAGTCATAAAAACATGCACAGTTCCAACAATGACTACCAAGCGGGGCTACTGCCCAGCCATGGGTAATACTCGTATTGGGGACTGATAGCCCACACGCATTACAAAGCCCTCGCTTAACTTCACACTTTATGGGTGTGAAAGAGGCAGGGAGGTTGGTGGAGGGGGAGAGAGGGAGCGGGGGGCCCCATTAGTTGAGGCACATTCGCATGAAAGAAACTTTAAAATGCATGGCGCGCTCGTCGACGCCCCTCCTGGAAAATTGTTATTTACAGCCTTAATCTGCGAAAAATGTATTAGAGTGCGCGGCAACGAGAAATGTTTACAAACAAAGCCCTTCAATTAGCATACCCAACCGTTGTAGCGGAGGAGTATGGCAAGGAGGGGAGAAGGTGATGAAGAAGCTCGTCGCCAAAGCAATCAGCGTTGACCAGCAGGCCAGCAGGCTGCGATTTTTATGACAGGTTAATGACACGCCAGCTCTCGACTATGGCCGTCTATTAAAGAGCGAAATGCTGCACATACTCGTGCTCATATGTGTGGCGACGGGTGGCCATTAATCAAGGCTTAGTACATAGCGTATGGTCCATAAACATGACGTTCTGGACATCGACATGGACATGGACACGGACATGGACACGGACACGGATGGTGGTAGAGCTGGAGACGGAGACAAAGGCTCACGTCGCCGCCACCCGTAGAAAATCAATCAATTAATTGAACAATTTCTACACGAGTTCATCGAACCACAGTCGGGACCACAGACAGGCTGCGGAGTAGAAAAAGGACTAAAGCATATATAATGTGAGGGTGTGGGTGAGACAGTCAATGAAATGCTAGCAGCTGCTTTCCGTTCCCTTCAACTATCAACCATCCACCCACCCTTACCCCCAAGCAATAAAAGCTGCTCATTACAAAATATCACATTTCTGTTGCATAATTTTAGGCGTCGCCCAGCTCAAACAATCCAACATTAATTAATTCACAAGCGAAGAACATCATAAAACTGGTCTAGATTAATTTCCACATATTTACGAGTAGATCCATTTAAATGCTTATTTTTGCCATTTAGGTTGTGGTAGGGCTTACCTCGGTCCCCTAGTTTTGCGAGTGCTGTCAGAATAATCCTTTTAATTTCGGCTTGGCACACAGCTGAGGGTGCGGCCAGTGGTGGGCCTCAGTACGTACGTAAGATAGCAAAATAAAAGAACAACAACAACAACAACAACAAGCGAGCGACCGAATGAGCTACACTTGAAAACTTTTGCCTTGGGTGGGGCTTTTTTCGACGATTTTTTGTGCCCGTTCAGGTTCCGTTTGCAAATTTTTCCAACGACGCCGTGGAATTTGCGCCTTAAACTTGTGCAATTTTGTCAATAGACCTTTGCACAGACGTGTAAAGTTCTTTGCTAACTTAGACATATGTTGATGCTTCTTCGCTGGATTGGGATGGGAATAATTGGCTCCACAACGGCTATTTGAATACTACAGTATATACGGCGTATAACTTATAGAAATGGTAGCATTCTATCTGAACTGCCGTCCGTAAAACGTGACAAAAGGTAACAATTTCCAAAATAGGGGTTGGTGGTCGTTTTGCCGAAAAATGCACAAAATTTTCAAGGGTAGCACACAAAACTTTTCCGGTGTTTGAAAAACGTTAGAAACTCACATTTCGAATTCCGTTTTATTTTAGGCAAAGCGCTCGATTTTTTTCTTTTTTCTTTTAGAGAAAGTCGACTCTAAATATTTATTTATTTTTATTATTGGTATTACAGAATTTGAGAAGAAACGACCGCTTTAGATTTACGTCCGCACACACTGAAAACCCGCTAGAAACTCAAAGCAACCAACCGGCCAGTGAACCTCACAGCGCAGGGCGCATTCATCCAGGAACAACGGCAAACACACACAGACATACACAGAGACAGTTGGCAGGATATGCGACGAAATACAAACACTTCCAATTGGAATTGGCAAACGGGATAGCGGCTTTTGCTTAAAACTCTACAAACCTACCACCCTCGAGAGCGAGCTCAGCAGCCGGCTTCAGCGAACAGCTGCTGCAGGGTGTGTTTGCCACCCACCCACCAAGTGACGAGTGGAGACTGGATGGGATGTGAGCGACGGACGCCGACGATAACGACAGCCGAGTCGAGTCGCGCCGAGCCGAAGCAGACGAACTTGGTCGTGCGTTTGTTTTGATTCGAAACGAGCTGACGTTGGAGGGCGCATCATTTTTTGCGCACTAAAGCGCTGCGTAATACCGGCACCCACTTCCCCACCCACACATGCACACACCCCCTTTCTGTGACTCGCAAGTCGTGTGATAAGCGTGGCAAGACGCAATAAGCTTAACAAGACAGCAAATACAAATACAAATACATGAATTTAAATTTGCATACATTTTCAAAAAAGTTCAGATGGAACTTATGCCCAAAAAGGACTAATATGAAGAAACCCCTCGGACTCACCTGCACATTTTCCACATCGTAGTAGCAGAGCATTTGTTTGGTCAGCTCGAACCAGCGATGCTTGTAGTTGACGGGCGTGAAACGGTTTTTGTTCTGTGCCCGCTTCACCATTGAGCCGCTCTTCACAATATCGTAAAGCCGTTCCGACATTTTGGCCTCAATAGATTTGCTGCTGGACCGCAACGAGGCTGTGTGCAGCTTAATGCGGTCTGGGTAGCTCTGAGGGACGCGCTGCATTTTGCTGGTCATGTTGACTTATATGTATCTAAAAGGGTTGGAAAGAAATCCCAAAAGTAAAATGGTTTAGTATAACTCTCGTTTAAGATAAGAGCCGTACAGTTATAAAATGTTGTGTGATTAGGTTAAAAAAGTAAGGGATAGAATGAAACTTGTGGTAAAATTAAAGATGTTTAGAAACTATCAAATAGATAGATAGATCAAATAGATGGATAAAGGCACAGAGGGACTGAACCAACTACTGAATATCAAGTATAATAACAAATTATTCTTAAAAAGTATTATATTATTTGTACACACAAACATACAAAGAGTACAGGATTAACATATTCCAATGGTAAAAATCTGTAGCTCTATGAATATTAAAAATTAAAAAAATTAAAATAAAAAGGTATATACTTCATTGAACACTATTTTGCGGGCTTACGGCACTTCGAATTATCAATCGGTAAATGCGTATACAAATTCGGAAGCACACCCGTACGTAATCTCTAAATTCTTTGCGGCCTACCTTTTCTGAGATATTATATAAGGATTGAATAAACGGCACAGCATGCATCACCAAAACGACAGTTTACAACACATTTCGCACAACTCCAAATTTGAGCGCATTCGTGGGCGTGCGAATTTGATTTCGAATTCAAAGCTTGTGGAGGTTCGAAATAATATGTTGTGGGAGTGCGCGACACGATAAATAGACTGGGATTTCAATCACAGAACTGACGACTTTCAGCCACAGGCCAACGAACAGAAAACAGGGCTACAGCAAATCGAGTGATTAACTGGCCAATTAATTAGCACGACTAGGAAAGCAGTCTAAATGCTTCGGATCAGCTTACAATCTCGCATAAAAACCAGCTTTCAGATTGTCTGTGCGACCTTGACGCGAACCAGTCCGTTGGATGCTGCGCATGCGCTTACTGATTAAAGGATTATCTCCAACAAGCCCAGTCTTCCAAGCCAAGCGTGTGCGCAAACAAATGGCTCGTTGAGCCTGAAAACAACGCTCCGGAATTATCACACTTCAACAAAGGCAAACGAGTGAGCACATATATAGCTATATACACACACATATACATATATGTGTACATACAAGTATATGCAACAAAATGCACAGCGACAATGAAGACGACCAATAACAACAACAACAGCAACAATAATATAACAACAAAAAAAAACACCTCTTCCGATACGACAAAGCCCCCCCTCTCAAGCATGGCACTCTAATCGAGCAAAGCGCAAACATCAGCGAAGCACAGTGGCACTAAATATCGAAATATCAAGCTATAATTGTATTGCCGTATTAGTTTAATGTTCATATTGTAAGAATTATGAAACCGATTACAGGATATGTTCGCCATCGTTGGAATTTAAGATCTGTCCTGAACAATTCAATTCAGATATGAATTTTAGTTTTTGTGGCAATCTGTTCCACTGTGCGACTTGGGGACGCTTGGGACTCGAGAACGCATTGCCATAAGTAATAAAATAAACACGGCAAAGGATGGCGAAGACGTGGCATACGAAAAGGCATAAATCTTGGCCTGTGGCGGCGGGCGTAGGGTAATGTGCGAGACAACGGGCAGAACTTCGTTTAGCGTTGGTGTGTGTCTGTATATATATATGTGTGTGTGTGTGTGTGTGTGTGTGTAGGAGGGATAGGATCGGGGGGCGGCGGAGCAATAGGCGTGGCTGGCAACCAGTTGAGACGACCATCTTATATAAGTATGTATGTATGTACATGCACATATGCATGTATGTATGTGTATGTGTTTGTATTTGTCGTCGCGGTCGCCTTGACGTTGAATTTCGCCACGAAAATGGTTATGTTTAGTTTTTATTCTTTGGCAAATGTTTTATTTTTGTGCTTTCTGTTTACTGTCGCACTTTTTTGTGTGGGCTTAGCAAAAGGTGTCTATGCGTGTGCGCGTCTTTGTGTTAGCGGCGGGGGCGGGGGCGGGGGCGAAGACGAAGCTTAGCCGCAGCGACCGACCTTTGCAAGAATTTCAACAGACCAAACAAGTTTTTTACTTGAAAACTACATACATAACTAGCCAGTGGCTAATGGCTGGCGTGCTGGAGGACTGGCTTAAGTTTTTGTAGATCGGGCGCGTGCGCTTATCAACGAACCAACTGTAAATTCTAGTACAATGCATTGCGATACGAGAATCTAAAAATACACACACACACACAGAAACACATACATACATACATATGTATGCATGTAAGCAAGTGAATGATAATCAAAAAAATTATTGCTTTTGAGCTCGACTCATATTGCATTTTAACAGATAAAGAACATTATTTGGAACACCAACAAACCTTTTTATGCTACGAATGCAGATAAGAACACAAACGCGTTACAAATTTCAAGCTGCCATGAAATTTAAATTGTTTGAGAATGTGAGCACTCAGCGAGGAAATTCGCCTTACCACAACTACCGTTAATCGAGTAATTGAATCAAGGCCCGACACAGTGTAAATAACTTCACAACAAATCACTTTCGATTGCCCTTAGTCGCGTGCGCGCTCGCCACGAACTCAACGAAACGACCGACCGGCGTATTTAACATTTGCATACTAACGCACAGGCAAAAATTTATAAACAATTCAAGCAGCTGACGGCGAGTTTACACTAACACATGCGCACTCATATGGTTTGACATATGTACATATGTATGGCTGTATGTGTGTGACCAAACGCAAGCGCAACGGGCGAGTGCGATAAAACAACGATGTTTCAAGATTTGCCCAAAAAATTGTATACACCAATATAAGCATACCTTGCTTATACAACAATCTATTAACAAACCGCTAAATTTCAATAATTAACCGCGCTTTGCGTCCACTCGCTTATACCCGCACGTCCATTCAAACGCGGCGCACAATACTGAATGAAGTAAGGCTCGGCTAGTAAGGGCACTACAACCGAAACTTGCAAGTCTTTCTTCTGGTTTTCTACATAAGAAAACTAATTGGGTAAATTATATCAAGAGTAAAAAGTGCCAACACAGTTATTGAATTACGCAAATTAATACATTTTTATTATTACTTTGAATAAGAGTATAAAAAAGAGACGAGTTGGCAGCTTTGCCAGTGATTCAATTTCATTTTCAGCGCAAAAGAACTAGTTCCTTCTGTCGAACCATTATTCAAAAAGAATACTGTACACGTTAAACTTAAGCTTAGACTGGCCATAAAACTGTTTAAATATCTAAATGCGATGACCGATCTAATCTTTTTTATTGGAACCAGCAATGCGCCAAGCGCCTGTTAAATATCGCAACCAGATCATAAACAAATCCACGCCCATCTGCAGCCACGACCAAATGGGTGTGAGTTTTGATCCATCGATCTCGGTCCATCGTACAGCCACCTCAGACATAGGCAATTGCAGATGCTCGGCGAGATACAGCAGCTCAACATCGAATGCCCAGCGCTGCACGTGCAGGCTTTTAAATAGCTTTCGAGCAGTTGTGCGTGTGAAGAGCTTAAAACCGCACTGCGTATCACGAACGGACCGAACAGCGAATAGCCACACAAGCGTATGAAATCCGTGCATCAATATTGTGCTGTACCAAATAAAATCAAATTACATAATGGCCAGTATGGCTCAGCCGACCTTACCGAAAGAAGCTGCGGGTGGCAATAGAGTCGTCCTCTAAATGTGCGCGGGAACCAATTGCAATGCCATCGTGACGCCACTCTGGCGCTAGGCTCGTCAATGCCTCGGCCAGCTTATCGTAGTCCGCAAATTTTGTGGCTCCATCAGCATCAGCAAAGAGCAGTTGACAACCGCGGGAACTTAGCATGCCCTAAAAGGCCGCAAAATAAGTTTCATAATTTATTGCTGTCTGTTTACTTACCAATCGCACAGCGCCTCCCTTGCCGCGATTTTCGACAAGTTCCAGCACACGAACTTTATCGGCGCCATGCTTTTTCGAATACTTCAGTGCAACAGATACGGTTGCATCGCTGCTTCCGTCACTGACTACAATTACTTCATAGCTGAAATCAGGCTCTCGACCCGCCTTCTCCTCCAGAAATGCCAAGCACTCGTCAAGCATGGCCGGCACTGCGAAAGATAGTCATGTGATCATTATTACTCATCCACCAATGGCCCAATTTTGGCAAACGTACATCGATTCTCCTCATTGTAAGCCGGTACGATGACACTGAGCTTCAAGGCAGGCGTGTCTTCTATACTGGGAAATGCAACAGTTTTAATTGTGTTCGGATCTAGGTAAAATTGTTCATCTTTATGCCGTGTTATGTCGGGGTATGGTTTTGTCTTGTAGATAAGCACTGCCAGAGACTACAATATGCAAAAGCTAATTATTATCAACAATACAACAATGCCAATGAGAATTATTCTCTTACCACAACAGCGGTCACAAGCACTCCAGAGAGCAGATATAGTCCCAGCTCTAGCAGCGACGCCAACATGTTGCACTTCAGTTTAAAAGGATCTAGTGACTAGCTTAGACTACGCATCACTTTTTAAATTTGGGGGAGATAAACAATAAGCCACGTATTGTAACATACATCGACGTTCTTGTTAGCGGCGCCGCAATTCCACGAACAGCCGTATGAGTGCGAATGCTAAGTTGCCAGATCGATAAAAGTTGCACAGTTGGAATTCCATCGATGACTTGAGTGAGAGACAGTGCTGCCAATTTCGTTACTTTTCGCTAGCATTTCAAAAGCACCTGAAATGCGGAAATAATTTGAAACTTGCATGTGGTGGAAATTTGTAATTTGTGTTTAGAAAAGACAAAGGGCCTTGCATTAAAAATTCATTGTGCTGGTTACTGTTCTTTATTATTCCTGCATAAATCGTATTCTTATTGGGAGTTCTATTCAACAGGTGTCTCAACGTCCAAAACAATAAATATTTGGCGCGCATGCGCCAGATATACATATATAGCTATACATACCTTCTCAGCTCCAGATACACACAAACGGAATTTTCTACACGTTCTGAAAACGCGTCTGTTTTGCCTTGAATTTAAGAATTAAAAACTGTAAAGCATGCATATCTTGCTGCTTATCACAGTGGGACTGATCGTCTTAAGCAGTGGGATGATAGCCGTGGAGTCAAGGCTGCAGGCCAACGCTGGCGAGCTCTTCACATATAAAATCGAGCCGCAGTTGTTTAATTGGACTCATCAGGAAATCAGCGAAAAGTTCCGCTACAGACCATCGCTGCAGGGGTTTCCTGATATGCCCTCCTTTATGCGATATAAATATAGTCATGAATACCACGCTGGTTTTCTTTACGGCACACCTCCTGCATCCATGGCTGGCAAACAGCTGAACCTAGACATAGTGGCCATGAACCGCCAGAACTATGAGACACGCCATATAGTGCTCTCCATATTCGTGGCCCATAAATATCCCACGCCCAATGTGGTTCAGATGAAAATTGATAATCTCAATTGGGTGCATTTCATGGACAATGGTCGACTTATGGACTTACGCAACATCTTTCGCAACGACCTCTGGCCCGAGTCCACAGATCTGTCCGTGGTTTTTATGGAATCTGCGGTCAACATGGGCGGACGTTTGCCGCTCCGCCCTCAACAACGCGAGGGGTATGTATATTATTTGAATATTAAATCTGATTATTTCTTCGACGATTAAAAGTAATAAGGTCTGATCAGTAATTCATTAAATGGGTAACTAAATGTACTTCTATAACCACTCCCTAGCGTGATTGTGCACGTCGGAAGCTTAGCTCAGTTCTCATCGCGTCTCAAGGAGCTGCAGGAGGAGGTGCGTCCGCTCTATAAGCTGCCTTCGTGCACCTACAAGCGTACATCGGTGCAGAAGATCTTCGAGAATGTCGGTTTTAAATTGGACTGGTGTGCGTTTAAGATGGTGGGCGTGGAGTCGCCCACAGAGATATTATATCACAACCATGGCAGCGGAAATGGGCAGCAGAACGAGCCCACTTATATTGAGCAGCTGCGTAACAACGAACGCTGGCTGGGGATTGCTCGGGAGGATGTGCCAGTGCGGAATTATATTGATGAGTTCGCGTTTGCTTTCGCCATTCCTGGAATGATTTTTGCGGTGCTGGTTGGCATGCTGTCGGCGGTGCTTTGTTTTCAGCACGAAAAGTTGTGAGTGAAGAGAATTACTTAAAAAATTCAATGTTTTATGGTTTCTTTTTGTTTGTAGTTCCGATCCACATTCTGAGTTTTTCTTTAACAACATTTTTCACATTTGCGAAGAGTCATGCGCCAAGGCGCAGCCTGATTCCGAGCTTGAAGATGAGTCCGAAAGGTGAATTTTAATTTGTTGTCCTTTAAATGTTTATTTTCTTACGTGCTATGCTTTTTATTGTCATATTAATATTTTTTTTTTTTGTAGCTCCCTGCACTTGGCATATCCATCTACGCTGTCAACCGTTCAAATGGTTCAGTGTTTTGACGCCAAGCCCACGCAGCCAGTTACAACGCTTAAGAGCTTAAAAGATCCAAACTTCCTTTTAGACAATGCCAGCGTACGGTCCCTCAGGTAGGTTTAACTTGAATTGGCAATGCGTAAAGTTCTAATGTTCTTTCTTATTATTGCAGTCCCCTTAATAGCTTTTACCAAACGGATTGCGCCGCCGCCGGCGCTTATGCTCGACCCAAGCCTCCACCATATAAGGGCGGAACTTTGGGGCGCAATGGTGTGGATATTTGACAAACATCGCCAAGAGTGCTCTATTGTTGAAGGGAACGCTTTAAAAAATCCAAGTCCGGTCAACAATTACTGCCGCTGAACAATTAAGGAAGCATTGTCATCGTACTAGTATACATAGCGGATATTTAACTATTCATATCAAATTTAGCGAAGAATATACAATTTAGCTTGTTCCATTAGTTGCAAACACAATAAAGAACGTTTTTTTAGAAGAAGACCAATTTCTAATTATCCCATTTACAATTCACACCATTCGATTATTTCAAAAATGTAAAAAAAGTTATACTTTTAAAATCGATAGCAGTTGGTACCTTTGGCGCCAATAACTGCCATTCCCAATGCACATCATTCACAATAGCTAGCTTAGGCATTACGTGTGCCTAAGTATGTGTGTGTGTGTGTGTGTGAGAGACTACATTTGTTTATGTGTTTGTTGTCTATAATTCGATGGGAGTAACTGATAAAGCCAGCATTTGGTGAAAGTTGCACGTCGTCGGCATTACAACTATTCGAGGAAACCTTCTATTAAAATATAGTTGTTGCGCAATATAATAAATTAAATTGAAATCGCAATAGAATGGCGCTGCCACTTATTGGAGCTGTGGAAGAATTGGTCGATCAATTCGAAATAGACCTAATTAAGGTTATTTTTATTGTGTTCATTGCAACAATCGTGGTTTTCGGCAGCCTCATGACCCTCGTTGAAGCCCATCTGCCCAACAGCATACGACAATCCTTCCGCTACGGCAAGCACAGCCATAAAGGACCTACGGATGCGATTGTCAGTTACTTGGAGGTACCGAAGAGTTGGTTTAAACATTTTTACATGTTCTCGCTGGTGTGGTCATTGCTGGCGCTCTATCTGATTGCCAGCGTCATTGCTGGCCAAATCGAGGCGCCAGAATACGTGCTCAGATTTCTTGATTTCATTTCCGGCGGACGCAGCCACAGAGAAGTGCTGGTTGACTCGAATACAGCGCTCATTGGCACTGTGCTACTCACCTTGCAGTGCCTGCGGCGCTTCTATGAGACGAACTTCGTACAAATATTTTCGAAGCAGAGCAAAATGAATTTGTCGCACTATTTTGTGGGATATATACACTACTTTGGAGCCATTATTGCGTTGCTGTCCAACACGGCGGGCTTTGTGCGCGGTTCAAAGCCCAACGAGTTTTCTTTGGAAAATATCACAGTGCTGCAATCAATTTACATTGTCTTCTTTCTCTTCTCCTGGCATCAACAATTTGCTAGCAATCTTCTACTGGTTAATCTGCGCAAGGATGCCAAAACTGGAGCTGTGAAGACAGAGAAGCATCTGATGCCCACGGGCGGATGGTTTAACCTGATCTCCTCTCCGCATATGTTTTTCGAGGTGGTTATGTATTATTGCCTCGCCGATTTGTTCGCGCCAATGCGTACCTGGAAACTGATCTTCATTTGGGTGGCGAGCAATCAAACTGTGAATGCGCTGCTCACACATCAGTGGTACAAGGCGCAATTCAAGGACTATCCCAAAAGAAGGCATGCCATCATTCCGTTTATGCTGTAGTTGTGTATTGCTTGTCTTGTGTTTGTACAAATGTTTTAGTAGTGGAATTTATTAAAGGTGTTCTACACAAACACACACACGCACAAAAGTCGGTGTTGCATTCAATTTAAACTAGAGAACCATAATAACGCCCACATGAATTGAACTTCCTTGAAAAGGCGGAGCCTTCGACGACGGCAGTCATTCTATTTGAACAAGAAACTGTGCGGGGAAAAAAGAAATTTAATTAGGGCTTATTCTAGCTTTAAATAATACCATTATGCCTACCTATAAGGATAACCCTGCGCCTTCGAGCGAAACACGGATAGCAAGAAGGAGAAGAACACCGTTAACAGCACCAGACCGGCCATGGCCATTATTCGGTTCTTATTGTGGCCTTTCAGCGTCCCAGACTCGATTAGCAATATCATGCCGAGCACAATCATGGCATCTGAAAACAGGCGAGCATTAATTGAAGGCAACCAAAATATATTCGCACTTACTTAAGAACATAATGATGTATGTCTCTACCACCAGTTGGCCTTGCGATGAGCCGTGAATATAGGCCACACCGCCATTCTGCGTCTTATGCACCAATGGCGGACCTCTGATATGATTCCACATCTGACCCGAAATCATGGCGAAGCAAAAGAACACTGCAATGGCTCCCCACAGATTCTTGTTGTACAAAAACTCCAAATTGTTCCGGCGTATGTACAAAAAGCTGCCTACTAGGGCCACCAACGTAATCATAGCCACTGTTCCTGAATAATTCGGTGGGCGGAATATGCGTATCTGAATGTCCGTTCGCTCCGCCACAAACTTAGAAATAGCGTCGGCAGCAAAGCCCACACGGTGTATGTCCATTGTATCAGCCGCCTTTGGCTTCCCCTTGGCCGGAAAGTGCATAAACACCGGCGCCGTGTTCAGACGCAGCAACTGAAATACATCGGAGCCATCGTCGAAGTCAACCATCGCAAAGAATAGCTTGTTAGAGTATATGGGCGAGAAGCGATAAGAGTTCGCGGCAATGGTGAACTCCTCCAGAGCATGTCGACAGATTTGGCACTGGCGTTGCGGCGCCATTGCCGTCAGCATAACAATCATCGAATAGTTGCGTGGTGCGTTCTTCACATATTCGCGGAATTTTTGGCCATTCAAACGCAAGACTGGCTTTTTCATGTTCATTTCCACCAGGTTTTGTACTTTTTCCGGCAGGGAGAGACCGCTCTGAAACAACACACAACATGTTTATATTTTTATATATTTGGCTGCTTTTGCCGGTAGTTGACGTGGCCATCAAAATCTTGGTGGTGGTACCTTCTGTTTACTCTGTGCTGTAGCAAATATCATGCAGCCGGCGAGCACAAGCAGCGCATACAGGAAAGTGTTGCGCAGCAATTTCATGTTCGCAACGTAGGTGGTCAACAATTTCACTAATTGAAAGCCAAATCACAGCAATTAATACTATAATAAAAAATATTTCTTGCGTAGCTGCTTCATGCAGCTGATTGTGAATGGACAAACCAGCACCTGTAATTTGGCGCTGCCAGACTATTGTTTCTGCTGACAGGGATGCGAGCTCTAATTAAATATCGATATACCGGCAAATCCTGGTACTACCACATATTTGTGGTTCATAGTGCTGTGCAATCTAAAACAACTTTAAAAATTAGTCAGCGACTGCTTTCATGCACAAATATATAATTACATTTTAAAGATAAATAATAAAACTGATGTTTTCATAATTTACAATTTCAAATTGATATTGTACTTCTACACAAAAGGCTTCTGTTTCGAACCCATGAACTAAATCGTGTATTTAACTCAGTGGTTCGTATCTACGAACTCTGAAGTGTTTTGGTCAACGACGCGTCTGTATTCTGCACCGCATTGAATCATTTTTATTGTTTTTATGTTAATAGTTTTGTTCCCACTTATTTTACTGTGTATTAGCTCATCATGAGCGATGTTTTAAAGAGCTCGCAGGAGCGCTCGCGTAAACGCCGTCTCTTGTTAGCCCAGACGGTGAGTGATCTGTTTTGTTTTTCTTGCATTTTAATATAATTTTGGCTTAAATGCAAATGCAGCTTGGATTGTCGAGTGTCGATGAGCTAAAAAAGGTACTGGGCAACGCAGAAGATAGCAACAGCTACGCTGGCGGCGGCAATCGGCCGCTAAATGCGAGTGGACAACGGGATGAAGATGAGACCGGCGCGTCCTCGTCGAAAAAAACACCTGAGATTATTTACAGGGACTCGTCGACATTTCTAAAGGGCACACAGTCTTCCAATCCGCACAATGATTACTGCCAGCACTTTGTGGACACCGGCCAGAGGCCACAGAACTTTATACGCGACGTGGGATTGGCGGATCGCTTTGAGGAGTATCCCAAATTGCGCGAACTCATCCGGCTGAAGGACAAGCTAATTCAGGACACTGCGTCGGCGCCAATGTATCTGAAAGCCGATCTTAAGACTCTTGATGTAAAGACGCTGGGCGCCAAGTTCGATGTTATACTTATTGAGCCACCATTGGAGGAATATGCCAGAGCGGCACCCGCGGTGGCCACAGTGGGCGGAGCGCCGCGTGTGTTTTGGAATTGGGATGACATTTTGAGTGAGTGCCTTCATTATATCAATGTCTTAATTATATACTTGACTTCTCCCCACGCAGATCTGGATGTTGGCGAAATTGCCGCCCATCGTTCGTTTGTCTTTCTCTGGTGCGGTTCATCAGAGGGCCTAGATATGGGACGCAATTGCCTGAAAAAGTGGGGCTTTCGTCGCTGCGAGGATATTTGCTGGATACGCACAAACATTAATAAGCCGGGACACTCCAAGCAGCTTGAGCCGAAAGCTGTTTTTCAACGTACTAAAGAACACTGCCTGATGGGCATTAAGGGAACGGTACGGCGCTCTACCGATGGCGACTTCATACACGCTAATGTGGATATTGATTTAATTATATCGGAGGAGGAGGAATTCGGTAGCTTCGAGAAGCCCATCGAAATCTTTCATATCATTGAGCATTTTTGTTTGGGTCGTCGGCGACTGCATTTATTTGGACGCGATTCGAGCATTCGACCAGGCTGGCTGACCGTTGGCCCAGAGCTCACCAACTCCAATTTTAATGCAGAGCTCTATCAAACGTTTTTCGCGGAAGCTCCCGCCACGGGCTGCACCAGCCGTATCGAATTATTGCGACCGAAAAGTCCGCCGCCAAATAGCAAAGTTTTGCGTGGTCGTGGCCGTGGCTTTCCACGTGGACGCGGCAGACCCAGATAGGTACCATTTTGCATGAAATTGTTGAGGGGCGGCTTCTATTTGTTATAGAGCAAAAATTTATGCTACGAATAAAGCTAAACTAAAACTAATGTTGTAGACTGTGATGATTATGAAGATGCCTCATATAGACTTCCAGCTCATCCTCGCTGTCTTCGCTGCTGTGGACAGGCTTCGCCGACTCAGTAGCTTCTTCATTGTCGCTTGCCTCGAAGTAGGCATCCTCCTCATCTTGTTCGATTTGCTTTAAATCATCCAGCAACGCATTCTCGTCCACTGCTGTATAGTCGAAGTCTTTGTCGTCGCCGCTAATAAAACGCTCCTTCATGATGCTCATGAATTCATGTCGGAGCAATTCGCGCTCACCAGGATAGTAACAAGCAGGCTTTGCACTATTATTTATAGAATTCATTGTTGTGGCGCGACTCGTGGAACAGGCAACTGGCTCGTCATTATCGAATCCACCCCACTGTTTGCGGCATTCTGCTGGTACCTCGAACTCTGGATTCGTTGTTGCTGGCTCAGATGTTTGTGGCGCTGTTTCTTCCCTAACTTGTTCCAGCAGCTCGTCACGCTGTTTCTGCTCCAGCGTGTGCATAAGTATGCCAGAAAAAGTGGTGCTACGCACATCGTAGCTGTCTCGCTCTTTCTTCTCCTCCTCCGTCATATACTGGCCAACAAGTTCATCATACAGCTCGGGTGCACGCTGCATCATCTCGTGCTCACTGAAATACTCGCCCTGGTCCAGCAACTGCCTCATTGCCACATACCGTCGGTTTTTCACGCAGATGCTCCGCGTCTGCAGTTTACGTCTAAAATCCTCCAGCAGCAAGCACATGTCATCGAAATCCTCCGTTGGCTGAAAAGCCTCTGATGACTGCAATCCAACTGCCAAGAAATCATCAATTTGGCTTTCGTTTAGGTACTGGCCAAAACGAATAAGAAAGTTTTTCCGGTTCCTCTTGAAGGCGTTGTGGGCTATTTCTTGTTTTTGCGCTGGCATTAGTTCTGGATCGTCGATTTGTTGGGACTTAAAAATTATTTTGTCGTTGCTGGCAAGCGACTTAAATATGCAGACGAGCTCGTCCGGAAGCTCAGTATTGTCCGACGCTTCCGAATTACTACTTCCCGTCGTCATACTGTAATATCTTGATTTCTAGCTCATCATATCTAATTTCTTTAGAAATATTAAATACAATTACTTATTTGGGTGTACACTAGGACACAAATATTATTGCTTTACAAACTTCCCAGACAAAATATGAGCAAACGTTTCCTTGCAAAGAATTGTTTGTTATGAAGTATCGACTAGAAATGTGCACAAATGTAGTCGAAGTAGTCCATAATCGATAATTATAAAAGCTGGCGGGTCATATAACAATTTTAAAAGTTTAGCTATAAAATAGCTATAGTTAGCACTATAAAAGCTTAACACGTATTGAATTTAAATTAGAAGTAACTGCCAAGTTGCAAAAAGAATTGACAAACCACACATAATAACAGATGATAACGTTAAATATATATCGAATATTCTCAAATATCGATATAATTCAAATAATTAGCATCGCTATTATAAACAACATACGCCGCAACGGCGTTCACGTTCTCACTTTATTAGTCATTGTGCCTAATCGTATTTTATCAGTGCAAGAAAGGGATTTTTTCACGAATTACTTATCGCGAATGTGGGCGCCGCTTAAAACAGATGACTTCTTGTATAGAATCATATAATGGTCAACAAACTGCATTGATCGGTGCTTAAAGGGAAGATTTTCTTCATGAAACAATTTCACAATTCAACAAGATAGTCGATATGGATTGGAACATTAAGTGGAATTGGACGCAGTTTTGTTCCACGGGCCTGAAACCATTTGCCAACGACACCAAAGATCTGTTGCCATGTTTTCAGGAAACTGTGCTCCAGCTCCCCGTCTACACCATCTTTGCAGCTATATCCGCCTACAATTTTGGCAGCCTCAGCAATGGACTTCGAATAGCACGAAATAAAACCCAACTGCGAATGCTAACGCTGCGTGCCCTGTTAAGCATTGTGCTATCCCTTCTTCCTGTATGCAAGATCTTTGTGTTTTATCGAATGGGGGTGCGGCTGTCGGCTGTAGATGTGCTGGTAGTGTGTGCAGAGTGTATTATGTGGGCGGTCCATTGTGGTAAGTTAAAAGCAAATATCGCGTTTAATTGATACCTATTCTATTGATGATATCGATTGCAGGTTACTTACTTTCGGCCCGCCACTTTGGCAGTCTGTGCCATCGGGGCACGTTGCTGCTGAATGTTGTGTGGATCACAGTGCTCGTTCTGGACGGGATCTGGCTACGTACGAGTCGTCACTTTGACTGGTGGCCCTGGAGTCTTATCACATTGCTGTGTGACTTGCTCTATGGCTTGACACTACTACCAAAGGGTAGCGCTGTGGTTGCGAGGTCAACAACAGGGAGCGGAACCGAACAGGATCCGCTGCTGTCGCCCCATCGTTACACTCAGTTCGATTTCGAGCTAAGCGAGGCGCATTTGGGTCACGCGCAAGACGAAGCCAATTGGGCATCGCGGTTCATCTTCCATTGGGTGCATCCGTTAATTGAGAAGGGCGTGGCAGGCAAGCTGCGGCGCATCGAGGACCTGTTCGATTTACCAGATGCGTTAAACATAAACCGCCTCAGCGAGAAATTAAATCTGGCAATAAGTCAGTCTCACAGTTTGCTGCGGGCCCTTCACAAGTCCTTCGGCGTGGAGTTCTATTTGATTGGCGTGCTGCGTTTTGTGGCCGATGTGAGCGGCTTTGCAGGCCCGCTGCTCCTGGGCGGCTTGTTGTCACAACAACCAGAGGGAGAGGAAGGCAGGGCCTACTACTATGCCGTCGGACTGTTCTGCAGCACTTTAATCTCCGCGCTCTGTTCCACACACTTTGACTGGCGCATGGCCATGATCAACATGAAAATGCGGCTCGGAATGGTCAGTGTTATCTATCGAAAGGCACTGGAGGCAAGGGGCTTACGCGATGCGAGCCCAGATATACTGAACCTTATGTCCACCGATGCCGATCGCATTGTCCACTCGTGCATCAGCTTCCACTTCTTCTGGAGTATTCCCTTCAAGCTGTTTACAACACTCTATCTTCTGTACACCCAAGTGGGCGCTGCGTTTATAGCGGGCCTGCTATTTGCCGCTATGCTGATTCCAATTACTCGTTGGCTGGCGAAACGAATTGGCATTTATACCACCGGTCTGATGCAGGCGAAGGACGCGCGCCTCGCTGCAACCACAGAAACTATGCAAGGCGCCAAACAGATCAAGACAAATGCCTGGGAGGACATTTTCATATCGAAGATACGCAGCCTGCGCTCGGAGGAGGTGAAGTTCATTTCAAAGCGAAAGTATTTGGATGCCATGTGCGTCTATTTTTGGGCAACCACGCCAGTCCTTACGTGTTTGTTGACCTTTGGTGTATCCGTTTTGATGGGCCACCCGCTGGTGGCCTCGACAACCTACACCAGCGTGGCTCTCTTGAATATGTTGATAGGCCCGCTGAACGCCTTTCCGTGGGTTCTGAATGGCCTGGTCGAGGCTTGGGTCTCGCTGCGCCGCGTGCAGGAGCTCATTAATATTCCCAATCTGGACTTATTAAGCTACTACAGTCCCATAATACGTGGCAGCAATGATATTCAAGAAGGTGAGACGCTTCAGGACCCAAAGCCGATCATCTTGCAGCTGAAAGGTGCCAGCTTCGCTCATTACGGCGATAAACAGGACTCGAGAACTAGTCCCCTGTGCTTGAGGGACGTGAATGTGAGCATCAAGGCCGGCGATCTAGTCTGCATTGAGGGTCCTGTGGGAGCTGGCAAGAGCAGCTTTATTTCGGCCATTGTGGCCGGTCTACGATGCATGGAAGGCGAGGTTTGCGTCCAAAATCTGCCCACAGGATTCGGCTATGTGCCACAGAGGACTTGGCTTCAACGCGGCACCATACGTGACAACATTGTCTGGGGGGCAAATTTCGATGAACAGTGGTATAAAACAGTGCTACATGCTTGCGCCCTTTACGATGATATTGCGGCCTTGGGCGGTGATTTGATTGGCGTTGGTGAGAATGGTCACACGCTTTCTGGCGGACAGAGGGCAAGAATATCATTGGCACGCGCCGTTTACCAGGATAAGAAGGGTAGGTGAAGTCCTCTATTCAAATCCTATGGAAGTTCTCATCCAGCTTTCCTTTTCAGTGTATCTGTTGGACGATGTGCTCTCCGCTTTGGATGCGCACGTGGCTAAGCACATCATCAAGCATTGTTTGCTGGGGGTGTTGAAGAATAAGACACGGATTGTGGTCACTCGAAGCACACAGCTCTTCTTCCATGCTAACCAGATTCTGAATGTGCGCGATGGCCAATTAAGACCCAGCGACTATATGTCAGAGAGCATCGACTTGAGTCTGGAGGCGGACGATCTAGAGGAGCCGGACTCCGTGCGACGCCCATCCGTGGAGCTGCCGCAACTGCAAAATGAAGAGGACAAGCAAAGCCTGGACAGTCTGTTATTGGAGGTAAGGTGACAGCTAGATAGTTGAAAGAAGTTGAAAGATTGATTTGTGATTCCAGGAATCGCGCGAATACGGCTATCTGTCGGCCAGTGTGTTCAGTTGCTATTGGCGGGCTGTGACCACACCGCTGGCACTCTCCGTTGTGCTCTTCGTACTACTTATGCAAATATCGCGCAACTTGAGCGATGCCTGGCTAGCTTACTGGGTGACCCAATCCACGCTGGATGGCAACAAGAACGACACGTCGCTGGCACACGAAGTGATACCGGTTGGTGTGGGCAATGGAAGCTTGCCCACACACACCACAGGCTACTATCTGGGTATATTTGCTGGCATAGCTGTGAGTAACTCGATTCTGACGCTAGTGCGTGCCTTTCTGTTCGCGTACGCGGGCATAAAAGCGGCAATTTTGATACACAACAAGCTCCTCAACAATGTCATGTTTGTAAGTAATAATTGCTTTTTATACCCAGTATCCGACGAGTCAAAACGATATACACTTGTCCGTCTGTATGAACCTCAAAACTGCTTAAGCTTTAACAGGTAGGAGGACGAAACTTGGTTTGTAGACTTGTATTTTCCATATACACTGCAAGTTTATCACAAATCGTATATAGCATCAAAAGTCAGTGTGATTTTTTTAGTTGAGTGACTGCGGCGGAGATACGGGCGGGTACTGGGTATACCAGAGCCGGACCTAACGTTCTACTCGTTATAAAATGTGTATTACTTTCAGGCAAAGTTCAGCTTCTTTGATGTAACCTCGGTGGGCCGTATACTGAATCGTTTCTCCTCAGACACCGACACTGTCGACGACTCACTCCCCTTCATTCTGAACATTATGCTCGCACAGCTAGTGGGTTTGATTGGAGCTCTTTTTATGAGCTTGTATGCCATGCCCTGGTTGGGCTTGGTGGTTATTCCAATGGTCCCCATCTACCTCAATCTACAGCATCGTTACCGGCACGCCTCGCGCGACATTAAACGGCTGTCAAGCAACGCGATGTCCCCGCTCTACACGCACTTCACGGAAACTTTGCAGGGTTTAACGACCATTCGGACAATGCGGGCTAGTTCCCGATTTCAACGCGATTTCCATGCCAAGCTGGAGGAGAGCATAAAGGCCCAGTTGACGTCCTCGGCGGCTCAGCAGTGGCTGTCCCTTCGGCTGCAGATGCTCGGTACGTTCTTGGTCGGCGGTGCTGCCCTCTTGGCAGCTATCACAGCCTCGCACACCACAAATCCTGGCCTAGTAGGTCTCTGCATTTCGTACGCGCTTACCATTACTGGCCAGTTGGGTGATCTGCTCTACGCCGTGGCTGAAACGGAACAGGAGTTGGTAGCTGTGGAGCGTTTGGATCAGTATCTGCAGCTGGAGGGGGAACAGAACTCGAATGGCAGCGCAGATCCACCCTTTGGTTGGCCCACACAAGGCGTGCTTAGCTACAAGGAAGTGGAACTGGGCTATCGGGAGCATCTGGCGCCGGCTCTGCGGGACATTAGTTTCGTGACGGAAGCCTTCGAACGGATTGGAATTGTGGGACGGACAGGAGCTGGTAAGAGTTCCGTGTTGGCGGCTTTGCTGCGCGTCGCACCACTCAGTCGTGGCGAGATAAGGCTGGACAATGTGAACCTAAAGACGGTGGCACTAAATATTTTACGCGATCGTGTGGGTGTTATCACCCAGGAGCCCTTCCTATTCGAAGGTAAATCTTCACAATAAAGAGTCGAACTACTTCTTAATACATTCATTACAGGCACGGTACGCGAAAATCTCGATCCACGACGAATCTGTTACGACTCGGAAATTTGGCATGCTATCAAGAATTCGGCGGCCACCACTTTGTTGGTCCAACAATTGGGCGGCCTCGATGGGCACATCGAGAAGTGCGGCAACAATCTGTCCGCCGGTCAACGACAACTGCTCTGCCTGGGTCGGGCGTTGCTCAAAAACGCCAAAGTTCTTTGCATTGATGAGGGAACATCCAACTTGGACGATGAGTCCGATCTGAGCATGCAGCAGGCTCTGCGGAGCGCCTTCAAGAGCTGCACTCTGCTCTTCATAGCGCATCGACTTCGCGGTCTGCAGAACATGGATCGCATCATAGTTCTGGACAACGGTGTGATTTGCGAGCAGGGAAAGCCACAAGAACTGGCCGAGAACACGGCCTCCATTTTCCATGGTATGCTGAAAGCTCAGGGCATCAGCCTCGAAGAATTCTCCAAAGTCGGGCATTAAACAAAGAGCGATTCTGGTCTGAATTCGATTGACGAATTGCACCCTTAATCGGTGTATAATTTGTTGTTTGTTTTGTGCATTTTAAATGCTATTATAACATAGCTTAGCTTAGTTAGTTCGTTATTTATTGTAAATAAAATTGTAATATACCAAATAAAGAAATTGACGCAAAAGAAAGGGATCCTTCCCAGTTCAATTGTTAATATTTAATTTAAAACTATAAAAAGTCTAGCGTTTAAATCTTTAACGAAATGCAAGTAATAATTATTAATTATTACCTTCATTTGGAAAGTTAAAATCCCTGCAGTACTGTTCAATAAATTTATTGTTAATCATAGATAACTATTTAAAATTAAGACTTACTATTTTAATGAAATCTAGAAGCAACCAAAGCAGCACTAGTTTTACAGAGTTTATTTGGAACATTTTCATACATGAAACATGCGTAGCTTGACATGATATGTTCAAAAAATCGGTACATTTATTTATTAAAAAAAAAAAGTAGGTAAAGTATCTGCCAAAAGGGCATGAATAAAAAATTATGTGGGAGTTATTATTATATGTTTCTTACTAAGTAACTTATTTGGTAACAATTGTAATAACTATTCTAATCTAAATATAAATGTATGCTCTAGCTTGAAAAGCCTGGCAGTCGTGGCTAAACCATATTACATGTTCCCTTATGTGTTTTAACTTTAAATTAACTTTATAATAATAACAAAAAAAATAATAAACTCGTGGCACAGCATTGCAATGCCTGTCTGTATACATACATTTCATCATTATCGTGATACATCATTCATATCTCGTAGTTGAAGAGCTTCTCCCCCGGCCGGCCAGTTATATGATCGTACTGATAGGGCAGATGCGGGGGTTGGCTTAACATCTCGTTAACCACCTGGTCGTAGATATCGATATAATGGCGCAAGTCCTCATTGTTGAAAACCTGTGAGGATTTAGAAAAGATTAGTATGACTGAGCTGTAATATTTCAATCGGGGCATGTATGAGTGAGTGTGGTTTTGATTACGTGCTGAGGTGTTACTAAATGCTACACTTATTAGTCGAGTTATATGAGATTAGTGCCGATGAGACCCATGATTAGTACATTAGTCCATTTGATGGCAAACTCACACTGATACCTTTATTTGAATACGGAATCCGATAGCTAAATGCGGCAAAGAATTGTAAAAAGAATTGTGTGTATTGTCTGTGGCTGATTATCGACTCAATCCAAATACTCGTTTCGAACAGATGAACAACATTTTCTTAATACCTTCAGGTAGTTACGGACGACATACGATATGCGGCGCACATCGTGTATGGCCTCGTGGACGTGATGGTACACGCCGTTCTCACATCTCATTATAATCGAGCGTAAGTCGATGAATTCCTGGTGGCAGCGCAGAAATAGATCTGGATACTGGAAATAAACAGATAGTATCAATCAATCAATATCTTTTAAGAAGAAAGCTGTTCTATTTGCCAATCAACTTGATATCTGAATTAACTAATAAAAGACATTAATAGACATTTTTTAGATGACAGGTTTTAGATAAACATACCTCTTGCTTAAATAGAAAATGATCTTATTTCTCTGAGTTAAAATCTGAAATCACTTCTAAAATCTGTAATATCAAGTTGAAAAGCACAGCTCTCCTCTTAAGAGATCCGGATACAGGATAAATCACAAGTAACTATAAATACAATTAATCCCTATGATCAAATCAGAGAACTTTCAAAAATACAGCGTTCTATTGGTTTTCTAAGTTAAAATCTGAAAAAACTATTCCAAGTATTACTATTTAGGCTTCTGAAGATCGCTGATGCCTTCATTAGCGCCTCTTTTATTTACTTAAAAATAACTAGAAAAGTTTTTGAATTTCTTCTATACTTACATAGTTTCGGGTGAATTGCTTCTCGAAGAATCGCTCCGTGCTCTGCAGCTCGAGCAGACGTTCGCTAAAGTCTAACAAGCTGCGCGTAATTTCCCGTCCCACAATACTAAAGGGATTAATATAGGTGCTGACATCCGCGTGGCGACGTTGTGGCGTCTGCTTGTGTACCTCCTGCATCGGGTACGCTTCCTGCTTAGATGGTTCCGGTGGCAATGACTGCCAGTTTTCGTATGTTATGTTCGTCTCGTGCTGCTTAACAGGCATGCAAGTTGGTAACTCTGGGTGTTTGCCATAATCGTGCTTATCCAATTTGGATTCCTTCTTCAGCGGAGTATATGTTCCGGTTTTGAGATATGTGCCGTTTGCGTCTACGCTCCGCTGCCTCTCCTCCGAGTTCTCAATCATGGTGTACAAATAATTCAAGTTCTGAGAACTCTTCGATTTCTGCATCAAATTGGTTGTGCTGCTGCCATCAGGAATGGAGGAGGTGCCCAACTCCATGGTAGCTGCCTCTTTGGGGCTGCTCTGGGCGTTGGATGTGATCGATGTTGGCTGAACGGCAGCGCCCAAAGTGTTGCCTAAAGTGCTGCTATCACTGCTGTTGGCAGAGACATTGGTTTTATTATTGTTGATGCTGTTAAAGGTCGAACTATTATTGTTGTTGTTATTGGCATCACATTTGGAGAAGGAATTCTTCTGCTTTTGTAATAGATCGTCCAAATTAACAAATGATTTTATAATCATTTCGATGAGCAACAAAGTGCCACATTGCCATCCATCGAAAACGGTCATAAAGCCGCGTGGCAGCTCGTCCTTAATTTTATTTAAGCCCTCCGGCGTATTGTAGACGTAGCCTCTTAGTATAACCCAGGCATTAATAATGCGAGTAAATACGAAAATGAAATCCTTTACGGCCCAGGCAATGCCCTGGGAGTTGATGTTTGGCAACACCCCATCGGGACGCAACAGATCCTGCTTAAGGCGTGCACATAGCGTGTCTATTTTCTTGAAGCACGGACGATTGCGATGCGTATTGGCCAACTTTTCGGCTATTTCGCTGCCGTAGAGCGATACTCGCGTAATGTCCAGCAGACGTTGCTGCGGCAATGTGACCTCAGAGTTGCGACGCACACTCTGTAGCGCGTTGAGGCCGTCGCCTCCGCCATTTTCAATTCCAGTGGAGCTGTTGGTTTGCGATGAAGTGCTCACATACTCAGACTCCTCAGCGCTTTTGGATATAAAAGTGAAAACACAGCAGTTCATTCGCTTGCTAAAAATAAAGCTAAGTGCCACTTACTTTTCCAAGACATAGGACGAAGCTGTCGAGGATGTCGTAGCCGTCTGATTGAGCTTCATCAGTGGCGGTGCGCCACTAATTAGATCTGCCTGCGTGGATGCATCACAGCTTTGCTTAAAAGCTGGCTGGTTTGCATAATATTGAGCTGGAGGTGGCACATAAGCCGCCGGCATATACACACCTCCGCCGCCAGGCATGTTGCAGCTTGTTGTTGTGGAAGAGCGCGAGGAAGCATACATCTGACTGTATCCGCCGTTCATCGAACCTGGAACTGTTTAATTTGGTCAAATGTTGGACTTTTTTTTATTTTTAAATTAATTTTTAAATACCTGCGCCAAAATATTGACCACCGGAGGCCATATAGCCGGTCGGCATAAAGCTATAGCCTGGCGGCGCAGGCGGTGGAGGTGGTGGAGCAGGGCAAGCAGCCGGGATGTGCATAAAAATTGGCTGCTGCGGTGTAGTCATAGCCCATGAGCTTTGCGAAACGTGCTCCTGAAAAATGACGTCAGTGACGGCGCCACGCTGACGATCCAAGAACGTGTGCTGCTGATACATGGAAGAGCGATGTTGGCGCATCGCAGAAGTGGTTACAGCCGGCAAAGGCATCGGCATCGAAGCGCCATTATTAAGCAAATTGTTCAGGTTCATATTTCTCTTACAAAGCAGAAGAATGCAAAGAACAAACAGATGAAGATAGAAGAAGCACGTTGCACCAACACAAAGGCAATATCTGTAAGGCGTGAAAATATGTGAATTACCGAATTCATTTTTCTTATTCTTATTCAATTGATATTTCTTGTTCGATACATGTGTATAATAAACCTGCACCTTTATTAAACAAAACACCGTTAAATATATATTTTAGCCAAATAGAACAAGACGCATGTACTCACCAGAACCGAACCGAACAGCGAAAGGAAAGACTTTTTTGCAACGGCGATGAATTCAGTGCTGGCAAGGTTTCCGCACAAAATGAACTAGCTCCTGTGAGTTGACTAACAGGGCTGCACAGTGCAGATGTTTTTTGTGTTGGCGCGGTTGGCAGCACCCGCCGTCAGACCGTGCGCCATTCTTCCAGCTATTTATTAATTGACAATTCTGTTAGCCTGCTAAAGATGACAGAAGAGAGTAATTTTGCGGCCCAAATCGAAAACGATAGAAACAAATTGAGCGTGCGTTGCCAGTTCTGTAATTGTCTAATGCTCAAAGCCAACGAGGGCAGTTACTGCGAGCAAGAAGTAAGAACGCCGCCGTCACCCATCCATATTTTCCACGAATATACAAAACTTAATTCGTTTTTGTTAGGTAGATGTGCCGCTAATGCAACAAAAACAGGACAGAAGCGCAGAGGCTCTGCAAACGGAGAAATTGCGTCATTTTTGGCTTATCAAGGATATGATGACGTTTGAAAACATCGGCTTCTCCCACACCGTTGACGGCCGTAAGTTTCTGGTGTGCGCCGACTGTGAACGCGGTCCAGTGGGCTACCATGAGCTGGCCAGCAAGTTCTGTTATTTGGCGCTGGGCCGGGTAGTGCATGGGGATAAGTAGATAGAAGAGAGAGAGAGAGAGTGGACTTCTGCTTTTCGCTGCCTACCCAAATGCTGTATAATAAGTCTAAGGTAGCACAAATATTGCTATTTCTAATGTTTCCAGTATGTATTTTCTATTAAGCTGCAAATCAATGTTTTTAACTTAAATGTAAATTAATACTTGTAGTGAAATTAAAAACAAAAATGGTTTTTCAAAGTTGTTTGATTTTCATTCAACCGAGGCAGAGTGGGAATCAAAGCACATTTGCTCATTTATTTGTATTCATATTTATTGTTTTCCATTTTTTAACATTTTACAATTTTATTGCAATCTAAATACACATATCGTATTTCAGAGGAGGGATTTAACTAAACAATTTTCCTATAAATCTTTGTTGCATTCCATTGTGACGTTTGGCGCTCAGAATTTGCCAATTTGTAGCTCTGGTTCGTTTAACATTTAACTTTTGTGTATGTATGTATATGAATCATTTTGGAACTATGGACAAAACAATTATTATTTGCTAAATTTTTTGTAATCCTTTTCTTGGTTCTCGTCCTGCTCCCATCGTAGTCGTTGTGCAGCATTGATTGGCGGTGCTAGATGATTTATTTCACGTTTAAAAGACTTCGACCTGGCAGTTCCAGTTGTTACAACATTTGTATGTGTTTGTGTATTTGTGTATGTATGTGTGTGTTTGTTTGGTTTTCGTTTATTTTCTAAGTGTTGTGTATGGGACACGGATATCAAAGCGTGTACGACTAACCTACGAGTTGGGGGAATCATCGCTTAGTATATAGTATGTATGTATGTCCTTAAATATGCGTTAAAGTGGGGCGACTCTTACAATTGCTGACATTTATTGGTTGTTTATTCATTTCATTTAATTACCTTTGTAATATTTTAGTAATTTAGTTTAGCTTAGCGCATTGTTAGCCAATAAACGGATGTTTAGTTTAGAAAAGTTCTTGAAGTCTTACGAAAATAACAAACCGTTGTAAATGAGAAGAAATTGTTTGAATACTACAGCATGCTGGTTTGCTTTAGTTTTTTATTTTACTCTTTTTTACTTATTTATCATGCGGGGCATTTGTATTTTATTTTATTTTATTTTTCATTTTATAAATATTTTACTTCATCTTGTTGGGCTTGAATTTAACTGCGGTAGGTTTTAATTATTTGTTTAATCCTTTTTTGGAAATATTAATTAAAAATACTTTTGAACTCCGGAGATGTTTGTTGGCCAATTCGCATTTGTATGTATATACAACATTTAAAGTTTACACATTTTGTTATAAAGCTTTTCCACTTTCTTGTTTGTTAGAAATGTCTTTATTATATTTGGTTGCCTTTTCATCTGTTTTTCTGCCTTTGTTTTTCATTTCTATCATGCCTGCGCCAGATCACATTTATAGCTGAAAAAGAATAAAAACAAGAGCGTGGTATTGAATGTAAATTTTGAAGTGAATTCAAGTCAGACTTACCATGTTTTCTAGCAGTTCAATTTTTAAATCTCTAATTAAATAAATAAAAACTGTGCTGGGCGTTCAAATCAAAACTCAAAGTCCAGGTTCGGGGCCAAACGAAGAAAACAAATAATAATAAATAGCAAAAATTAAAGACAAACAAAACAGAAAACAAAAACAATATTAGCGCTCTCCAGCACTTAACGTTGTAGCCATTGAAGGGCTCCCAGAACCACAGCGGCCGCGCCCACCACAGCCACCGTCGAGCTGCTCAGCGAGGTGGCGCCGTTACAATTGTCCGTATCACAGGAGCAGACCACTTGGCGGCCACCGAAGCCGGCCCGTTGATAGCAGTAGCTGTTCGAGGTTTGGTTTAAAAAGCCGCAGGTGCGTATTACACGGCTCTCTGGAGGCACTGCAAAAAGAACAAATAAAACACACGCAATATAAATTGATTGGCTGCTCAATAAATTTCATTAAAATCTTGTACACTGAGCCAAATAGTGAGTGCCTGACAGTAAGCAATTTATTTTAAGCTTTGATTTGCATTTCATAATAATTTTTATACCCTGTACCCAAAGGGTAAAAGGGTATATTAGTTTTGTGCGAGTGTACATGTAACACACAGAAGGAGGCCTGGCAGACCCCACGAAGTATATATTCTGGATCAGAACAAGCTTAGCTGACAAGCCGAGTCGATATAGCCATGTCCGTCTGTGTGTATGAACCCAAGGACCTCAGAAAGCATAAGAGCTAGAATAACCAAACTTGGTATCCAGATTTTTTTAATACATTTTTTTTTTTTTGTGTGGTGGTACAGGGTATTCAAGAGTTGAGCCTGCTCGACTTTAGCATTCCTTTCTTTTTTAATTTATTCCGCACGCACAGCCATCTGTCATATTCCCACTGAGTTCACATTTTTTATGGTGAGCAGCCGGCAGTTTTATTGACGTCCCTCCATTTCGTTCATTGCCTTATTTGTTTTATTTCTTCCACTTCTTCGGCATTTACAGTTCGAACGTTTAAAAATTTAGCGCCCGGAGACATTTGAGTAGTTTTCAATTCCTAAAATATACCATTTGCGACCAAAATAGCTATAAAGCTTAAAGTTCGACTTCTGTTGTATTCTTAATTAATTACTTGAAGTATCTTTTAAGTTGAGTAAACATTGTATGTAGTGTATTTTAAAAAGCTAAAACTTCTAGTGTATTTTAAAAGCTATTTATATATTACATAAGTCCCTTTTAAAAACTCAGTTCCGCGACTTTTAGTTTTAATGCAGGAATGCCAAAAAAACGAATAGAAAGACTACCAAAAAAATGAACAACTTTTGAATAAATCTTTACAGCACCTAAATACTTTTTTAAAGTTTATTTCAGAGAATTAAAGTAAAAGTTTCATTTCGCACGCAAGTTAAACTGGGAATAACGAGCATTTAATATTTATTTCAACTTACAGCCATTGACAGCGAACTCAATAACTTGCGTTATTTTGCGGCAAAAGGTGGGAATTCCTTTATCGCGCGACGAATAGTGCTCCTGGCAGTCCTTCAGCAAATTATCTGGCGGCATGTCCAATGCGCAGTTGGCGTCTTTGTGGCTGTTGCAGACGAAGCATTTTATGGCGGCGCCTGTAAGAACGGAAAAATATACGAAACGGTTAAAAATAATGTTTGAGGAAAAGAGAGAGAGAAGAGAGCAACGGTTTCGTTTTACTTCACGAATTACTGTCGATACTATAAATTATCGATTATCGATCTAAATAAATGATTTCTTGACTCCAAAAGCGGCTGTAATTTTGGGGGGACATGAAATTATTGAAGACCTACGAAATTTCTGAAGGAAAGAAATATGAACATCTAATGAAAACTTTTGTATTTGGCCAAACAAATAATTCAAACAAGAGTTCTGAAAAATCAGACAATTCCCAAAAAAGTACACAAATATATCATCTGGGTTAAATGCCAAGAGCCCGATAATTGAAATGGACATCAATTTGAAAACATTCCGAACAGCTAGCTGATCGGATGAATTAAAACAAATCTTGAACAGCAGTTGGGAGTTGCCTTGGTGTTTGGATAAGCAGGAAAGAGGAAATTTTGAAATGAACAAAGTCAGATAATAGGAGTAGTAGAAATGCTTTGTGTGTTTGAGATTCTTTTCGTGTGAATTTCCACTTGGCCTCCTTAATTGTTTGACAAAAAAGAGTGTGAACAAATGTCAGACATAGAATGCGATCATAAGCATGATAAGTATGCATACAAAATATGTTTATATATAAGTACATAGACATATATGACGCACATTAGTGCTGTTTGAGCAACTAAATTGAATTTAAGGTCGTGCTCGACACGAGATTCGCATTATTTAATTCAAAACTAAGTAAGCCGTTGCCCCGCCACAGCCACCTGACGCTGTCTCCAATTATGCAATGTGTTTGTGTAGCCATAGCCAGAGCTGTGGCTGCAGTTTTGCCATTCCGCCAAAAGTGGCACACAGAAGTGGCAACGGCGAGGCGGCAGATCCAGCAGCGCTTCCATTAGTGTGTGGACGCGAACACCATTTTGAGCGAAGATGTCGTCAATGGAATGGCATTGTTGTTATAGCAAACAATCGCTAATTACCCCAACGGCGATAGCTTGTTAATGGACTCCAACAGCTTGTAAGAAGTAGTACTTTCCACCCTCCCCCTCCCCCATTTGGGGGTTGCATAATGAGTGAGACAGTAGAAGAATTGGCTGCCAAAAAAGTGCTGCGTGCTTTCGGGCTGCATTGTTATCGGCGACAAGATGGCGGACAACTGAAATAAGACAACAAACTGGGCCGTGTCGAGCAAACTCTGAGAAATGGTAGCAGCCACTCACATGCATGCCATGCCATGAAAGTGTACATCAATATTTAATCAGCGAGCATCGAATAACACAATTTAGAAAAGATTGTTGCTTAGAGAAGGAAAAGGAAGAAAGAACTGCTTGGACATTTTCAGTTCCCACTGCTTGGCTATAATCGTGCTCTGCTTGATTGTGTTTCTTTTATGCAACTGCGCTATATCCTCATTAAAATTAGTATATATAATAATTAAGTACAAATTCTCCACTTTTTAATGATTAAATTGTGCCCATACTAATTGAGCTACAAAAAAAAAACCAACAACTATTGCAATTAATCATCACAGAATCTATGATACAAATGGTTTTCTTTGGATAAAAATTGCTTTAAGAAAACTCAAGCTTATTCTTCAATAATATTGGACAAATAATATAATAATATTGTTTATAATAATATGTAAGCTATTTTCAAAAAAATTATAAAGATATATATATCTTATAACATAAGAAAATAAATTAAAAAACATTTTTCCGAAATAACACAAAATGTTTGAAATTAATTTTATTTGCAGTGTAGTATTTATTGAAAATATACACACACAGATGATCGTAGTGGAAACTTTTTCAACAATCAACAATAACATTTGAATGGTTGTGCGAGTTTCGCAATTAATTGTTATAAACAAATTGATGGCACGAGTACGAAAACTGTCGCTGGTTCTAGTTAAATGGACATGCATGTGCATGGGCAAGTGCTTGTTTCTTGTATTCAATAAATTTCATAATTTGAACTTTTGACAGACAATTTGTTTATGTAAGTGGTTTGGTGGTTGTGGTGGTGGTGGTGGTGGCTGCGGTTGCAGGCTACTTGCAAGTGGCTCCGCGGGCGAAAAAAAAGAGTGCGCATGCCCACCCATATGGACATGCAAGATATATACATATATACGAGTTTATGGTACATATATTTATATATATAGATGTGTGCGTGTATACATAAATTTTGGGAAGGGCAGGAAAGCGGCGCCACCCCAACGTCTTATGCGATAAGTGCCGCAGGAAGGAAAAATTCAAACACGATACGCTCTGCATCTTGCGGATGTGTGTGTGTGTGTGTGTGGAAAGTGCGAGAGTGTGCGTGTGTCTTCATCTGTGTGTGTGTGCCGTAGTTTTGATGTCTTTTAGGCCAGCAATGTAATGCGATAATACACATTTAGCAGCTTAACTAAGCGAGGTGTCGAATAGACAATGAGCTCGTGGTAGAAGGGCAAGTAGAGTCCTTCAGGATTGGGTCGATGCTGGCGTGAAATTAAAGAGTCCCACAGTCCTAGAAACGAAATACAGCTGAACTCTTGGCTGCTCTTAAATGCAGACAGCAAATGGGATGCTTTGCTGCTTTTCTTTTCTTTGGGTGGCAAGGACTGCCCAAAAAGGCGCCATTGCGGCCGGCTTGTCGTACTCTTTGGCGTCAGTATGTCCCACTCACACACACACAAAGACACGCACACAAAGACACGCACACAAAGACACGCACACAAAGACACGCACACGCACACATACCAAGAGACAGACACGCACTCAGCGATACACAAACACGCATTATGTAATCATCAAAAGAAGATTTCCGCTGTTTAAAAAGCGGGCGAAGACTGCCTGAAATCCTTGAAGGAGCCTTCAGTTGCGTTACCTTGCTGCACGGCAATTGCCAGAATCAGCGCACTAATCACATAAATGTACTGCATCTTAGTTAATTGATCCACTCAGTTCAAATTGCTTGAAACAGCACGTTATTATTTAATAATTATTTCTATACTTGTATATATTTATGCAATTGAGAGCCTTTAAGCGCACGTTCTTTTCTCTGTGAAATTTATGCAGCAGCACTGTTTTTTTTTTCGGCTTATTTAATTCAATTTAATTTTCAAGCTCTCTGTGCGATTTTTTACCGAGCGCGCTTCAACGAGCCACGAATTGAATTTCACTTCTGATTAGTTGGGTCTGTGCAAAAAATAAAAACGCTACGGGCGAAGAGCAGCGACTCGACTCGATTCGACGCGCTTCGACTTGACTCGACTCGACTCTGAACAGCGACAGAGACAACGATGTGGCGACGACGAGGGAGCTCCCACGAGATTTGTGGCACGAATGACAATGGCTTTTCAGCTGAGCGCCGGAGCGAGCGTCTGTGGATGCGATGTGACTGGAGCAGCGACTCTGTTGAGTGTGGAGAGCTTTCCGCTGTTGTGCTTTCAATTGCGAGTCCCTTTTCTGGCACAAAAGCTTGAGCTGCAGGACCGCACCGATGTATGGGTGCTTAAAGCTCCGGTCACACATGCAAATAATTTGCACAACATTTTCTATTCTTCGCCAGCTTGGCTTTAGGCAGTATATCTTAAGAAAGTTTATTCTAAAATTGCTTTTGGTTTAATTCTAATATACCTTCACATACTACAAGTATCTGTATAGTTCGACTAATTGCTGCGTCAATTATTGGCCCGCCTGAACATATTTTTGGGAAGGGAGAGAGAGTGAATGATAATCAATTGCTCTTAAATCTCTATGGTGCTTAAGCCTAGTACCGATGTCGAAATTGTTTCCCTGAACAATTTGTTTAATAAATAGAAGCAAAAAATAATTTTTGACTTAATTTTATTTATATTCTCTATTTATATTCTGTGTGTTTATTTGAAATTGAGTTGCGAAGCGCATTCTTTTTATTTATAATGTAAATTGTAGATTTTTCATACAAACGTTGGAGCCTGTTTTCCCCCTTTGGAGCTCGAATTTTCCACAATCCCTTCTTAGTGGGCTCCTACACTAGGAAAGGATCAATCAGTCAGTCAGTCAGCCATTCAGTCAGTCAGTCGAGTCAGGACAAACTGTTTTAAATATATAGATTATCAGGCTTCTTTCCATTTTCGTCCATTTTTTCTATTCAAAAAACAATTAATGGGTTTCAAAAGTAAATAACAGAATACTAGTGCAACTGCTGATCTAAGGGAAAGCCCTTCAAACTGAATGACTTTGTAGTTTTTCTAAATTGAAGCTATTTTTCAATTGTATAAGCCAATAATTGGATTTTCATTAGAATTTCTTTAGGTGTAGATCAGTTATATTATTATTCTCTACGAGCATTATGAGATGATATACGAGATGTACGAGTTGAACTCGGAAATTAATCCATAGTCGTCAAAAGCTCATAAATCCCATTGGCTGCTATTATAGGAACTCTTTTAGAATCTACAAGTATGTATATCTATGTCTCTATTAAGTTCAATTTCTATGCTAGACGATTTTGGAAAACTTTTTAAACGCTTTGCTAGTATCAAGTGTCTGAATTAAATGCGGTAATTGCAGCAATTAAGCTCAGCTATCAACCCTGAGCCCCAGCGTGAGAGACGTCCAGACATTCAATAGAGTTAGTTCGTTGCAGATTCTTGAGACGGAAAGTGTTACATATTAATTAAGCCTAATCGTCGGCTTCCGCCAAGTATGTAGCCGACGATCGCTTGCAAGCTGCAATGAATTACTGGATAAATCAGCACCTAAATCAGCGCGCATCGCCTTGCCCTTTTGCACTCGAGAGGCGCCCAATTGATGTCATTATCAGTTCCATTTAGCTAGGACTATAAATATAAATAGCACTGCCAACTGTGCAGCTCGGGTCAAAGAACTTTGTGGGGCTTTAGCTGAACGGAGAGTACGACGAATTTGTTTAATTTAAATAGCATTGAGCCGTGTGTTAAGCATACGTCGTGTATGTTTTTGATTGTTAGAAGCTTTCCGCACGAGCTTTCAAATGACGCCTGAGCGAGCTTTCAGCTGGCGTTCTAAGACCGGCTAAAAGCACACAATAGCTTTAAACGAAAGCGCAAAAGCTTTTACAATTGCCGTTCTTTGTTTCCACAACCCTGTCTGATGTTTGTTGTTGCTGTGATGCTTCTAAGCTACACAGAGAAAAATTAGCCAAGCTTAATATAGCCACTATTTAATAGGAAATAAAAAAAATATAGAAGAAGAATCTCTTAGCTACAAGGGAGGAGTGGACGAATGGCCAACGAACATTGTTAAGAACTGTACTGAGTAAGGGAGTGAAAAAATTCACACGGACCTGCCAACTTGTTTAACAAAAATTAGGATATTGAAAAGCGATAGCAAAGCTCCATTTAAGTACTTTTATGAGAAAAGGAAAATAAATCGCATCAAAATTGGATGTTTAACTAAAACAAATAATATTTAAAAAGGCATGAATCGATTCAACTAATGACCGAAGGAAAATATACTGATCCTGATATCAATATTAATATTTTCCATTATAGGTATAATTCAAAATAATTCTTTCATTAATAGTTATAGATTGCATTTTATTGTAATCAGAACAGTGCTGACAAAATAATGTGACATTACAACTAAACAAATAATAAATATGATTTATTTTATTGTAGTTTAATATCTATAACAAGAGAGAACGCTACAGTCGAGCAAGCCCGACAGTGTAATACCCTGTACCCAGGTAAACTTCCGTCACTGAGATATATGTGCCCATAGCAGCAGCATAAAGAGGAAGAAGAAGAGCGAATTTGTTGCTGCAGTTTGGGGGGGTTGTACTGGTGAGAATTTGTTTTGCTAATAACTCTTTAATTCTAACTCTTTAATTCTAATTTCTTAGAATTGACCGAATTTGATAAAATTTTAAACAACAGTAGATAATTGTATAGAAATTTTGTGTGCAAAGTTTGGTTTAGGTAGCATTTGAAATGTGGACGCTATTGACGAAATTCTGTAGCGGGGGAAGGGGGGGGAAATTAAAAAAAAAAAATAAACTCGTCCTTACTCGGACTTACTAGGAGAATCTGGATGCCAACTTTGGTTATTCTAGCTTTAATAGTTTCCGAGATCCTTGCGTTCATCCAGACGGACGGACAGACGGACAGACGGACGGACATGTCTAGATCGATTTCTCTCGTCATGCTGATCAAGAATATATATACTTTATGGGGTCGGAGATGCTTCCTTCTGTATGTTACATACTTTGCACAAACCTAATATACCCTTTTTACCCTACGGGTACAGGGTATAAAAAGTAGAAGTAAATCCTTACTTACTGCTCCAGTTTAATACTAGATTTAAAATATGTCTTGATTGTACTTTAAATCTAATTTTATATCGCTAGAAAGTAGAATCGCATTCATTCAGGAAGTCATCGAATTTCCTTTTTAAAATATTAAAAACAACTTTCAATTTTGTATTGTTAGAAATCAATAGGTGGATTAATTCTTGTTTTATGAAGTCTCTTTATTAGTTTTACAAAATTTCAAAGTTAATTATTAAGCTTTAATGGAAGCAGACGGACATTTCATTTTCATTTCTAAACTGGATTTAGTTTAATTTTAGTTATAAGAAGTTTTTGAAAATTGTCACCCAAAGTATTAAAATTGCGTTCAATATTTTACGTTAGTATTGTTATGTATAAAATTGTATAAATCAGAGCATGTCGGCTGCGATTGTGCCATGGACGGAGAGAGATTGTCAGCTCTCAGCTAATTCGAATCAAACGGAACCGGTTTTAACAAACAAGAAATTGTTTACATGTTGCTTAATTTGTTTATTGACCGTGCGGGGAATTACATTAACAAGTGTGCGTGCGACCTTTTATTAAAAATACTATATGTATATGCACATATATAAATATTTACTTTTAGCATAGTATTTGACTCAGCACAGTAGGTCAGCTGTTTCTCTTGGAGTCGACGCGCCCTGTTCTTGAACATTTCAGCTTTATTTTGGCATTAATTAGAACGCGTTTCAGTTGCAGGTAACGTATCTCGCCAGTACTCGTTTTCAATTAAGTGTTTAAGTCAATTGAATAAAATGTACATACTTTAAAATGTGTTAAGTGAACTTTGGTATATACTTGTATAAACATTTACGGCGGCGGAGTGATGTTTGAGTGAAGAAAATTATTAATAATGAAGCGAGGCCAGCACTGTAAGTTAAAGATCTAAAATTCCATTGAATAGAACCTTTTGCTGTTCACCAAAACACAGACAATAACTCAATTTACTCTGTTTGTTCAGTTAGTTTATGAATATCTTTAGCATTTTGTTCGGCACTCTGGAAGCCAAACCAAAAAAAAAAAAAAAAAAAAACATCAAATAATTAACAACAAAAAGTGTTTCATGACACTCGTCGGTCGATTCATTTCGTATGGAAATCCGGTCGAAACTGGCTTTAACCGGCGACTTCAGTTTTAAAGCAGCGTGGAAATGGAATTAGTTGCGAGCGTTTGCAGAAAGCAACAAGAAGGGCATACAGCTGCGATAGTCAAGTCAAAATCGCAGTCTATATATATATAAATGGAAGTATGTATGTGTATATGTATATTCCCTAGAGACTCCGAAACCGCTCAACCGACTTCGATCAAATGTTGTGGCAATATTTAAAATAGTCCCGACGGTGCAGCTACGAAGTTTCGTGGCGATTGTTCAAAGCGATTAACCTTCGTTTTCTAGAGATGCTTCTATTTTCTTTCACTTGAATGCCACATAAGTGGTCATAAGTTTAAAAAGCACTGCTAAGTTATAGTTTTAAGAAAATTTAGCATCTTTTTTCTTAAGACAATACTACTTATCACTTAAATTGCACTCTATAAAAGAATTTTATGTTGATCTAGTTTATCATATTTTGGAATTCGGCCACCAACTAAGCCATTTCTGAAGATAAGCTCTATCGTTAGTGCCAGAAAAGAAAGCTAAAGAAAAGCTCTGGCATTAACCTTTGAGTTCTAAATGCAAACAGTTCATGGCTATAATTTCTAAAACATTCTAATTACCGACCGAGTACTCGATATTTGTTGTAGAAATTAATTTGTTTATTAATGAGGTGCTTGTTTTGAACACAAGCCTCATTTCTTCGTCTGTCGGCGTAGCTGGTGGAAACCAAAACAGCTGAGTTTGTGGAGGCACGAACCAGTTTCGACTAAGCACTGATAACTGATAGTTGGGATAGCCGACTCATCAATTGTCCTATCGCGACAGATCCCAACCAAAGCGAACCGAACTTAACCAAATCAAATGTAGTCAGATTTCCAAGCTTAGTTTTGAGAGTCAGAATAGCCACAAATTTGGAGGGGAAACGTATTTGTTTGCCGCTTCCTGCTGATGTGTGCGTTGCACGATTACGTTACCCACTGATTTACCAGTTAAAACCGCTATCAGCTGGCGACCACTTGTGGCAGCCAAACGAAGACAATGCAGCAGCCGCACGCTAATCGAAAGACTTGTAAGTACTTGTATGTGTATAAATCGTCATAGCAACAACAACAACAACAGCCATCAGCGGCAGCATCAGCACTCTCGCTAAATGCACTTTTGGAGGGGTCCAACCCGATCCATGCGGTTGAATTTATCTGTAAAGAGCTTCGAGAAAGGCGCGATCTTTCGTTCGTTATCAAAAGAACCTACTGTACGGATCTTATCAAGCGGCTGCACTGCCACCTTGATATGCTAACGCCCTACCTCTCCGGAGACGGACGTTTTTTTTACTTTACAGCTCTGTCTGCTTCTTGGCTGTTATTGTTGAGCCTCTCTCAATGCCGCGCTCTCGCAAAGACGAACAAACACACACACAGACCCACAGAAACACAGACACACATGTAAACCACGATCGCATTGGCAATCAAAGCAGCCCTACTGCTTATTCGTCTTGGTTGTTGTTGTTGTATCCGGCAATCTGATGCTTAGCCTCAGCAGCAGCAGCGTTTTCAGTTTCACTTGCGTTCTGCTCTGCGGTGCTTTTTCATTTTTTTCCGTGTTTAATATCAACATTTTTCGAAAAATTCATTTCGAGTTTTTAGAATCATCTCAACGGTGCGCGCGTCAAGTTGTACGCTTCTTCTCCGCTCATTTGTAAACATTTGTGAATTTAATTGTGAGTTTTCATATTTGCAAGCTTGCATTATATGTACAAAGAATTTAAAATAATAAACAGTGCAAAAAATGTATTTAATTTCAATATAATAGCCATGCAAGGACCATTGAAAGAAATGAAAGACAATTCCAAAAGAAATATATACAAAAAATAACTACTTTAATTGAATAATCAATTATCAATAATCATGTGAAAATTCGCGTCAATACCCGCCTTTCTATAAATGCAAAATAACATCATTTTGCAAGCTCGAGTCGTAAATATGTGCACACAAAGTACATATATATGTATATATGTTTATTTATATACATATTTACATACATGTGTACTTACATATATCAGTCGTAAATATTTTACTTGAACTGTGCCAATGCAAATGCTCAGCTGAGCAAACAACAACACATTTTGCCCGTCCCCGCTGTAACTCTCTCTCTCTCTCTATCACTCTATGTTTTCCAGCCCCTACCACATTTTAGTATTTATATTGAAATACAATATTTTACATACCTGCTCTGCCGGCACCTGCATTTACACACGTAACAGAGGCGCGCGTATCGAATAGCGGAAACCGCAACCAGCTTAGCCTATACAATAACCCGCAGTAACTCCAGCCGCAATGTCCGCATTCGCCTACGCCGTATTATTCGCCTTAATTGTCAATCTCTTCTTATCAGGTGAGTGTACACACACGCCTACAGCAGTGCATATTTACATTTCCATTTACATGTATGTATGTACACAGTTGTAGTTATTTAAATCTTTGACAGCGACGCGCGTTAATTGCAGGCTGTAAAAATGGGTGGCCATGGGCTGTTAATTAACAGTACGACACACAGAAAAGGAATGTAACGTCGTCGCAGGCGATGGATTCATTAAAACAGCCAACGGCATATGTAAATAGCATAATTGACTAATTAACTAAGTACTAGCTGATCGCATAGTGTCCGGACTGAAACAATTCAGCATTCAATGTAGAGTAATCAATCAAAACAATGTATTTAATTTGAATCGAATGCGCATCCAACAGAAGATGCTGCCCCTTCTGTTGTTGTTGCTGTTGTTATTAACATTGAAGCTAGGAATTTAATTTATTTAAATTTATTATGTTTGCCGCAAAGCAAATCGTATTTAATGAGCTCGATTCTCGCTTATGTTGAGAATCAGTTGGCGTGTCGCAGATAAATTGACGCCAATAGAACGAAACAAGTGGATTTGGCTTTGTGATTTAAATCAATTTCGGCTCTTTGTTTGTCCCGCAACCAATGAGCCGAACTTTGTTTATTTCCCCTTTTTATCTGGGGAGCGTGCCGAAGCAGGCACCTGTAATTAATTAGGGGCGCTTCAATGAGTTGCTTGATAGCTCAATACGATGGAATATGAGAGAACTTTTTCTTTTTTTTATTAGGTTTGCGGGAGCTGAAAAATGTAACAGGCAGAAGGAGGCGTGGCAGGCGTGGAATTTCCCTCCCTCCCCCTCTCCATCGCTATCACTGATTTTCGATTACTCCCGTATTTCTGGGAATTTCGAACTCAGAACTTAACTCCTTCATTGGTTCGTCAAAAATAGCATATTCTGCTCTCATAGTATCGGGTTTATTATACGGGTAAGAGAAAAAGAAGGGACGCAGTATTTTGAACTCTGCTTTACTAAAGTCTAGCCCATAAAAAAGTTATATACAATTACAATTTCCATTTTTGTGTACTACATATATTCTTTTATAGCCTCAAAAACAATTCCTGCTCTTAGTTTATTTTCATTTTGTTTGGTTAGGCTTAACGTTTTTTTCCAAAGCGAAATCTGTTACCATTTTTGATGGACAGCGAACAGCCGAGTTTGAGTTTCAGTTTTATTGCCGTCTTTTGAATTTATCAGCACTCTCTGGCACATTTTCACAGCTACCCTCTAATCAATTAGCCGTCGAACTCGAGTCGAAGGCATGTAATTGTATAACATGTGCTATTGAAATAGCTGGACAGACATCGCGGGGCATAAATGGCGCTAACTAATACGAACCATTCGCACATGCCATTGTCACAATGCCATAATGAGTTCCACAAATATTTCTATATGAATTAACAAGCAACTGAAGCTCGGCTGAGTCCATTGTCATCATTGCCTCCATAGCTTCCATTGCTCTGTGATTCTCGAGGGAAATGCAAAACTGCAACTTGACGAAGTATTGTTGTGAAATGGGGATTGGGGCCTGGGGGTAATTGAATGTAGGGGCGAAAAACTCTGCAAACTCTCTGCCATATAGTTGTGAATAAAGTTGAAAATGTTCGCACATGTGTGTGAGTATAAGAAACAAAACAAAACAAAACCCACACTTGCCCCTCTGGTAGAAGATATCGCGCATACGCCCATTGCTCCAAACCCAGACCCAGACCCATATCCAGAGTCGGACTCGGACTCAGACAAACGGCAAACCAACTCGACATTCATTTGCATGACACTCTATTAGGGGCTGACTAATAAATATATGTACAAGTGGAAGCTATTTGTGTCGCTCGTGTCTGCTTTTGTTTTTTTTTGTTTCCCTTTTTTCTGGCCAGCTTGCGTGCCGGCAATTGCATATTTTGTTGCACAGCTCCGACCGGGCGGGGCCCTTTTGTCAGAAGTAGTTGACATGCAATTATTATTCAAGGGAATGCAACTGCCACTGCCACTGCCATTGAACCGAATGGAGAAAGTCAGTCAGTCAGTCATCCAGTCAGCCAATGAGTAAAAGGAGGGGCCTGAAAAGAGTTTACTGTCAAGCTGTCTGCCTTTGAAAAGGGCGACTACTGTATCACAAATTTAAATCAATTACTTCTGGCAGCAAAAGTTGTTGACTTGAAGGTCAATTTGAATAAGCGCAGCTATAAATGCGATTATCGAACTATACGGCAGGAACTAGCCATGGGATTCATGGGCTTTATCCCAATGCCTTTGGGATCTTGTGTTTCAAGACTTTTTAGCAAAAGAAGTCACTCTTAACTAACTTCTCTAACTATGTATGTTTCTTTATGCGTTCCACAGCAACGGCACTGCGCTGCCATCAGTGCAATTCCCACGACAACGACGACTGCTCCCACCTGATCGTGAACACGCCACGCGGCCAGCGCGACAATCAGTTCCTATTGAACTGCGACCCGAAGGGATCGGCGCAGCCCTTCTGCCGCAAGACAGTGCTGAAGTTTGAGGTCAACGACGAGCACCGCATCGAGCGTAGTTGTGGCTGGATCGAGGAGAAGACCCAGAATGTCTGCTTTACGGCGGACAGCGAGGGCTTCAAGCAGACGATCTGCACCTGCGCCGAGGAGGGCTGCAATGGAGCGCCGACGCAGCTCAATGGCCCTCGTCTGTGGTACAGTCTGTCCGCCACGGCATTCAGTTTAGTCATGGCCGGCGTGCTGCGGCACTGAGAGGCTTATCGTGTACCTACTGTACTGTAAATGCATGAGAAACTGGACACCCCTCTAATTCGTTAACATTCCGCACTCAATATAAGTTCTATTCTAGACCACACTAAACATCTAACATGTTCGCATTTAGTTTGTATTTTAATTTAAGTAAAATATTTAACATGAGCTGGCCAATCGTGTTTCTTATTGCTCGCCTCTCATCTAATCAGCTGCTTTGCTGGCTCCGCTGTCCACCAATTTCATTTCTTCCATTAAATCTGGATGAGCTTGAAATTGCTTCTCGTGATTAAATTGTAACTGCCCCAGTGGCGCTCCTTCGACAAGTAGAAGGACATTGTTACGCGTTGAAAGAGGCGGAACGGAAAAAGTAGCCGTGTCCATATCCGTGTCAGAGTCCATGTCCTCTGCCGCGCGAACTTTGCTTAAACAGAACGAACAAAAAAATACAGCAATTGCTGTGAAATTAAAGAATAAAATGGTCCTTTTAGAGAAAGACCCTGCTACGAAGGTGTGTCAGCATGGCGGTAATTAGATTTCCAGCAATTGAAGGAGTGCAAATAAATCCCAGATACTGTCCTGGCAGTCGAAGGGTAAGCTGAAAAGCGTTGACTCTAAGTGGAGTCGAGTGCATGTTGTTTGGTCCAATTATATTTAAATGCAACTTTAAATATTTCGTATCACTTGTAGAGGTTAAGTTAAATAAATAAACCAACTGTTGATACATTATTAATAAGAAATGTTTTTCAATTTTAAGAGATGACTCTTAAAGCGAATTTCATTAGCTTAAAAATTTATTTCCGCAGCAACAGAAATCTATGGCTGCGGGTTTTTTGAGCTTGCCAGCTGTGCGTAATGCGTACATTCAGTTATTACATAAAACATATACATGGTTATATACTATATATATAGTACAACCAAATGCTGAAAAATCCATGTATGTATGTGGAAATATGAAAATAAAACTCGATGTCATTTGCATTGACCAAGGCTTTATGTGCCGAGCGACATGGTGGCTGGCTGACTGGCTTACTGGCTTTCTGGCCCGCAGACTGTTTGGCCAACTGACTGTGTGAGGAGCTTTAATAGTTTTGAGTTGCTGCTGCCAAAGTGTCTGCACAATTGTTTTGGAGGCAGTCAGCAGAAGCGTGGCAGCCAGAAATAATAGCGAAACTTTCTACAAACCACACCAACACCACCACAATACACACACACACACACACACACGCACGCACGCATACAAACAAACGACTAGCTGGCCATTAAGTCAAGCACACAAATGTTTGGCTACACCCTTGTACTGCGACGACCTTAGCCTGTTCTGCGTTCGGGCCATTTGTTGTTGTTTGTCTTTCGCAGCACACACACACACACACACACACATACACACTTATATGCATACATATATATGCACAGGCAGTCGAACTGACCCACCGAACGACCGACAATACGACCCACATGCGTTACTTTTTGTGAGCTGTCGTCGCCAGCGAAAATAGTTTTCCCTTTGTTTATATATGTTTTGTGTGCGTGTGTGTGTGTGAAAGCGTATCAGTGTGCTCGTGTGTTGATGTGCGTGTGTGTTGGTGCGTTTGTCGCCAGCTTGGCGCCCGCCTGTTCATTCGTCAGTCAGCAGAAGCATTCTCTGCTTCCGTCCGGAACACCCCCGAATGATAACGGGCAGCAGCCAGCTCCTCAGCCCCCCAGACCCTCTCCCTCCCTTATCGCCTGCTCCATTTTTCTGCTCCTCATAGTCAGTCAGCCAGCCAGCCAGCCAGTTGCCTCTATTTTCGTGGACAGCTTGGCGCCAACATAAAAAACATTGATTTTAAATTCTGTGAGCAAATTCTGTGCTTTCATTTGAGTGTGTTTGTTCCAATTGTTCTCATTGCTGTTGTTGTTGTTATTATTATTATTCATGCGTACTTCAGACTTGTTTCGCATTTTGTTGCCTCGAAGGACATTGCAGAGTTGCCAAAAAAGACGCAAGAAAAATTAATTATCGCACAGCTTATGGTCTTAGCACGGAAATTAAATTATAGGAGCCACAACAGCAACAGCATATCCCAACTAGCCGTTTAACTTTTGCTATTTGCGCTCCTATATGAGTGTACTACTCCCACTATATATGTAGTACTTACGTATGCTTGTTTGTTTGTTTCTTCGTCTGGCCCATTTGCGTGCCAACTTTAATTTGACTTGTGCGCTCGCTTTATAGCCAAATTGGCACTTCCACCAAGTTTCGTGCTCTGCAGAATTAAATGAAGCCATTGAAATTTGAGTACTAATTGAAAAAAATAGGTTTGCACGCATCGCAACCCTAGTATGCACACATATAGCAAGTAAGACTGTTGTTCTTGGGGATTTAAAATAGGGGGCGCCTGAAAGTATGCCATCAAAAAAGTTCAGATATGTTAAGCACTGCTTGTTAAGCATACGCCGTGTGTTCACGCGTCCGAGGATTAGATTAATAACGAACTGAACAGACATTTTATTGCTCTGGAACATTCCAATAATAAAAATTCTTCGAAACTTAAAAAGTATGCGCTGCAAAAATGCAGAGTTTGTCATTTAATGGCGGTTTCAAGTACACTCAATTCTGTTTTTAGACGGTATTTTTTTTCACGATTTTGATATAACACGGTTTCAAAATTATAAATTCCATATATATTTCTTTAGAGATAAGGATATGATATGATCATATGCATATGATCAATGTCTTTTTACACGCTTGTTTCTGGAACCAATCTACCCTGTAAAAACAGAATTAGGTGTAGATGCAAAGCAGCTCAGCATTTCTAAGTATGTATGTAAGATTATCGCGAATAACTGCATCATAAGAGAGCATAGAATAGAATAGCAGGAAAAGGGAACTTCTTTTTCAGTTGTTTAGATCGTAAATCATATGTTGAGCCATTCATCTAAGCCTAAGTAAGGTGTATGTTTAAATTGATAAGTTATTTTTGTAAGAATTCCATAACTGGAATATGAAAACAAAGTATCTATTTTGAGAACTTTCTCTTGCATGAGTTCCATTTGTCTGTGTTGCGTCATAGTCTGAACAGTCAAAGTTGTAGTGCGTGCAAAAATTTCACTGCCCTCTCTCTCTCTCTCTCTCTATCTCTTCAGTTGCGCGTGTCGGGGTGTTATTTAATGACACTTGCTCTGGCATTTTTATAATGCGAAAGCCATTAAAATCACAACAATGTTTTGCTACGCATTTGTCTCACTTGCTTGTGCGTCCCAAAGGCGCGTCCAACTTATCTTTGTGGGAGTACGTCTGCCATATATGCGGCTATATATGTATATACGAGTATATGTTGATTACTGGGGGCTGTTTCGCAGTTGATTTATTGGCTTTGCAGCTGCTTTGCAGTTATAAATGCGGTATTTACGTCCAAAGCAACTCAAAAATACATGAATTATGTATGCTGCGACCACAAACGAAATTTCGGGCACGTTCCGGGAACACATGGCGTATGAGCAATACGCAATATTAAGCTTCAGGCTTCAGGCAACAAATATGAATGCATATTTGTATGCAAATGGAGAATAGAAATGCGTTTAATATTTTATATATTTTGAGCACAACTGTGAAATAGACGGCTATTGATGGTTCGCCTATAAATATTAACAATACGCAGCGAATAAGGATAAAACCCTCACTGAATATCCGGCTGACCTCAATCTCACACTAAAAGCAGCGAAATATAAATATGAGATGGAATATATCACTAAAGTTTTAGTTGCTTTTTAAACGATGTTTACAACAAACATCTGTGAAACCTCTATATAGACAACATATCCGAAAAGTCCTGATTAAAATGTAATAACTGAAATTACCCGATAATCGTTTTGCATCTTTTCTCAACCGAAAATCGCATTAAAATTAAATTTAAATTCACAAAAGGATAACAAATATTTGTGGCAGATGGTTAAGGTCAGCCCATTGACCTGTGATTGCAAAATATTTTGCGGCTCGTTGTTGCTGTTGTTGTTGTTGGCTTTTAAGCAGCTTTAAGCGATTCTGTTTTGCGCACGTCGTCCTTGTCCACGTCAACAACGCAGCAATAGCAATAAGGCCGACGTTCAATACCTTCGTCGCACACAATTGGGAGCGCAGTCAAGTGCAGAAGATTGTTCGTGAAAGTTATTTGCAAAATTGATATTGCAGTTATGTGCTTCGCATCTGTATTATGCGAGTATTGTATATTGTGTGCTTTGGTGCAAACGATTTAACCTGAGGACGCTTTTATGCAACCATGATAATACAGATTTAAGGCGATCTAGGAATTTTAAGCAGCTTTGCAGCTAAGCAGAAAGGATGCTCAAAAATAATGCACGGTAAATAAGCTAAAATAGAAGCAACTCTCTTTTATTACTATGTATGTATATCCTATGCGGAACTAAGGGTTATAAATATATTTTAGAAATCATAGGAGTCCTGGTTGGTGAATTAATAGTATAGTCTATACATGTGGGAATATGATTCTAAAATAAAAAATTCTCCAGCACGGCTTTCTTCTTTACTTCTGTCTAATGTTCTCTTCCTAACCGCAGATTTGCCAAAACGACGTCTTCATCAGCTGTTATTGGTCATGCAATGTTACCACACCTTTCCCACAGAAATAATAAAGAAGATTAGTGACATCGATAGCTTGCAGGCAGACGGACAGATGTAATAAATACCAATTAAAAAACAACAACAACAGCTTCGCCGCTCTGCTTTGCCGCTACCCGAGCACATACACACACATTTGACAGAAACTAGCAATTTGTTGCGCGTGTGTGTCGACGGTTGCAGCAGATAGCTGCTTTTACTCTCACAAGCTTCCCCACCTTCTCTTGGATTTTTTTTAAATATTGCTTGGCATACTTTTGGGGGCAGCCATAAATTTGCTCTGCAAACTTTTTCAATTAGCGCGGACAGCAAAATGTTCTTAATTTGAGAATATTAAGAACATAATTTCTTTCTGTGCAGCAGAATAAAATGGGGGAATTTTTTGTGCAATTTCAGGGAGAATCTACGGCCCCAGTAATCAATTTGCGAGTGACGGAAGTAAAATTTGCTTGAGTGTGGTGCAAGCATAATTTGTACAAGCTTAGTGAATTGAATTGTGTGAACCAGCGCTTACTAGTTCATAGAACACCCTTAGTCTAGTTCAGGATAGATGGAGATGGAAAGATTGAACTTTAATTTGCAATTAGAAAGTGGCCCAAGATCTTCGACGTACGTTGAATATATGAATTACCTCATTTCCCGTTATATTCTTGCAGACAAGGATGTATGCATAGTCTTTGTATTTATCAGCTTGCAGTATATTATAGCCACAATTACACTTTACGATCTGATAAACTCTCAAATCACACTTGGATAAACAAACACAACAATGACTAATAATCGCTTTCGAATCACAGCACAGCGGACGCAGTTCGACACAGTCAGACACCAAACACACAAAGTGCGAAAACATAAAAGTGTCGAGTTGTACAAAATCTAATCTATAATTTATTGCAGCAAGTAATAGAATGCAATTTTTTTAATTTTGCATTTGCTGAGGTGTTCTTGGAATTATATTTGATAATTCCTTGCTTAGGTTCAACTAAATACAAAAATAAGTTTTATATCCTTTACTTTTTCCTTATTCACACATCGGCCTTGTTAGTCCGACAAAATGTTGCTGAATGGCTGACCTTTGGCAAAGGTAATGGGAATGCGCGGGTCAGCGTGTCGGAAGCGATTTGCGGAATGCGTAAACAATTTTAATTATGTCGAAGGCGTGAATGGCACCACAACATGCGAAGCATTACAAGCACCCCCAAAAATTATGACATCAACAGGGCCCGCGGCAAGGACGTCATGACTCGTCATCCTTTGGTCAACTGTGCTCAAATGGGGCCTTCGCACGCACCAGTTGGCAGCAAAAAGTGAAGGGGCTGTGATTTTATTTGCCTTCGCTTCGCTCTGATTTACTTATGTAAATCAGGGGGGCTTATGCCCCCCATTACTTTTCCCTTCTCGATTCGCAGCCATTCAATTACGGGAGCTTCAGAATAAGGCAAATGAGGCAACAGGCTGTCAATGCCATTGCCAATGCACTTTTACGACTTAGGACTGCGCCAGTGTGGCGCATAAATGGCCCATTCATGGTTGGGGGCCTCGCGGGCGGGAAAGCTATAAAATAAGCGCACTTCTAGCGCAGCTGTGCTTTGAATGGGGACGCGGCGTATCATGAATAGCCCACAGAAAACGTGAATACCAAAAAAAAAAAAAGGGACAAAGGTCAAGTGAGCTTCGTTATGTTTGATTTGTTGATAAGAACCTATGAATATATACTTGTATACACAGATATATGCTATTTATATGTGCCAATTTAATTTAGAAAAAATGTCAAGTTGATAATCAAGAGAAGTGGGAACAAGCATTGAAATAAGTACAGTGAAAACTTTCTTAATGGACACCTCTTTCATGCGGACACTCTCTTCGGCGGACACTTTTTCTAAAACATTCGATCGGCGTATAAAGTATTTAAGTATTCCCTTAAGTGGACACTCCGCTTGGCCGGCCAAGAGCGTTTTCACTGTAGCGAAATTCTGTAAGTAAGCTCATGTATTTATATGACTTTTCCAATGAAATGATCGAAATGGATAGCTACTAAGCCGCTTGACAGCGTTGGAAGCACAGCTTATTTGTGCCTTAAGCTTAATGGAAGGATTTTAGTAACAGCCAGCAAACAGAATGCACTTTAAAGCCAATTTTAGTACTGAAATGATGAAATAGCGACATCAAATAAACGAGTTATAAGCAAACATAAACTCGCTTTTCATTTCTTGCCCATAAAGACAGACTTGGGAGGGGACTTGGAGGGCAAATGGTGCGCCCATTTTTTAGCTGAAGGGTGCGCCCACAGCTATAACAATCGGCGCTAGTTCGGGCCATGGCCACGGCCGCCACCAATCATCAGCAACATTGTTTATGATAAATTGAAATACTTGCTGTGTGGGCGCTGAGAATGTGGGCGTGCCAGTGACAGCCCCCCAAGAACCAGCCCTGCAACTGCGCTGCAAATCTATCTAAATAAATAAATAGGAGCCCACATTGTGTGTGCTCAGACAGACGATGGCGAGGTCAGCCACGCAAAACGGATGAGTTTTCGCTCTTGGGCGCCACTAATTGCTGCGCTTTGTCTGCGTCATCTCAAAGCACAATGGTCTAGCACAGCATATTTGTATTTATTTAGTTCACTTATTTAATAAGTCTAAATACAATACAATAAATGGTTATCAAGTGAACATAATGCTATGAAAGAAACTAGCACTGAATCCAACTTGATGGAGCTGTTTCATGGCCCGACCGACTCTATTCCTAGCCCAAGGCAATCAGGACAGTATAGCCTGAAGAGTGTAGAAAATTCGTCTGGTCGAAAGCTGACAATGAAACATTACTTATTTTATTCATTATACTATAACAGACCTAGAAAAAAATAGAAATAAGTTAAAAATATGTACTTTTCTAAACATAATTCCCTAACAATTCCCTAATGTCTGTACATTTCTCTGCAATTATTAATAAATAAATAAACATGAGCAACCAAATATATTCCAAATATATCACATTTTTATTGAAGAAACAACAACTCTGCCCACTGTGCAGCATCGTCGTACCTCGGAATGCTGCGAATCCCCAAACGCTAATGTTTCAAACAGTCGCTTAGTTGCCTTCCGACTCCCACCCCGCCTCCGTCTGTCTTCCTATTTCGTGAACAAATTCGTTAAATTTTTTCAAAATCGCTTTTCGCAGCACTCTCCTAAGTCGCAGCCACGTTTCGAGTGACAAAATAATTGCGGAGACGCCGTGTGGGAATACCGCATTCGTAAATAGCCACATTAATTGGATATTAAATTACGTTTTGGTTGAAACGCAAATAAATCTTGTATAAAGAATTTATATTTAGATAAGAGCTGAGTACTTAGCTACAATTTTGCCGATTCATTATTCTTTTATGGGCAAACTGATAAAGACTTTTTCTTTAGACTTTAATACCAACTAGTATACAATATATTTTATAATATTTGTGGATTAACAGTTTATGGCATCCTCAACACTTTATTACAAATTTAAAAATAAATACACTGACTGGGAAAGGGGGCCTCATTTGACAGAACTCGATTTATTATTACCAAAAATATAAGTTGAACTCATCATTTGATGAACGTTAACTGTTACAGCAATTTTTACGTTCGTTAAAAAGTCCCATTTTGACGAAAAACTGAGCCAACTGAATATAAAACGAATAGCCATATACGAGCATATCATGTTTTATAGTACGTTTACTTTTATTTAACCTACACATTTTTTCGTGAGCTTGCAACTTTTTCATTTATTCCACTCGCTTTGGATTGTTTATGGGTCTTCCATGTCTGCAACTGAAACTAACTAAACAGGAAGCACCCTTAACTTGGCCAAAACTTTTTGCACACCTATCAGAGCTATGTAGAGCGCAGGCTGAAATTATGAATGTCTAGGAACTGCAGTTCTGCCAACAATGCTGAGCGAAGTGTTTCAAAACAAATTTCAATTCTGGCAAAAGGGAGTCGGCAACTTGTTACACAAAAGTTCGGCCGACCATTGCGGCCAAAGAGTGGGGTCGGACCGGGATGCTGAGAATTTGAAACCCAGCCCACGACCTTTTATACTTTTGCCAATTTAAATAATTTTCTTACTCAAAAGAAGAAAAAAACCAGATGCGCATAACGGGGGCGCTAAGTCGAAGTCCCTAGAGACTGCTGTTTGGCGTGAGCAGAAAAACTGAATGCAGGATTTGTTCTCCAATTAGTCGTAAATAAATAACTCATTAAATTAATAGTAAACTTATATAACGTGAACTTGCACCTCTGTTTGACTATCAAAATCTCCATTTGACGTATTTAAATAACTGTCTCTGTTATGCCAATGTAATGTTAATGTTAATAGAGAGGTTAGTAGCAACGGAAATGTTAAGCTGTAATTGTGGGGTCTGCGTGAGAAAGTTCCATCGCTACTTTATTTTGATGGGCTAGGGCAGCACCACATGGCCACTCACTGGGGGATTAATAGTAATAACATAACGTTCCATCTCTGCTTGAAAATCAAAATATCTATTTGTTTTTAAGCAAACTAATACAAATGCTGAACGTGTTTAAATAACTGTCTCTGTTATGCCAATGTAATGTTAATGTTAATAGAGAGGTTAGTAGCAACGGAAATGTTAAGCTGTAATTGTGGGGTGTGCGTGAGCAAGTTCCATCGCTACTCGATTTTGATGGGCTAGGGCCGCACCACATGGCCACTCACACATTGTCTGACAGTCGCTGTTACTGTCGCCGTCGCAACGTCTGACAGACTGTGGGTGTTCGTGTCATTTCGGCTTAACTAACGACAAGCACGAGGGCGAGAACGAGGACCAGGACGCATAAACGACGACGTTTCCGATGACGTTTGGCTGCTTGTTGGTGTTGGAGATGACGACGCGAACGATGGGGACGAAAACGATGCCGCAACCGCCTGGCACTCGTCTGCCTTCGGCGCAGTCGAGCGTATGTCCTCTTGGGCTCAAGGAGTAACGGCTGGCTTCCAATTATTTAGTTAGCAGAAGGCAGCGTCAGACAACGCATCGAGCCGAGAACGTGCGCGGCTTTAAGTAACGCTAAGGAGACGCGCGTGTGCAACGTTTTTGAATATTTCCAGTGAAGTGAAACATTTAGACTTGTGTACTTAAAGGAAAAATCTGCGAATATGTGCAATAAATTAATGAAAGCAGCGCCAATGATGGGGTTGTTTTTGTTGCCGCTGCTTCTCTGCATTTCTAGCGGTGTGTGAATTTGAATTGAATTTTTCATTTTTGGCAACTCCTGCTGGCATCTACAAAATGCCGCATTACCTTTTTTAGTTATTTGTTTTCGTTTTTCATTTATGGCTTTGAACGAAAGAAATCAAAAATCATGTTGCATACCCACAGGCGCGGCCATAAAATGCTTCGTCTGCGATTCGAGCGACAATCCCAGCTGTGCGGATCTGAAATCGAATTCAAGCATTGTGCCCGAGGTGAGTCAACATCAATCAATCACATTCTATCAATCAGGCCGCACATCTATCAATCGGCCACTCAAACATTTAACGAGGCGCATTGTAAAGGCTGTAAGGACGCAGCTCAACAATCTTTTTCAGTGCTCGTACATTGATTTGTGCCACTCAGCGTGCACAGCCACTCAGCAGCGTTGACTCATCAGCTAGCGCCCACACCTAGGCAGGTGATAAGCCACGCCACTCGTCTACCTGTTGTACAGTGGCTCTGAAACTCTAAAACAATTGCAAAACTCAAGAAGTATTTCCATGTTAGTTCCAGTTAAGAATATCGAAAGAATCAGCCACAAAGTCGGTGGAAGAGTTAGCAAAGAAAGAAAATTCAGGCCAGCATTATTGTTCTTATTTTACAATAATGCTTTCAAGAGAAGCATTAACTTATTAATCTTATCTTACTATTTACGGAGAGGCACTTTGCAATAAAAAAGCATTAACAATGCTAAACAAAAGTAATTTTCTACCATCATAAAACTACGTAAGATTGTTTATTAATCAGCAATCAATTCAAAAAATTATAACAGTTTACACTTCACTTATGTGCGCCCCTTTTAAATATGATCTAAATATCAGAGTCGCATAAAATGCAGCAAATTTACTAGCAACACAATTATTATTATTTGATGCCAAATATCGCAAATACAAATACACCTAATTCGGTTTCTAAACGGTAGATTGTTTCCTAAAAAAGTGGTGTAGAAAAAAGACATTCGTGCTGAATGGATTATAGTCGTGTAACCATATATAAAATTTAATTTTCAAACCGTGTAAAAAGAGACCGTGTACAAACAGAATTAGGTGTATTATTTGGATCAAAAAACCCTTTCCACTTAATCTGGCATGCATAGAATAACTCGTATATAATATAATGGGCTATAGGCATATGGTCTGTAATAAACTGATTTGGTGTCCCTAGCTGTTATGGCTAAAAAGGGACAGCAGGACAAGACTGTTTTGGATTCGTCCTGTCAAGCTGATCAAATATGGTATGCACCTTGTTTTATATTTCACCTTTCGGGTTATATATATGCAATCAAGATAAGCAAAGGATACGAGAATTTAAAGAACGGTATTCGTAGGTTTAGCGTGCTGCCTTGTTATGAAATTTAGTTTAAGCTCCAACTCTGGCATATGATATTATTTCTTTAGCTAGCAGAGGGAAATTTGACCTATGACTGAGGAGGATGGGGGGCAGCTGTGGCCACAAATTACGAGCGACAGCGTACTGTGGCTGTAATCGTAAATTTTCAGAAGGACACAAAACGGAAACGGAAACGGGCGTCAACGTCCGCCTTTAAGTAAAACCGTTTCCAGACTAGTGCCACATTCTTCACATTCCATCCTATTTGTTGGCCAGCACCTGTCAAAGTTCCGAGCTCCCGCCGCCTTTTCAGCACCTGTTACCAAAAGTAAATGAAAGGTCAGGGCAGGGTAAGGCTCAGTCCCGGCTATTTGTTGATTGCTTTGCCAACTTCAAAAGCATTTCAAGAGCCATGCGTAATGCTTTTTGCTTGCACTGCGTTCACTTTTTATTCTGGGCCAAGTCAACGCTTCTCAAGTGTTTTTATCTCTGTCCAGCAAGGCCGCGTTGGGCAGACGCATCATGCACTGTTTGCTGAACCGATAAGATAAAGACACCGCAACGACAACTGATAAGTGGCAATTAAGGCATCGATTACATACCGGTAGCTGCTAATGAGACAATGTAAACCAAACAGTGCCGATAAGGCTGAATGGGCGGTTGAAGTCTGCTAAACAAACCATCAGTCAAGAGTCAGATGGGTCCACAAGCGATAGCAGAAAATTATAGAACAATTCTTAGGAATTCAGTCTTCATAGCTGGCCTGCAATTCACAGCTATCTCTACTTACAAGTACAAAATTATCTACAACTCGGTTTATCCGGTGAGGTCATTGATATATGTACTTATAATATGAGCGACAATTTGGAGAACCACTTTTGAGCAATTAATGGCAGAAAACATCACAAGTATACTAGATTGGTAATTTTACCGACGACATATTTGATCAGAGATTTCAATTCAAGCTGTCCATAATGAATTACATAATTACTTTACATTTCTAGGATTCTGTGCAAAAATATATTTTAAAGATAATTAGTTTTCCTGCTTGGTAATGGTTGTTAATTGAGTTTGTCATTTAGGAATGTACGCTGGACAAAATGAAGTCGCTGGACACTTGGCTGTTCGAACTGAACAAATTTTCATATTTCGACAATGGCGCGAATAAAAGTCCGCTTATGAATTGCCAGAAGGTGGTGGCCAGAGATCGTAAGTAGGCCAGATATGATGGCGTTGTGGGCGCAGCCAATACTTTACTCAATTCCAGCGGACACACAACATCTGGTGACGGCGCGCTTCTGCCAACTGGACACTGGTGACTCGGATGCCTGCGACATATTGCGGACAAAGCTGCGCATCAATAGCGATGGCAGCTACGCCCAGCGAGAGCAGCGTCGCAACGGCAATGGCAATGGACAGCGGCTCTATGGGCAGGAGAACGGTGCCAGGGAGGAGACAGAAGGCGATGAGTCGGGAGAGGAATTCTTCTGCTCGATTTGCAAGACAGATCGCTGCAATGGCGCCGCAGCTGTGACGCTGCCTCCCATGCTAATGGCAGTCGCAGTCGCCTTTGGCGTCGCTGCCCGACGCTCTCGCTGTTGAAGTTACGGAGAGTGTGTTAGTGCCGTTGATTGCATTTAGGTTGAAATACAGTTAAGATACGGTTAGAGAGGCAAATAATTTGGAGGTAACATTATCGAGCTTTACAAGTCCAACAAGAGTTTTAAGCTAAACAATAGTTTTCTGCTACACCAAACTTCTCTGGGACTTACTAATTATTCAAGTCTACCTGTAAAATGCGGCAAGCTGTTTGCATTTTTGGCCGTAGCTTACAATTTACTTTGTAAATATTGAGGGTACGTACAAACATACCCAAGCGATGTCGTTGACTTATGCAACTGTTTTGCCCCCCCACCACCACCACCTACAATCTCCCTAACTGGCCGCTCTACCCAACCTAGCCATGTAAGTTACAAGAAACTATTACACCGATATTAACCCAGAAACACCAACACACACAAATGCACGCGAAAGCAATCGCAAATTTTAATTAGTGTTAGTGTTGAACACGGAGCAAAGCTTAGCGCTTTGTTCGTCGTTGCCTAACACACCCAACCATACATAAATTTGAACTATCGGCACTTTAACTTGACAGCTTTATTCTTAAAATATATGCATGTTGCTTACGGAAATAACATCAGTAGTAAATCATCGTTTGATATACAAATATTGGTTTTTGCAGACTTTAATTTTCCAATTAAGCTGTGTTTTCCACTATTTCAGAAGCAAAACACACTGCTATTCATTTTCTCACAAATCTGTATTCTATGTTCATACTCATGAAGAAGAAACCTATTTGACTTTAAACAGACAAGCAATCTTTTTCTTGTTTTATTCATTTGCATTATTATTCTTCGGGTATAGGGTATACAAATTTATTCCATCAGAGCTATCCTAGCATTCTTTAATTTTCTATAAATGTTTAATACGACGAAGTATGTTCTTAAACTTTTGGTAATATAGAGAGAAATATGAACTCACACTTTAAAGTCTTCAATCTTCGCCTACATTAGACTTATGATTTAATTCGAAAACAATTTCGAATCCAAACAGTCCCATTTCAAAAGACATTCATCATGGGTCCCCAATCTGATCAGTCATGCTGTCGCTGTCACATTTAGATTTGATCGATGGTTATTTTTTAATGAAAGGACGATAAGTAGCTCAAAATCCCATATTTTTCTCTTGAAATATTTACAAATGTACATACTATTTAAATTGAATGCACTTTCTTATTAGCTCTACACTGCACCAGACAGAATTAATTAATTAAAATAATTGAAAACACGTTAAGCCTTTTTGTTCGCATTTGATGCATAAAGAACATTTGCGGAAAGTTATTTCGATATTGTGACGATTAGTATTAGGTGTATTACACTTAAATATTGTTATTGTTATTGCCTCTGAGTTCTGTTAAGCAAATGTGTGTTTTGTTATATACAGTCGTATTAAAATTTGTTCAAATATTTATTAGTAAGTTATATCAAGAACGTATTCACAAAATGCCTTGGCTTATGTAATTCATAAAAACAAAAGATAAACAAGAAAAACAACTTCAAAAGTGCAGCAACATTGAATGCATAATTATAAATTAAATTTACGTTATAAAATAAATGCAAAACGAAAACAGGAAGAGGTTCGAACACATATGGGTATGTGTGTAGTTTCCTTCGTTAGAAATGAAATGCCAGCAAAACGAAAGTGAATTGCCGAAGGAACAGCAAAATGTTTACTAGAAAAAGTTTTTCGTCTCAACAATCGGTGCAACAATTATAAAAGAGATATTAATTAGTTTCCAATAATAAGCAGAATAGCATGTATAATTTAACAAATGTGATAAAGCATAAAGAGCAATATAATTCTTATTAATAATTTTTTAATTGCCAATAACATTTCAGAAAGCAAGTTATCAAAATTGTTTATGTGAAAATTTGGTATTCACTTTTTAGTTTTGCTGGCACTCTGTTTCTAGTTGAAGCTGAGCTTAAAGGTGTGTGGTCACACTGCAGTACGTGAGTGCAGCTTCTGTACGGCTGATGAAGGATAAAGAACATGAACATATTTTTTATTAATAATTTTGTAATTGCTTGACAAACCAATAGCCAATAACATTTCAAAAAGCAAGTTATCAAAATTGTGTATGTAAAATAATTTCAATTCACAAACTTTTTAGTTTTGCTGGCACTCTGTTTCTAGTTGAAGCTGAGCTTAAAGGAGTGTGGTCACACTGCAGTACGTGAGTGCAGCTTCAGTAACATTTATGTTAAATTTAAATAAACACCACTGTTATTTACTTGAGACAGATGACGCCCAGAGCTATCGTTGCAGAGTTTTTTGAATTTACATTCCTATTGGTGTTATTTAACATGATTTATTGTCATTCAGAAATAACATTTTTCCATGAAAATGCGTTAAAACTTAAAGGAAAGTTACAGATAAAGGCAATAAAATAACTTCATGGCAAATCTGTAGAATTCAAAGCAAGCAATTACACCCTCCGTTTATAATAGTTCGTATTCTCGGTAAATGGCAAAACAAATAAATGAAAACAAGATCGTGTAATCGGGCAGAAACAAGACAAGGCCGAACTAAATGGTTTATGAGCGTTAGGAAAGATTTAATCACAGACATGGCCTTATCAATTATATACATATATATGCTTTGTATGTGCGTATGCATTATAAAATATTGCATATTTATAGCTTACTGCTGCTAATATTGCGGGCGTTATATTTTACTGAAAGGGTATGGTGTTTCCCATATAATAAACATGTATTTATTATTTAATGGAACTTTGAAATACTTAGAAGCAATCACAATCAAAAGGCGCATGCAAGTTACAAAAAATAAGATAAGCATTTGGAATAAAGTGAGAGTGAAACACACATACCTACATACATACATACGAGTATGTATGTATGTTGGGGGGACAAATAATTAGGCACGCCACTAGCATTATTCAGTAAAGCAATTGCTAAAGCAGAATTATAGATTAATAAGTGAAGAAATGTAAGCAATGAAAGCAAAGCAGCAATCTGTGTATTTATGTATGTAGCTGAGGAGCAAAAAAACACACACACACACACTCACCCGAAGCACACGCACATACACAAAACATAGCCTCAAAAGAGAATTACCAAAAAATAAGCTGTGTGTAAAATTAAAAATGAAAATAAAGAACGTTAAACGTTAAATCACTTTGGAAGACCGTTTATTTGAATATTTGGAATCGCCTTTTTGGTGAAATCAGAGATAATTTTCATATTACTCATACGCCGCGTTTCAATTTGAAATGCACATACATATAGAACACACAATACATGCATATGTACATACATATGTATGTATGTGTTCCAACCCAGCCAGACTCAACTCGGCTCCATTCGACGACTGCGATGCTATCGGCGGCTTGTCTTTTACGGAGCACGACATGTTTCAGCAGTACCGCAAATTATTTTCCAAGCTGATAACAGAGAAATTTGATAGAGGAAGTTTAGGTTTTACCAACAACACGACCCAACGACAAGCAATAAGAGTTCAATTTAAATGTTTGGGCCCTCTGCCGTCTGCTTTTTCTGAGCGAAGACAGTCAGAGTTGCAATTTAGACGCGTGACGTGTTATGCGTAACGCTTTCAGGCTAAGCAATCAGAAAGAGAATCCAATCATTTAGCCAACTAAGCAGCTCAGGATAAGTCGCATAAGGATGGTCAAAGCCCGACTCTTGTTGCTGCCATCGCTGCTGCTGCTCCTCTGGAATGGCGGGAGCTCAGGTAAGTAACAGAGAACAGAAACGCAAAAAAACTCATCAACTTTTGAATACAAAAAACTGCAAATTAATTGGGGAGTGCGGTTTATATATACATATTTCAATGGCAAACGGAAAAAAACCCCAAATCCTTAAGAAATAAAAATGTTCACTCAACAAAATCTTCCCAGTAGGGAATATTACAATATCACATTAATGTTGCTTTGGTTTTCCTTTTGTAGTGCTCGCATAAATTTTGTTTGTCCTTTACAGCCACTTTTCTTCCAATTAGTCGTCAAAATCAGCGTAAGAGACCTTAAGCTATAGAAATTACTGAAAATTAGTCAGATTATTATATGAATGGACTACAAGTTAAAGACACGTTTTCACAAACTAAAATTGTAGGAAGACCTCTGGTTAGTCTGTGGGTTTACGACTCCCACACTTGTTAAGCTTTCAAACTGAAACCTTGCACTTATTCTTGCCTACCTAAGATGACGATTACTTATCGAGATGGATTAATATGCATTATAGTAAATGCTTTAGCAACGATAGTTTTGTAGTGCTGGAATTATAATAAAACTAATGTGATAGGCGTTTCTAAAATTGACTTTTTTCTTGCCCATTTGGATGCTAAGCGTTGCGATGCTACACATGCGAGGACTGCGATGAGGAGTCGCAACTATCCGAGATGGAGGTTTGCAGCGCGGCGCCATCCTCTACGGCAGCAGAAGAAGTTCCAGGGCCAGGTGCTGGAACAGGGGGCGACGAAATAGGATCCAATTCAGGAAACTCTTCTGCCACTAACAATAATAAGCCCCAATCAGAAGGAGCGGCTACCACAAAAGCCCCAAGCAAAACAACTGCGGCAGGCAGTTCCGATGAGAGTGATGGCGACCCCGAGGGTGATGGCGATGGTGATGGTGAAGGGGAAGACAGCGATGATTCGGAAGACGGCGCTCCAGCTGCACGTCCCACGGTGGGGATTATGCCCACTGGGCCGGCACCTGGAAGCAATACGGAGGAGGATGAGGATGAGGGAGACGAGGACTATGATGATCGACGTCGTATGGCACGCCGACCCCGTCAATCCCAGACAGGCATACAAACAGCTGTTTGCTATACAGTCCGATTAAGAAGTAAGTTCTAAGCCCGAATTTTTAAGCCTAATAGGGAGTAAAACATTATGTCTATTATATGCTACTTTTTAGAGTGCTTAGATTCTTCGAACACTCTACGACAGCAGTAATTAATTTGCTGATAATTTCGTAGAATCGGTGGACTTTGAAACTCCCAACATTTGTTTAATAGATAGAACCTTCTTTTAAATAATTAACAATCTAATGCAGAGATTATATTATTTAACTTTCGCATATTTGTCGTTTAAAAATGATGAAGCTGATAATTTCGTAGAATCGATGGACTCTGAAACTCCAAACATATGTTTAATAGATAGAATTTTTGTTTAAAAATGATGAAGCAATTTAAAGTCGATTGAATCGACGTTCGTTCGCAGTTCTACCTCATTTTGTTCAGAAATATTTTTAAGGCTATCAGTTTGATTTACAATTTACTCTCCTTGGCCGATGCATTGCAGATAACGACACCACCATCACGAATCGCGGCTGTACGATGATCGCGAATGACACTGACTCCGCCGCATGCCAATCTCTCTTCAACGGCTGGCAGGTGGAAGGCTGTCAGGTGTGCGAGACGAATGGATGCAATGGACCCATTAGTATGGCCGCAGGTATAATGAACCGATCGCCTTCATCTGGAATTACACCTTGGATGCATATTCTTCGACTCGGCTTAGCTCTGCTGCTGCTTCAAACTGGCCGGGAATTGTTAGCCTAATGGTTATCGCGAAGTGCAAATCTATTGGTTAATGAAGAGAATATATTCATACCTTGGAAGTCTGCGCTATTTATCAGAGTTTGTAGTCGAAAATATACAATTTTTAAACGAATTGTTTGGCAGAATTTGAAATACAAGTATCTGCAATTTATTTACCTCTTGTTTGAAGCGAAAAGTATATGGAAAAATGGTTCAGTGATCAGTCACAACACTGTTACCAACAAGATAGTGCACAGTCCAAGAGGCGGTGGGTACAGGTGTACCTAAATTTTGCAAATTCGAGATAGGGCATACTTATTAAAATACCTTCTGTTCTGGGTATTTTCTTTTGAATGTTTTACATTTTGTATTCATGTTTACTCTGTGCAACTATATTTCTACGATAAGATAAGACTTCTTGAGAAGCTTGGTCCAGAAGTCTGAAGAAGTTGTTTGAACATTCTTAGAACCCAACAATTCAAACAAAGATTTTAACAAATTCTTATATACTTAGTATAGCACCTTACAGCAGCAAAACCTACTTGGAAATTAGAATTACAGAGAGCAGCCAAAAGAGGCAGATAGACAGAGAGAGAGAATTCAGTTTTTAGCGCTCTCTGATACCCAATTCAAGCGCAGAAGTCGTACATAACTAGAAGTGTAGAATATGAAACGAATAATTTCTGAAAGTATATATTCCTGCCCCAGATAAATCTCGATTGGACTGGATTTAAACACAACCAAGCGGAGTTTATTTATAGAACCTAAAAACAAATCTAAGCACGTTCTCGCCATCTTTCTATTAGGACATACGATATATAAAGAGCTTACGGTTATTTTTGTTCATAAATATATTATGACTAGAATCAGCCATCGCAACTAAAGTCTAATCGCACCTTACTGCAGATAGCTTTACTACATAAACGTTCGCTAATGGGCTGATGACTTGGCCGAACTTCGATTTACGATCAGCCTATTTATAGAGTGATGACTTTCTATATAACTACTTGCGACTTTTGCTCCTTTCAGACACGGCACGCTGTCGACCTATTATGAGCGCACCGACGTTATTTTAATATAATTGCTTAACTGACACTGATAAGAGGTAACGGACCGATTTCGACGTATCGGCGAATGGTCGGAGCTACGAAAGTGCGCAATCATCGCTTTGGGGGCCTAGAATTTATGCCTGTCTGTCCATTCATTAAACTTCTGCGCCCATAAACTTAGTTGAATCAGAAGCAGAAGGCTCTCCAACAAAAGCAAATCAATTAAAATTGCAAAGACCCACGCACTGATAAGCCAAATAGAGCCACTTAATGCTATTCGAACCGTTGGCAGAGCTACAGCATTTTTAACCTTAAGTTTCTGTACGCCCGAACTTTGTATACCCTGCCTTAAACCATAATCCTACCCAACCCAAATGAATTAATTTGAGGAATCATTTTATTACAATATGATAATATAATCCGCCAACTTTTCCCATACCAGCTATGTCATATACTGCACAGATTCTAAAATATACAATAGATTAAATAATGAAGCTATATATGGTTTGTAATAAACTGCAGCTGTGTATGGATAAGACAAGTCTACATGCCAAGTTTGGTGCTTTTAGCTTTTAAAGTTTACAGGTGACATATCGATTCGTCTCATTATGATGTTCATATATGTATGTATGTACTATCTACACAATAGGTTCGGCCTGTTACCTGGCTTTACGAACTTTTCAGCATAGCCGTTCAACCTTACTGACTGGCTGATAAGCCGCTAGGTTGGAGCACACACTTGAGATTCAGCGGACAATCATTAATATCATTAATGATATGGTGATCGCTTTTGATTTGCTAGATTTACTGCCAAAGCCTTCTTATATTTGGGTCTTTTCGCCATTACGCCTTGCGTACGTTGGTTGTTATTGTTATATTGCGATTATTTTTAAAGAAATTAAATCACGCCAGTGTTTAAATTTGTCGAGTGATTTTGGGGCGTGTGCTTGCCATACGGAAACGCAAGGCAACGGCAAATTACAGCAATTGAGGAGTTTGGCGAATAAAAATTCCCATAAAACACACACAAATAATAATACCTACAGCAAATGCAACAACAACTGCCTTTATGTGCGACATTTAAGGAAGCTGGTTTTCAATTAAAGCTAAGTTATCGAATTTGTCGTTGTTGTTGCTGACAACATTCATTGCATTCGTCCAAGTTTCGTTGCCGAATTCGTCGATGAGAATGCTTTTCGGTTTCCCTGTTATATTTTTGTAACCGTTGACAAAACAAACGCATATTTCCGGTCAGCTGTTGTGTTGTTGTCTTTGTTGGTTGCCTCTGCTGGGTACAGGCGTCACAACCTCTCGTCATCTCTGTTCCTGTCGTGCTGTTGTTGTTGTTGTTGTGAGCCGGCCTGTGTTGGTAAGCCGTTAGCTAACAAAGCGTTGAGCAATAAAAAACGATATGTATTTGCCTCTCGCGAGAGAATTGAACCTGATTGGCACAACAGACTTTCTGCCGTCTCTTAGCATAACCTGGAAGATTAAGCTAACCGATTGACCTATGCCACCAACCATACAACAATGTTGTATGGTTAATGCTTATGCTGACTTATTGCTAAGTGTGTACACACTATCCTTGGCAGGAAACAATACCCAGTTTTCAATTGATCAGTTTTAGAATTTTGACTTCATTCTGTTAATTTTATAGAGAAAAAAATGCGACAATGCATTTATTTACTGTAGCACTAGTCAAAATTATCTGCGAAGAAATATGGAACAAAAAGCCGTAACAAAATATGAGCTTGGCACATCAAATTCTGAAGATGCGTCAGCTCAGCAGTCAAGTTAAGTTAAGCTAGGTTTTGCTTAATTATGATTCAACACTTTGTCATATTTTTGACCAATATACTGAAGAAAAACGTGTAGGAAAACAGCTTATATGCAACGGGTTAACCAGAGTGGTTAGTATTTCATGAATGGTAGTCTTTTACGTGACATGATAATGGTCCAAAATGTTATCTGCTGTTAATCTTTGTTTAATTCGTTGCGTCAGCTAAAAAAAACATTAACTTGCCTGTGCATTTCCATATAAGCTGAAAAGTTATAGTAACAAAACACTCATTGGGGCCGACACTGCATTTGTTTGTGGGCAAAATTTTGCGTTTCATTTGCATTTTCTTATCAGACAAACCTAGTGCCCCATGGCGTCGTTAATAGAGCGCTGAAGCGCATAATGTCGACTATCAGAGCCAGTAACCCAAAAACTGCTAATTGGCTGGGGCCGCTAATATCGAAAAGATTAAGAAAAGCCAACTTGTTGCCTACACATGCGGTATTAGTAGTAAGCACCTACCTATTAATGCTGCCAGTTGGCGTCGTAAGAACGTTTTAGAGCTTAAGATTGGGTTTTATGAGCTTACAACACATTAGTATGATTATTGTTAAGTAAATCGTTTGACTTGCTGTTCACCAGATTATGCAATTAACGAGATTGTGGCTAATAAACACTGATTTGTATTTGCGACTTCCCGCAGGATGGATTACTATACTTGAATGGGCAAAGCCCGACTGACTCATGAACGGCACTGGAACCCCAAGGGAAAAACTCTGCAGCAGTGCTTCATTTTCTTTTTTGTTTAAGATATACGGAGGGAGAGAGAGGGACAGAGAGGCAAAGAGAGTACCGCCTTTTGTGCTGGTAACTAGCATTTACAGCGGGTTTGCATTATATTAATTTGTTATCAATTAAAAAACGAGCCACTGCTACTGTAGGTGCCAACTCTCTCTCTCTCTCCCTCTCTCTCTCTCTCTCTCTATCTTTTCGTTTCTCTCCCGTTTAGCACGACGCTGGCGCGCCTGAGCAGAGCACAGCACAGCGCGCTTAAAACTCTATAAAAAGTCTCAAACAAATCAGAAGATTTTCAGTTAAATTTCAGAATCAACCAACAGTAGTCGCGAGCAATAAATGCAAGCTGGCAAGGTCGTGTAAAAGTGTTTTCTGTACAAATCTTTGAGCCGACTGTGATTAATAATATCCCCCAGTTCTTAAAATCGAACAATAAAAAATGTTCAGCCAAAGCCGTTGTCTGTTCATTATCAGTGCGCTGCTCCTGCTAATCGCGCCCCAAGGTAAGAAATTTACCCCCGGATTCTGGAATTGTGCTGCGTGTAACCTCGAATTGTGGCCAGCAAAAAAGTGAACAGTTCATTTCTAAAGAAGCTATAAACGTGCCCAATATTTGAAACGAATGCAAGGTCATTGCTACAATTTCGCAGTTCTCGTACTCGTTGCCGCTCTCGATCTTCACAATTGTGGCTAAAATCAACTTGCTCGGTGCGGTTTTTGCCGGACGCACAATATTTGCATATTAAGCAGCCGCACACAAACCCGACTCATAACTCAGAACGCAATTCAAGCGCTGCGCATGCAATTTAATAAAAATTCACAAAGTAATAATAACCATAAAACAAACGTCAATATGAGTTTCAATAACTTGTCATCTTTTGTTTGCAAATATCGCACGTTGGGATTTTTACAAACAAGCCCATAGGGCCAATTAATATTTAAACAAAAATAATCAACTCCCTCAGCTTGTTGCATTGCCAAATTGTTGGATTGTCAGATTGACATTGTGATGGTCTATGAAGTTTTTGAGTTAAAAGTGCAGGATATTCAATTTTATGACACAACATTTTGAATTTTGTTATTTCTTTATACATATCTGTATGTGCAAAGGATTTATATTTGGTTAAGATTCAATTTAATTTAATTTTAAGAATTGATAAGATACTTAGAATTCTGAAAGACAACGCTCAAGCCATTTTATTTATTTCATTTTCCTGAAGAACGTTGATTATTAAATGCAATTAAATCCAATTACATTTGTCTTAGATTTATCTAAAGAAAATTTGAGATGCTAACGAAGCGGCCATTTTAAAAACTGCAGAAATAAAACACTACGCAGAGGGAATTCCTTATTGCTTTTAACTAACTTGCTTTTTACGCAACTTATGTCTGAATGGACGATGCAATCGTTTTTTATTGTATAATATTTTTTTATTATTATTTATGGATTTGAAATAAATATGTATCTTTGAAACAATGCAATGAATAATTGAAATCGGCTTTAATTGCGAATTTAAGCAAGTGGAAAAGCAAAAGTCGAGTTCTAAATACTCTATACCTCCCTGTAGAATAATTATATAAATTTAAAAAATAAACGAAATGGGGAAAAAACAATACACAAAATACACACTCATAAAATGCATCGGAAATCTCTAGTTCTTATAGTCTCTAATTATACGAACGGAGTTATGAAAAATCCCTAATAGAGGTGGATTGGGGGGTGTTAATGGGTCAGCAATTCAAGTTTGAGCATGACTGGCCAATTTTAAAGGAAGTCATAGCCATAAATGTAATCTCTGCCCATGCTCTGCCAGCAGCTTGAGCCCATTTACCCAAGTACTTCCTTAAATTTGTATAATTATTCTACACTTAGGTACAGAGTATTTCAAAGTCGGGACACTCGAGTATAGCTTTTCCATTTGTTTGGTGTAGAAACAGGCAGTAATAGCCTGCATCTGTCTAATTTATGCCTAAAAATGAAGGGTAGCTGCAGTTTTTGCAACTCGTGCATGCGAAACGAAAATCTTTTGACATTGAATCTCTGCTAATTGGAAATTGTACAAGCGTACATATGTGTGCTTAAATAAATGAGTATGTGTGTGTCCGTTTGTTCGCATTAGTGAGTTGCCGTTTAGCACTTTAGAGGCTACTACCAACAGCAACAGCAACAACAACAACAGCCAAAACCACATCAACAACTCGTGCTCGGCAAAACTTGCGCAGCCCATTAGCGTCTGAGAAACTGGAAATTGACTGCCAATTCAATCGAAATAGAAATGCAAACAAAAATTTTCAAGTTCGATTTCAACACAAATTGACGCAATGTGTCAATCACAAGTGGGGGAAAAGGGCTCCATCAATTTCCAATTCTGCCAGCCAGAAAATTCTGGTAGAATGTAATGATTTTGTTGGTTTTTTTCATTTCCGTCCAAAGCAAGGCTTTCACATTTTAGTAGAGCTATAATCAGCCAGACAGATAATTTGCACAAGATTCAATCTGATTTGAAAAATATGCGTGTCTTGCAATTCATATTTCAAATAGAGGGCAATAATTCAAAGTCGTTTACAAAAAAGAGTTAGGGACTTGTCATAATTCAAACGAATTACATTCATAATTCAGTAATCTTAAGCTTAACAGGAGAGGATGAAGTCAGCCATCTAGTTCATTCCTAGTACCTTTTTAAATACAAAAGAAAAAGCAACTGCCGATTGCGAGAAATTAATTGTTTTTGTTAGAAATTCATATTGATGAAGAGTTTAAAATAGAACGCATATAATACGACTGAGTAAAACGATATGAATAGCTATAATAATTAATCGGTGCAATCTGTTTGCAAAACGTAAAAGCAATGTTTTCCCCAAAAGACATAATATATTGCTCTTTTATTTTATTGTGTGTTGGTTGGAAGACGTTATCAGTACAATTCGCATCACTTGTGCGAGCAGAGGGCCAGTTTTCGAAATGGTGACTCAGCTCTAGGTGGGCCCTAGCGACGCCTCCGGAGCAGGGAGAAAGGCCGCGCTGATAAGGCAACCGCAATTAACGCAACTACTACTGTTGGCCTGGTGGTTCGCTTCGATAATATTCTGATCTGAATTAACACAAATATTTACCAGCCGAATGGGCAAATAATTTTGCATACATAGTCGTGGAACGTTCCAATTAGTACGACGCGACGGTTTCTTTCTTTAGCTGTGCACAAATGAATTCTGCAGCGATCGTTAGAAAATATTGCGCCGATAAGGGGTACGTTTGAGAACTAATTGTGGGTGTGGGTGCGCCCCACAAGGTGGGTGAGATAGCTGAAAAGCAAATACAATTAAGCAATAATAATGAATGAGCAAATAATACGCCAAATACACAGCTTGGTTATTTCGGAGCGGCCATTTGATTTATGATCGCCGGAGTGCTTTATTATGCCGTCATCGGTCTATCGTAAGATCGGTTACTATATTGTATAGCAACTGCTTTGATTATTTTTTTTATAATTATTTTGGTACATAAGTAAGGAAAGCTTAAATGGCGCTCGATTTATTCTGTGTGAGAGGATAAGCAATACAAACAACAGGGTAGTCCCTCGAAAACTATGGATAACTGTTAAAATTTACATTTCCTCTCTCTTCTCTCTCTTGCTCACAGCCTCCCGTGCAGATCTGATGTGCTACGTTTGCAATGACTGTGCCAAGGTGACGGCCACAACTCCCCTGTTGGTGTGCAACGAAAGCAGCTTTACAACAACCGGCAGCACGGAAGCCTCCACCGCCACAACCACCGAGTCACCAAGCACCACAAATGAGCCCAGCTCAACCACTACAGAGCCTTCAACAGAGGACACCACAATTAACTCTACAGAGACCTCAACAGAGACCACAACAGAGACCACAACAGAGACCACAGCAGAGCCCACAGAATCGACCGTTTCTACAGAGGCACCCGTTCCCACGCCACAAACAGCCGGTCCAGTCATTACCACAACCGGTGTGCCCACACCACCCGAAGAAAATATCAGGCAACTAACTCAAAGCGTTTCAACGGAACTCTCCAACAGCGGCAGCAACGCCAGCTCCACAATTAGTTCCAGTTCTGGTTCCATCTCTACAGTCAGCAGCAGCAGCAGCACTGAGCTACCCATTTCCACCTTCGCAAGACCAATAAACTCGACAATATTGTTGCGCCAACGACGTGATTTGGCCAGCGGCGACTATACCTACCACTGCTATTCCGTGCTAGTCACAGGAGGTTCGTATAAGATTCAGAACAGACTCTATTATTATTATACAGGCCTGTTCGACCAAATTATGTAGATGTGATCGAAACACTTGGGATAGAAAAGATAATAATAGCGACAGAAATATATAGGAAATAGATTGTATGTATTCTAAATCAAGGATCTTCTATCAAATCCTCTTCTGTGTTTTCTAAGCCGCTACAGAAAGAGTCGTTTTTAATCGGTATATGTATTACTGTTCATAGAGATTGAAAAAACGTGCTTGAAGTGATATACCCTGTACCCGTATGTAACAGGCAGAAGGAAGCATCTCCGACCCGATAAATTATATATATATTCTTTACCAGCGAGACTAGACGAATCGACCTCGACATGTCCGTCCGTCCGTCTGTTCGTATGTCTGGATAAACGCAAGGATCTCAGAAATTATAAAAGCTGGAATAACCAAAGTTGGTACCCAGATTCTAATAGGTCCGAGAAAGGACGAGTTTATTTTATTTTTGGAATTTTTCCCCCCTTCCCCCGCTACAGAATTTTCTCAATACTGTCCACATTTTAAAAGATATATTAACCAAAGATCAAAAGATACACCCTATAGTTTTATTTTGAATTTCATTCGAATCGGTAAATTCTAAGAAAACTTATTAGAAATTTGTCTGGGTTCAGGGTATTACACTGTCGGGTTCGCTCTTTAGAACTTAAATTAAGTTCTTGATTTCTTTTTCTGAGCATAGGATTGCGTATAATAATTGTAATAAGATATTATTACCCACAATTGAAAGAGGTTGGGTTGTATTAAAGTATTCCTTAGGTTGGGTAACCCATGCTCGCGTCGAGCAAGATAAAAGATTGTTGTCCAATAGTTTACATAATGTCTACATGTGAACAGATGGGCCTGCCCTGCTTATCAAGATCGTAAAGTTTTTATGAAATCGGTACAGACTATTGATATATATCCCCTTCTTCAGTATATAGTATATAAATAGGGTATTAAAATGCAGTCGATTTAACTAACCCCTCAACTGCTTTTGATTTGCTTTTCCGCAGTTGCTGGGCAACCCGATGGCATACAACGCGGCTGCTCCCGAGTCACTACCGAGGAGGATGTCTGTGGACAGCTGCAGATTCAATCGGAGAACAACGTAACGTTAAGCAACTGCCGGCCCTGCAGCATGGATAGCTGCAATGGCAGCAGTGCCCTGCAGGCCTCTCTGGGAGCCATCCTGCTAGTCCTTGTCGCTGGCTTTATCCAACGCAATTAGATCTATTGAAGCTCATCGTTACCTCTTGGGTGTCGTCGCCATAGTCGCCACCTCACCTCACACACGATACATTATATGTAAACATAATTGTTAAGATACATCATAAACAAACACACACAAAAGATATCGAAATATATTTTATGGGCGCCAAGCCCGACGAAAACTTATGTTATTAATTGCTAACAAATGAAATGTTAAAGCAAAATGTTCTTGAAATGCTAAAAAATAAAGCGCTAAAGAGCTTTTAAACTAAAAATGCATATCTTTGTCTTTATTTTATTCACTATTCGTACTGTCTGTCCGACTGTTCCTCTCGATGTAGCCGTGCGCTATCGATAGCTCTTGAATTTCCTAAATTCTATTTCTGAAACTCATATAGTATTTTATTTTCATCTTCCGGCCATACAAATGCCTTAAACGTAATGCACATATCGCAGAGTGCTTCCAGAATCGCACAAAGTGACCTTCAAAATGTAATTATTACGTATCCGCCTTGTTGTGCAAACAATTCGACACATCTAAGCAAATAAATGGGCATACTTTTAGGCTAGAGAGGCCACAAAAATAAAGCAAAACTAAGCAAATGAAAATAACGGAACCAATATATTCGTTAGCATATAAAATATTCGGCGCGCCGCAGCCAATGATAGCGATAAGATAAAAACTCTGTTGCTATTGTCCATGAATTTTCGGCACACCGAGTGCCAAAATTTTGTATACCTCCATACAATGGACTGCCGAAACAATAAACATGGAAGTAGTCCCTTATCTATTTATCTGACTGTTTATCGTATGATTCACGCGGCCAAATTCCACGCACAAAACGAACATTATCCCATAAGTATATGTTGTATATATGTACGTACTTAAATTAGTAAGTAGTTCATCAATTACTTTGGCATAAACACACGACTTGCGATGCATTAAAAATTAGTCATACAAATTTTATGGGGAAATACAAAACAGTTTTCAATGAATATATGGCCTGATCTGGACAAATTTTGGGAGCAAAAATAAAATGTATTGCTGATCCCTTAAATCCAACTACATATCCCAACAATTTTTGTAAGGAAAAGAGAATAGCGGAAAGCACTGTGCCGGGTTTCCCAAGCGCGCACAATTATATTAGTCATTATAAACTTATTGCTTGCCTCATTGTTGTAAACACATTTTGGGAATAAGTCGTATCGTTACTGTGAAGTATTTTTATGGTCAATTGGACAAATTTTATGATTTCTTTCCCTCTAGAACAATATAAATGTTTATAAAAACGCAAAATACCCAAAACCTAATACGTGTCGTAAACCTCTTGATCGCACTTGAGTCGAATCGATTTATAAGACCCGCTTGCATTAGTCGGCCTAGCATAGGAAATAAGTCCACACACCAAAAAAACCTTATCGTTCATGCTAATTAAAGTCCGCCTACTATCAGCTTTTAGCAGAGGAAAACGTGTCGTTTTATTGTTATACAATTACTAGAAGCGCTATGCTTGGGTAAATATTAGCCTTCACCTTTTTTTCTGAAAGCGGACTTCCCGCTGTATACATTTATGATCGAATTTCTCGAATTTTAACAGTAATGTACGCCTAATTCTGTTTTTGCACGGTAGAGTGGTTCAAGAAAAAGTCGTGTGGAAAAAACATTGATCATATGTATGTTATTTTGAATCGTGCCAAATGGAATAAAGTTGTGCAATCATATATAAAATTTTTGATTTTCAAACAGTGTAAAAAAAGACCGCGTAAAAACAGAATTAGGTTTACAATACGTAATGTAACTTCAAAGACAGGCTTTTAGGCACAATTATCTTCTTCAAAATTGTTTTCTCCTAAAATAAGCTTAATAAACATTGGGCGCGTTCAGCAGGTCGTAGCGATTTGCGATTTGTGATCGATCATTACTGATTTCACCTGCTGACTGCTGTGATTTGTGATTCGGATAAGTAAAAATGTCAATCGAAATCACAAAACACAAAACGGGAAATTATGATGAATCTGATTATGTATGTAGATTTTTCGATTTTAACACTATATAGTCAGAATTTTGTCGAGACCTTTGCGAAGATATATAAAATGGCCAAATGCACCCCAGCAAGCTGTGACTTTTTCACCAAAAATACTCAAATTTTTTAAAACAGTCCTCACAAGCGGTCAGCAAAGGCCAATCAACAATCGATAATTAAATCATTGATTCACTTCAGGATCTGCTCAAGGAGTATGCAAATAATTTGAAAATAATATATTCGCGCTGCTACGACAGATAATGGATGTAGGTAACAAAATAAGAGATTTCCGGTATTGTGCATTTCTTCACATTACAAATGAGGGGAATGAAAAAACACGGACATATACTATAGAAGACATATTCTAAACAATTAGCGTCAACACATTTGGTTTTAGTAATATTGAAACTCATAATATAGACAAAGTAATGCTTGTAGTATCATTTATAGTTGCATTAAATGATAAGCGACGTGTCTTTCATTATTATTCTTTTGTTGCAATACCTGCGCTCTAACTATGGAAGCTAGAAAGCAAATGCACAGTTTGTACTTGTAAAACAAACAAACTTGTGTACTTTTTCCCCATTCTGATTCCACACATGCCTAAAGAATGTTATCAATAAAGATTGCACAACCTATTATCCTTCACTTGAACCGACGGGGCATTATAATTAATACGCTTCGGACAAATGAGAGGGTATGTCTTTTTGGCACATTAGTTAGTAACTAGATCCCAATTGCAGGCCGAGACGATTGTTGAAATTAAAACTAAATTAAACCGTCTGAGAAAGAGCAAGAATAATCCAACTTGATATCAACGTTCCCCTAAGCCCTAAGCACCTCCCCACTCCCCTGCTGTTTGTGATTTTCCATAAATCTCGTATTTCTAGAAATTTGTTCATCAAAAACATTTAATATATTCTATTCTATTTTATTAAATTAAGTTTTTAAAATGTTTAATTTTAAAAAAATATTATTAAAAGTATTTGTTTTTGAAAAAATATTATTAAAAGTTTTTGTTTTTGAGGAAGTAAGTACAGGGTATTTAACGCACTCGACTTTAGCACTCCTTTCTTGTTTTATGCACAGGTCTTGTGATGTTCCCAATCAGAATTAATAGTCAAGGTGTCGGTCTTGCTATCTTTTATCAATATCGCCGATTTTGACGTTTAAGAAATTTCACTTTCCTATCAACACCATTTCCATGAAACTACACAAATACATACAAAATATAATTGACCTATAATATAGCTTATCATAACAAGTGCGATGAAGAGAACATCCTGTACGCCTAAAATCAAGAGATCAATAAAATCACAATTCGGGGAAAAGAAACTACCCAGGGGATTGTCCTATGACAATGCAAGTTTATCGCGCTCAGAGCACACCATTAACTTTATTTATGGCCTTATCATAGCCGGGCCTAAAGCGATATGCGACAAAGCGAAATTACTTATCAGCAACCATTCAGGCGCCCCCACTTCTACGCTCAACGTTTCTGCCAGCCGCTGAAAAAAGTCATGTTAACATTATATTTAATTGCTAGTTTCATTTCGAAAGTGGTACGGTGCAGTTGGCCCCAAGAACGCCGCGAGACATTCAATAAATCGTCATCTCAGTGCCGTTGAATCCTTACAAAAAAATATATAAATACAAATAAAAATGAAATCTATCTTCCTATTACTGGCTTTACTGGCACTCACAGCCATTTGTCCAGGTGAGAGATTACTGATCATGATTACAAATGAAGTTGAAAGGACTATAGGTTTTCAGATTCTAATTCCAATTCTGTTTTTCAAATGAAAAAGTTCAAGAATGCTCCGAAAAATAATCTCCTGTGAAACTGAACAAATTAAATGATCAAGTAAAACGGAATAAAACTCTGCCTACGCAATGAAAACTTTAAGTAAATTAATACAAGCTATTAATTCAACAACACAGCGCAGTGATTTGATGTAACGATTAAATAAATTTAAACTAAAGCTTGTTCTCAGGAATTTAACGGCAAATTATGGCTGCACTGCATATGAACTGCTTAGCACTGCTTGCCTAAACGCGCATCATCACGTTAACAACAACAAAACCATTAAATGTGCCTTCGCGGAAACCGATCGGGAAAACCTTTTAATTCCTAGATTAGAAAGGACCATGAAAGCTGACACTGTCCAAGTTCGAATCCTTTTACAAATTTCTTGGCTAGATTTTACCTTAAAAGATATTTTTTTACAGACAACCGTTTAAACTGGGGTTTTAAGGGTTATGTTAAGGTTCCAAGAAACTCCTAATAACGTCCGGTATAATTGTTTTTTTCCAAAATAGTTAGTCAAACTCACCCCATCTAACAGATATCAAGGACTATATCTAGTTAAAAGTTTCGCTATAAGCGTGAATCAATTTTCATTTTGAAATAAATACTGTTATTAGTTCAGATATTGTGAAGTAGAGAAGTAATAAATTTCAAGAACTACCCACACCTTTCAAACTTAATTTGGTTATTAATTAGTACGGAAAATAAATTATAATGATAAACTTATGTATAGATCTGTATCGATCTTCAATCATGTTTATGTCTATCATCTGTCTTTTGATAGTATTTCATATTTATGGGCCATTTAATAAAGAGGAAAAACCGATTCGGCATGCCACGTTCCGACGGTTTTTATCAGCATGTTCTTCCGAATAATTCCATCGAAAAATCTACGCGTTCTCCGGTACTCGGCCATTATTGTAATTACAATTATGCGACGTCGTTGTCGTGGTTACCAACAGCTATCGTAGCCATTACGCACGTCGCAAAACGTTTACTCCAAATGAGAAAACAGAAAGAATTTTATCTCTGAAAATCGAGCAAGATCGATTCACATTTCGGTGACTTATGCGTCTATGTTTTCTTTACAGCGAATGTGCTGCAATGTTACGAGTGCATTGGAGATGATTGCGATGATTTGAACGAATCATTGTTGGTTGAATGCAGCGTGGATAATACGCCGTCCACCACAGAAAGTCCCGCATCAGGTACGTCCTCAGCTGTCACAGATCATACGAGCGTAAGCTCTTCGGATGATGATCGCAGTTCGACGACGACGCCAACAGTCACAACAGATGGGAGCTCAATTGGTCCAGGTTCAAGCGATTCTACAAGCGGATCTACAGAAACTTCGTCTCTAACGTCTACCACAGATGACAGCTCAATTAGTCAAGACTCAACCGATTCTACAGAATCTTCGCCTTTAACTTCTACCACAGATGAGAGCTCAATTAGTCCAGGCTCAAGCGATTCTACAAGCGGATCTACAGAAACTTCGCCTCTAACGTCTACCACAGATGACAGCTCAATTAGTCCAGGCTCAACCGATTCCACCACAGATGAGAGCACGGTTGGGAGTTCATCTAGTCCCAGCTCAACAGAATCTTCAACCGGTTCTGCAGAATCTTCTTCTACCGCAGCCACCACAGATGAAACCACAAATGAGAGCGCGAGTAGTGAAAGATCCACAGACATAACGTCTAGTCCAACCACAACTGAAATATCGAGTCCATCGTCCACCACCGTGGCAAGTACCGACCTGTCCTCAACCACAGAGGCGAGCTCTAGTCGTAGCACAAATGTAGCTGCGACTGGCAGCTCCACCGCAACCACCGATGATAGCTCAATCAGCTCAGCGTCAACCACCACCACAGAACCAACAGAGGCAAAAAGCTCTCTGCTTGCCCGTGCATCGCAGCAGCTCATTCGAAACTATCGCTCCATAGAGCGTTATGGTCGCGCCGCCTCTGAATATCGCTCAGCCGCATGTTATACCCTGAATGTGGGCGGCGGTAAGTCTCATAAACATTTTGTATGTATGGAGATATCCTGAACTCTTCTTCTTCCAGTTATACATCGAGGTTGCGTTCGTATACCGCAGGACTGGACTTCATCCGTGTGTGCGGCTGTAGAGCAACAGATCGACGTATCTGACAATACAGACACTGATGACTGCACATACTGTTTGATGGATCGCTGCAACAGCAGCGCCAGCTTACGCGTATCGCTAATGGCAGTGCTCCTGATCTGCACACTAAAGTACCTTTTTTAGAGGCTTTATGGAAGGCAATTGTTCTATTGAATTGTTAACGAACTATCACTTTAAAGTATTTAAAGAGATCGGAGTAATATGGTACAGAAGAAACATGTTTATTCTGCTCTTAACCATTTCCAATTTTAAGTTAAGACACCAGTAGAGTAGACTTTCAAATCATGTTGAATGTATTTGTACATTGTAAATAAATGAACTCATATATTACCTGTTGTAAACCAGAAATGTGTGAAATGAAGAAGAAAATGAAGTGAAGAACAAGCAGCTTTCGCAGTTCTCAAAGCTTAAAGATAACTTCAACTAAAAATATAGTGAAGGCTGTAAAATGTCAGACGAGCATGCAAATCATTTTCACATACAATTGTGGCTACGAAAAGTAATTCCCAGATAAGTTTAATGGGGAAGTAACACTATGATTGGCAAATTTGTGAGCAAACTAGTTGCCTGTCTGGCCAGTAATGAAAACAACTTAATGTGTTTTTAGTACAATAGTTTGCTGTACAATTCAAAATCGATTTGTAAAATCAAAGCTATAGATGTCACCCATTCATAATTATGCTTCTTTAATTTGTTCACTACTTACGCGTAAGGACGAATTTCTTCGCATAGTCTTAAAATCTTCTTTTTTCAAACTTTTAATTCCACAATATGATAAATAAAGTCTTGTCCTCAATGTCCATTACGGGATTCTGCGGGTTGCGTCTCACTATAGAAACCCAGATTCATTGTGGGTATCATGTTGCTGTAGAAGGACATTTCGGCAGCTGACGGCCGCATTGGAAACTGCAACGTCTGTGCCTCCTGTGCGCTTTTTGGCGGCACAATTGAGGCCGGTTGCTCTGCCAACGCAATCGCTTGCGGCGCCATCACGGTTGCATTCAATGCCTCTTGCGTGCTTTTGGCCACACTGTGTTGGAGCTCGTGCACCTTCATGTGTACTTCTAGATGAGTTTGCTGCAAGAACGCAATGTTACAAATGGCGCAAGTGTAGTTGGGGCCGTGAGCCTCGAGTTCGTGGCGTTGCAGCTGTTCGCGTCGATTGAAACCCTGTCCGCACACCTTGCAGGCGAACAAGGAGTCCATGTGCAAGGCGCGATGTCGTTGTAAGTCCCGCTCACGTTGAAACGTCTTCTCACACACATCACAACGATAATTCCGCGACGATTTGAATGCGGGCTTCGGTGCTAAGCCGACCGGTCTATGCATGGTCATCGATTGAAGTTGTTGATGCTGCTGAAGCTGAATCGCATCGGCCTCGACGTATGGATGTAAAGGAAGCACCAATTGCTGCTGCTGCTGCTGTTGTTCAATATCGCGTTTTTCGTGCACATTCTGATGCATTTGTAGCTTATCCTTTCGTGCAAAGGAGGCTGGACAGCGAACACACTGATACGGCTTGATCTCGGTGTGGGAACGCGCATGCTTCATTAACTCCAACGGCGTCTGAAAGGAGCGCGGGCACTGTTGGCACACAAATGGCTTAATGCTGTTGTGTATGCGCAAATGCTTGGTGAGATTGGTGTTCCGCGAAAAGGACTTGGAGCAAACAGTGCAGGTGTAGGGACGCACGCCAGTGTGCACGATTGTGTGCTTCTTCAGATCGGAACGTCGACAGAAGCCTTTGCTGCAGTGTGCGTGCGCACACACATATGGGCGCTCGGCATCGTGCGATTCCTTGATGTGCGAAATAAGCGCATTGCGGGTCACCAAACGCAACTGGCAGTAGTTGCAGCTATAGGGTGCCGCAGGATCATGCGAATTTAGCTCATGCTGCTGGCAATCTGGCTGCAGCGTGAAGGCCAAGTCACAATATTGGCAAAGGAATGCGCTCTTTGGATGCATGTCGGCGTTCATTGGCGTATTCAGATCCACATTTTGATGGGCTTGCATTATCGTATGCATTTGTGCAGCATCCATGCCGAGGGGCATATCTGCATCCTCTTCGGTGGGTGCTTCTTCCTCATCGTCGCTTTCTTCTTCCTCGTCCTCCATGTCGGAGCCGATCAGAAAATCATCATCACTCGTCTCACATAGTTGATCTGGATCTACATCAATAATCTCGCAGCCTTCCTCGGCACAAAAATCGCCAGGATTGCCATTCAAGCCTGGTCTGTATTTGGGATCCAATTTGATAATGCTACTCAGATCGTCCTGCAGCTCTTGCTCACGTTCCAGCATACTCCGGCGCTGCTTATGGAAGTCGGCAAGCAGATCCAAACACCGACTGCAAATCTGCTCCGGCAAGTACTCGTGTCGATTGTACTAGTAGGACGAAATCTAAGTCTTAGTTAAATGGAAAATGGCTTTAATTTGAGAAGCTCACCCGCACACCGAGCAATTCCAGGCAGGCGTCAACAATGCGGCACTCTTCGTTATAAAAATCAGCAACTGATTCATAAATATTAAGCGAGGCGGATGTTACACAGTTGTGGCACAAACGGCAACGTTCGGCAGGACGATTTGCAGCCGGCGGCGATTTTATTCTATCATCGGCAGCTGCAACAATTTCCTTCTCGCCTTGATCAGCGATTTCGGCTACGCTATTGTCTAAATTCAACATGTTGTTCAGCGGAGTCAACTATTTCCTGTTACAAAAAGAAGTATTGCAAGAAATTGATTCTACAAGCAACACAACACAATAGATGTGCAAAGACCAGGGATGACAGCGCAAGAACCTTGCATGCCCACTCATGATTGTTATCGATAGTGAAGAAAAGATGTATCGGTAAAAACCTTCTATTTAAATTTGCATGAGAATCAAACCGCAGGTATGACATGGTTATTATAACTGTTAATATTATGGCAGTCACATAGCCTTTAATGTATTTTTATCGGATTTAAATAATTTACCGAATTACATATTTTCAAATACAAACAATAACAACTAAAACAAATGACTTTTTTCCACTTTAATTAAATTTTAGCTAGTATCCATCATTTTTAAATGAGCTTCGGTTAATATACATTTTGTCATATGGCATGGGCACGGTACAGGATGTTCTTCTGTGTTTGGGTCGAGCAGTTCCACTTCCAAATCGTATTTGCGGTCATCATTGGCGCTACGTTTCATTGATATTTGGAACGCTACAGGCGATTTCTCCTCTAGCTTTTCGCAAGCATTTTGTGGCAGGAGAATAACACACTGTTTCCAATGCGTCTCTGGAGCAAGTGGTGATGTACTGAGTACCGAGTCGTCAGGGAATCGTACCTCAAACCAAATACAAAACCCTTGATGGTCCCCCGCAGTCTGTGTGGCTAACACTTCCTTAAAACGTATCTCATTCAGCTCTTCCGCATTAATGTCCAGCAGGCTCATCCAATGCAATATAACGCCTTCGTGTAGTAAGTCATGTTGATTGAGCTGCATAATTTCTGGTTTTTTAGATTTCTGCAAACGCAGTTTCTCGCCGAAGCGTTCCATTTTGACACCATCGACCAACTGCCAATAGTCAAACAGACTTGGGACAGAGCATGGTGCTACAAATATACTGCACTCGCTTGGAAACATAATACCGTCCTCTTTCAAAAAGTTATCCCTGGCGAATAGCACCGAATTCAGCATACTCTCATGCAAAAGGTAGAACCCCATCCACTCAGATACGATTATGTCCGCTTTCTCACTCGAAGCTGGCAAAACAAAGTCTTCAATTCGCGAATGTATGACCTTAACTATAGACGTTAGTCCGTTTTCTTCTATTACATCTAATGCTATTTTTGCTGTATTCGACGCTTCCACAGCATAGACCAGTCGGGCTCCAGCTTGCGCACACAAAGCAGATAGAATTCCTGTTCCGGCACCAACATCAATAACAATTTTATCTTTGAACAAATGCTTATTATTTGTTATGGCGTCGAAATAGGCTTTTTGCCGGGGCCGATCCTTTAACATCAATTCATGAATCTCCAAGTCCTCATAGTCAGTAAAATATGTCTCCGACATTTTAATGTAGATGTAATGGCCAGGTATCAACACGTGCCTTGTTTATAATTTGCCGAACAGCAACACATACATAAATCAAAAACAACCAGCAGCCCTCGCGTCGATTTCGATAGTCGCAAGAGCATGTATATCGGCGGAATATGAGATGTGCGTAGCAGGGTTGGAAAGCGACCAGCGAGTTAGCCACAAGACTGGAAGTAACGTCCATTGCTATTTTCAATAACAACAAGTTGATTTTTGCTTCGGTCTTGCCTATACAGTATATCGGAATTTGAACATGAAGTCACTTGTTGAAAACAGCTAGAGACGAAGACCCAACAACCACCAACAAGCAATAAAGGATAAATTAATCAAGAAGCTTCGAATGCTTATTGAACCCAGCTTAGAAATAATTTCTTAACTTCTAAACCAACGCATCGCATTCAATTCGAATACTAACACTCACACAAACCATAATCCTATCCGAATATAAATAATACAAATGGTTCATTAGCAGAAATGCCTCTACCCTGCATGCTAATCACGCTGTCTTATCTTTACTTCATTTATCTCCCATATGCGACCCACTTAAAATATACTTTTAAGATAACTAGTCTGAGAGGGACAACTGCAAGCTTTAGAACTGCAGGGCCAACATAGATAAGCAAAGTTTGTGGCTTTTACCTAAAGCGTTGAATTGAAATTGATTAGTTAACGCGTCAACAGTAGATACCGGGCATTGGCCAGAGCAGGTGGGTTATTGGATCAAACTCAAGTCTAAATAGGAAATTAGCCATGACTGCTAATAAATTTTACGTACTGGTGATAGTATTAATAGCACTAAATATCTGTCAAGCATTGGGTGAGTAATGGCCGGGCAAGAATTTTATGGCGCACATTAGAGTCATCAATAACATTCTCCTTATTCAGATTGTTATGATTGCGACTCAAGCGATGAAAACTGCATAAAAAGTGTGGCGAGTGTGAATAAGACAGCATGTACTGGGGAGGACATCTGCTATACGAAAACAGGTAAGACTTTCGACTTGGGGCCATCCAAATACATAATATACAATAAGTATGTACGGCTATGTATGAAGGTATATACTATGTAAATAGCATGAGTAATTGTGCATCTTATCAGTTGATAAGCTTTTGACAAGTCCGATAACCAACAACAACAACAACTTCACTCAGCGGAATATGATAGATAGAATCGGCACTTCAACCAAATATTTGTCTTTCTTTGCAATAATTTTTTTCATCTACTGTTCTTTCTACTGTATAATTTGAAAAAAAAAAAGTCATTTGAACAAGTATGAAACGACCAAAAGGGTATCTACCATCATAAGGAGCGACTAAGTTTATAGGAAACCACATTATTAGTTAAATACCGCTTTTGTCATGTCAGCCAACCAGTTTGCTCAACACTATCAATCTTCGTATTATGTATATATGTATGTACATATGCTGATCCACAGTAGGAATTAAAGTATGAAAAGTTATATGATTACAAATGTTTAATCGGCGATTACTTCCTTTATTACAGATACAGGTACTGGCAAAGTGACACGAGGCTGTGGAGCTAAGGATAGCTGCCCTTCTGGAAATTGCTTCTCCTGTAGCGAGGATAGCTGCAATACGCATATAATCTGCAAGAAATGTGACGCTACGGACGCGTCCTGTTCGCAGACCAACGCCGATGATGCCAAATATAATCAGGTCTGTAATGTCAGCAATTCATGCATAAAACAGGTCAAGGATAAGCAAGTGGTACGCGGTTGTGTGGCCGATAATCCTTGCGGATCTGCCAATACGGACACCTGTAACGTTTGCAAAGATGCAAACTGCAACGTGGGCATCTTTCCGGAGAAGCGTCGCCTGTGCCATCAGTGTGAAAACAGCAGCTGTAACGATGTGTCCAGTGCCAGCCCCACACCCTGCCTCCTTTATGATGCAGCAGAGAAGTGCTACACCAAGGGCGACAGCGCAGACACCATGGTGCGGGGCTGCCAGTCAGACACTGCGGCCAAGTGCAGCGCCGGCAACACCGACGACAAATGCTTGACTTGCGACAGCGCAGATGGCTGCAACAATTTGAAGTTCGAGCGCACCGTCAGTTGTTTCCAGTGCTCCGATGCAACGGACTGCGCAGAAGCCCAGGACAGCAATGCCACGGAGTGCAGCAAGCCAGTAAGCTACCTGCAAGCCAATGAATGCTACTCGCAAGTGAAGAATGGGCTCGCCCTTCGCGGCTGCTTCATCGAACGTGACGAACAGTTGGGCACCTGCAGCGAAGAAACCAGTTGCACCTCCTGTGCCTCGGCAGGATGCAATAAAGCGGCGCTGGATGTGACCTTCACATGTGTACGTTGCCGAAGCGACAATTTCGGGGGCTGTCGTAACAATGCGGCAAATATTGGTGGCGAAAAGTGCAGCAACAGTACTGCGGAGGAAAAATGTTTCTGGGGTCAATGGGGTGAGTGACCTGTGAACAAACTTTAACAAATGAATAAGCAGATATGCCATTGCGTAGGGACGTTTCTCGATATTCTCCTTATGTCCTGGATGTGTTGATAATATACTATATGTTGATATTAAAGCCACTTGTTATGGGTTCGGCCAACAAAACAACAGAGCTTTCGAGGCTAAAACCTCAAATAGACAGTCCTATTAGAGCCAGCCGATATGGCAGACTTTGTTGTTTTCAATTTATTCTTAACTTACAGGCTATATCTATTTATTTTATTTAGTATTTAAGAAGCATGGCATTCAAATGTTTCTTTCATGAAACTATAAACCCATCACCATTGTTTGAAAAATGAATCTAGCTAGATTGATAAAAACTATATATGCTTAGATATTCGTTAGAGATCGCAATTTTCCTTACGATTGTCATGCGAAACAAATTGGATAACACAACCTTTTCTCAATTCCAGATGGAATAGTGTTGCGTGGCTGCCTCTCGGATGCGGATTACCTCACGACCTATCAGTGCAACAATCCCAAGGACAATAGGTGCCACACCTGTACCACCTCCAACTGCAACACCAAAGCCCCTAGTGGGGCCTCCACGCTACAGAGCTTGGGTGTAGGTTTGAACCTATTATTGGTTTTTGGCTTTTTATCGGCACGGTGGCGAGTCCTGTAAAATATAATTCAGTCCGAAATTTCAACAAAGCTGTTAATCATTTCTACAATAATTAACAATCTAATCTTAACCAACATTGTGGCAACAGTAATAAAGTTAAACAAAACGATAATAATAAAAAAGTGATATCAAAAGTATATAGAAATGTATATTTTTACAGGTAAGTAGCAAAATATTGTTTAATAAATGATAAGCGCGTTAATTCTGAATAAATACAATTACGCTATATCGATTCCTGATATAAAACACTGCTCTCGACAATTAAGAATATCAATATGAATACTATATGTAGTGGAAACTAAATATTTACTTACCCATAAGTACTATTTACTTATACAAACATTAATTGTGAAATTCTGTTGCATCGGGCTGGTCACGAAGAATAAAAGGTGGCAGCGCTACGGAAGGCGCCAAGAATTTATAAAGGTACTGCAGCGCCATCTAGCGGTACCGAGCGAGGCACCATGGTGGCAACTGCAGCCACGCAGGCGCAGGGTTGTGTCCCGATGGCACCTCAAAGTGGGGAAACGTCAAGGCCGTGATGAACGGATGCGCAAGGACGTAAAAATCCGCAGGCATACGACATCCGGCCTATAAAAGGCAAGCCGCAACACGCCATTCCTGTTTTTGGGGCGACGGTGCAGACCCACGAGGCAGTGTTTTCTTTTGGTGAACTGGAGGCCGTGCTGAAACCTGAAAAAGGAAAGGAAGAACCAGAAGCCGTTCGAAGGTGAGCATAAGGATATAGATGCAAGGCAGAACTAATGCCGATGTATACATACCTGTATATCCACTTAAATGTGCCGACCAGTGCTTAAATGCCTTTTGTTCCTTGGCATATAGATTTTCCGGCATATCGCCAAGTTTTCGGACAGCGGTGGAACCATACACAGCAGCTGCAGCGGCCGTCATAAGTAGCAGCACGAGCTGCATCGTAGCAGGAGCAACAGCGACAGCAGCAGATCCAGCACCAGCGTCTTCAACGACAGCAGCAGATCCAGCACCAGCGTCTTCAACGACAGCAGCAGATCCAGCACCAGCGTTTTCAACGACAGCAGCAGCAACGACAGTGGCAGCCGGAGCAAAGGCGCCCACCCAAGAAGTAGCAGCAGCAATAGCGGCGCCACCACAACGCAACAGCAGACACGTCCGTCTGCGCCATCAGCAGCGGAGGATAGACAAGCCGGTGAGTCCGTTCCTTGGCCACGCGCCGTGCCTATTGTTCGCGGTTGAGCAGCGACATCAGGCAGAGATCCCGCGCGCCTTACGTCGTGTCGTTTGTATGGGCTGCGCCTGCAGGGTCCCACACGCCGCCCATTGAAGTTTCTGCAAAAGAAAAAAAAAAAGAAGATAAAACAAAATATATACAGATATAATAAAAACCAAAACAAGGCAGAAAGTGGCACCTAAACAGAGCTTGGCGCTCTATTTAATTCAAAAAAAAAAAAAGTTCACACTCTTATACACACTTATATTGTATGAAGATTGCCAATTGCAGTAGCGCGCAGTGTTTTATATGTATTCTTATATTTCTATTGCGCCCATGACCGTCGAGAGCTCTCGTTAGGATTTGGTTAGACATTTTTCTATAAATTTTTGTACCGCGCATATTTTTCTCATACACATACACATATATCTATATACATATTTATTTGCCATAAACATACTTGCATGTTGGCGCACATAAAGAACCGCATTGGCCGTTGGCAAGCCTTCTTTATTTTGTTTTTATATAAATTATTATTGTTCCATATTTACATTGTTTTCACTCACACTCAATCACACTGAAATATATGTATGTTTGTAGCCACATAAACTGAAAATTAATTGTTAATTTTAATGGTCGCACCGTTGGTGATGATGCATTAAAGCAGCATCAGTAGGGGCGGGAGACTCACCTGTGCCATGGAATAGCCCAAGCACGGTCCAAATAAGGGTATCCAAGAAACATTTTGCCTTTGGATACAGGCAGGGTGGGTACGCCTGGGATAACAACAGCAAAATCCCACACGGTTGTCCGATGCCACAATTTCTGTCCGTCCGCACGTATATAATCTCCTTTTACAGTCACCCGTATTCGTACGGATGGCTTGAGGGAGTTATCCGTTTATTTGTTTTTTTGTCGCATTACGTTTCTTTTAGTTTATGTTAGTTTTTTTGGTTTGTTTACGTTTTGAATTCGGTTTTGTATATTGCGCGTCGAATTTATTGTAGTGATGGCATTTTGTTTATCGATGGAGGAACCGTGTTATCGGTTATTGTACGACTCACGCGGGCATAGGGTTGGAACCACACACCCAAGGAGAATTCCGATGAGCCAGCCGGCGTTGCCCAAGAGGAAAAGCGTAGTCGTAACAATATGGCGCCCAAATTGGATGTTTGAATTTTTAATGCCAAGGAGTAGGTGGAGTTGTTTAGGGCCCTGTACCACGTTTGGGGAGGAGTCTAGGCAGCCGCCGTACGCAGGCTGAGAATTTAGATAGGAAAAAAATAAATTAAGCCGATGGCTAGGGGCCGACGATCGGTATGGTAGGGACGGAATCCCTTATAGCACCAACTGCAAGCGTGTGTGACATGGACAGTAAGTCACGAAGGTGCGAGTATGAGCCCTTCGTTTGCGACTGCCATTTGGAACGACGCTAGGCAATGGGTACTATGGGGGGATTCCAATGCGCGTTTGTTTTGTTATTTCGTTTCAGTGTTCTTTGTTGTAATTCTTGCGTCAATTCGTTTGTGCACGGTCGCCGTGGTGTCATCGTGTTTGCCTGGTGGACGTAGAGTACCGGTGGCCCAGGATGACTAGGAAAGTCGCCTGCGATGCACCGCTACGCACGGTGAGCCAGAGCAGATGGTGCACAAAACAGAATTGGGTGTCAAGAAGCAACCATTTAATTTGTTGGCTGTCGTTCATCGCCGTCAAGGCGATAAATGTAGCAGCGAACAAATATAGCAGGATTGTGGCGTAGGGCAGCTGTAACAGGCGTAGATATTAGAGGAGCCGTGTTTGGGTTTCGGCGGAGTGTGAGTCTCAGCCCCTATATACAGAAGTTTAAAAGAAAATTTGTTTGTTTATTGCTTACATTTTATTAAGTCTGTTTGGTTACGTTTGGTGCATATACATATGTTACATTTGTCTTGTGGTTGAGCGTATATATATTTTTTTTTTGGTTTCCGTGCAAAGTTGGACGTGAATTTATTTAAAGATTTGTTTTTTTTTATTTTTTTTTTTACTACTATATTCATATTTATTTATTCCAATTCACATATTTATCTATTTATTGTTGTACCTATTTATTTATTTATTTATCCATCATACATATTCAGCGTACATATATTTTCTTGCCCATTTGTTTTTGTTGTTTTGGGCGTTTGCAAACATTTTCATTGTTTGGAATACATATATACAATTATCCAATTAATACGAATTTTTCTTCGGGGCCTGCTTGAAAGCTGAACAAATTCATAATCCAAAATATAAATAAATATTATAAAAAAACAGAGCGTATTTTTTTTTGGATTGAGATGGAAAAGGATTCTGCGCGTGCGTATAACACCAGGTCGAGAACGGCCAGAAATGATGATCCAGTGCTGGAGGAACACCTAGAAGGAGCCGTAGGTTTTTCCACCGGTGGCCTCATGCACACTCCTCCGAGGCCGTCCATAGCACCAGCAGTACACTGGGACGCCGAGCCAGTAGTCGCGTCGGTGGTAGAAGCAGCAGTGGCCCAGGCGAACGAAACATACCGCCAATCGCAAAAAGAGGGTATCAACAAAGTGTTGCAGGAGGAAATCCGAATGGGGTTTCAAGACTTGATGGGCGCGTTGAAAGAAGTTTTGCAACCGCGAGCGAATAGCGGCGATTCAGCTGCAAATGGAGCATGGCAACCGCCAGTCAGCCAGAATCGGGGTGCAGTGCCAAAACGGCCGCATCAATACCAGGCTGAACCTCTAACACCAGCAAGAGGAACTTCGCGTCCAGTAGCAAGGCCAGCGGCAGCTAATTCCTCCAGTGGAGCTGGCAATAGCAGCAACACAGCTCGAAATTGGCAAAATCCCGCAGCACAGTCGGCCCGTCGAAGAGGCAACAGGCGTTACGATGGGAGTGGTCAGCTGGACCCGCCTCCTCCGTATGTAGCGGCGAATGGCAGATCCGGATGGTGCCGCGTCGAAAAGTGGGACATCGTTTTCAGCGGCGATAAGGAAAAAATGGCTGTTGAAGACTTCGTTTTCCAGGTCGAGTTCCTTCAGAGGCAGTGTCGCTGCGCATGGTCCGAAGTATTAAACAGTTTCCATCTGTTAGTAACTGGGCACGCTCGCGAGTGGTACTGGCAGTACGTCAGGGACCACCGGGCAGACAGCTGGCCAGAACTAAAACGGAGCATGCTGTCCCGTTTTAAAGGCGCCGCCGATGAATTCGAGCGCATGCGTCAATTGCGCGAAAGACGGCAGAAGGCAAGCGAAAGCGTTGAGGAGTACTTCCATGCCATGAGGAAACTGGCGTCGCGTCTCCACACAGCACCATCTGAAAACGAGATGATGAAATATATAAAAAAAGGATTAAAAATAGAACTAGCTCGTTATGTGTATGCGATGCGCGTGTACACGGTAGACCACTTACGTGACGAATGCGTAGAGGTGGAAGCTATGGTCCAGCGGCGAGAAGGCGTGTTCCCAACACGCAGCGGCACACGTTTTAGTGGCGGAAACCGTCCACCGGCAGTGGAGGAGGTGGTCGACGACACTAACGGCGAGGAGTCGGCGGATTTCGGCGTAGTTGAAGAGGCGCGTTTGGCAAGGCGTCCGCAACACGCGTTAGTTTGCTGGAACTGCAGACAAGCCGGCCATAGTTTCCGCGACTGCATGTCACCGGAAAGGCGCGTCTTCTGTTATAGGTGTGGCAGGCCCGACACCTATAGTCCAACCTGTCCCGATTGCACGGGAAACGGCCGTCGGAGTGCGGAGCAAGTGGGCGAATCGCGCTCGACACAGGTGCCCACCAGGATGACAGCGGAGCGGTCCTGAAAGAAGAATTTCATAAGAAAAATACCCCATATAGTAATAAGTTGAAATTTTTACCGTACGAGGAAAAGATGCGGGCATATCTGGAGGCGCGTAATAGAATTTTTGCCCAACATCAGTTAGATGGGATGAGGATGGTGACAGCCAAAGTTAAAAAGGCCCGAGCACGATTCCGAGTGAGAAGGCAGACGAAGAAGCTGGTAGCCGAGGCAGTGCGACGCGAGGGAGCAGCAGATCCGAGGATTTTTGCCGAAGTACTGGTACGAGGCCACGTGCTACGCGGTTTGCTGGATACCGGGGCCTCGGTAAGCGTGCTAGGCAAGGGCAGTCTGGAACTGCTGAAAGAGATTGGCATGGTGCCCAGAAATTACATTTCGATAATTAAAACAGCAGGCGGTGAAGACAGAGCCGTAATTGGGCGAGTGCGTTTACCAGTGGTGTATCGAGAAGAGGCCAAAGAAGTGGAATTTTACGTATGCCCATCACTCGAACAGAACGCGTATTTCGGCATCGACTTTTGGCGGCTGTTTAATTTGGCACCACTATTAATTCCTCCGGAAAAGCCAGACGTTAAAAGACTTGTCCTCGATGAATTGCTAGCTGATAGAGTGGCGCATTATGCGGACCAGGATGAAGTAAGGCCTGAACCAGATATGTGGAAATTGAATGAACAACAAAAGCTGCAATTGGAACAAGTAAAAAAAGAATTTTTAACCTTCGAAGAAGCGGGATTAGGCAAGACTACTTTGGAGACTCACCGAATTGAATTGGTCAGCGGAGCAGAGCCAGTGAAAGACAGGCACTACCCTCTATCACCCGCTATGCAGAAGATTGTGTGGGATGAGGTGGACAGCATGCTGGCGCTTGGCGTCATCGAGGTAAGCGATAGTCCGTGGAGTAACCGCACCACCATAGTGCGACGGCCGGGCAAGAACCGCTTTTGCCTCGATGCCCGCAAGTTGAACAAACTGACAGTCAAAGATGCCTATCCGCTACCATGCGTGGAGGGAATCCTATCTGGAATCGATCAGACATATTATATTTCCAGTGTGGACCTGAAATTTGCGTTTTGGCAGGTGGAGTTGGAGGAGTCCAGTAGAAGGTGCACTGCGTTTACGGTACCAGGGCGACCGTTGTACCAATTCCGCATGATGCCTTTCGGGTTGTGTAACGCCGCTCAAAGGTTGTGCCGGCTGATGGACAAGGTCATACCGAATGAACTGAGGTCCAACGTTAAAGTATATCTAGACGATTTGGTAGTCTTCGCGGCTGATTTTGATACGCACTTGGAGTACCTGAAGAGAGTAGCTGAATGCCTCAAGAAGGCAAACCTGACGATAGGGTTACAAAAGTCGAAGTTTTGCTTTAAAACGTTGAAATACCTGGGATTTATCGTGGGCGGCGGCGTGCTTCGAACAGATCCAGAACGGGTGCAGGCGATACAGCGCATACAGGTGCCAAGGTCCGTAAAGGAGGTTCGAGCTTTCTTAGGAACCGCCGGGTGGTACAGGCGATTTATTAAAGATTTTGCCACCTTAGCGGCTCCGCTCACTGAGGCTTTGAAAAAGCGATCGGGAGGTAGGTTCTCACTCGGTGGCGAAGCGATTGCAGCATTTGAGGCGTTGAAGAAGGCGCTCACATCTGCGCCAGTGCTGGTACACGCGGATTTTTCACGCCCATTTTTTGTACAATGTGACGCATCCCATATTGGCGTCGGAGCCGTATTATTCCAGGTGGATTTGCAGGGAAACGAGAGGCCCATTGCGTTCTTTTCTGCCAAGATGAACAAGCACCAGGTGAACTACTCGGTGACCGAGAAGGAGTGCTTGGCGGCGGTATTGGCGATACAAAAATTCCGGCCATACATCGAAATGATGCCATTCACAGTCATAACCGATCACGCCAGTTTGAAATGGCTGATGTCCATGAAGGATTTGTCCGGGCGATTGGCTCGTTGGTCGTTGCTGCTCCAGGGCTTCGACTTTGAAATCACGCACCGGAAGGGCTCCGACAACATCGTGGCGGATATGCTGTCCAGAAGCACCGAAGCCGAAACTTTAGAGGAGTTGGATTTCTTCCCAGGAGACCTGTTGGGTATAGAAACCGCAGAATTCGAATCAGAGGAGTATCGGGAGCTGATTAGCGAAATTCAAAGTCAAAAAGATAAATTACCTGATTTAAAAATTGAAAACGGGGTGATCTACAAAAAGACATCCTTCAATCGGCTAGAAGATCAGCTCGAAGGCAGTGTGTGGAAACTGTGGGTTCCGCGTTCGCTAACCGGCATGCTTATATCGAAGGCCCATACCGAAGCGTCAACGCATGGAGGAGTGTTGAAGACGTTGTCCTGGTTGCGGCGGCAGTTTTATTGGCCGGGAATGGCCAAAGACGTTGCTGAAGTGGTCCGAAAATGCGTGGTCTGCAAAGAGACGAAAGCCACCAATTACGGGATGCAGGTGGGAATTGGTGCAGAAGTCGTCACGGAGAGGCCGTTCCAGAAGTTATACATAGACTTCTTGGGCAAGTATCCGCGATCAAGGAAGGGGCACGCCTTCATATTCATAGTGGTAGATCACTTCACCAAATTCACGTTCCTGAAGGCGATGCGAGAGGCCACCACTCGGAGCGTCGTCGACTTCTTGGTGAACGAAGTGTTCCATACGTTCGGCGTTCCAGAAGTCATACACTCCGATAATGGTAAGCAATTCACGTCCAAGCAGTTTGCAGACATGATGGAGGGCTACGGTGTTAAGCATCTGCGGACACCGGTGTATTCGCCGCAAAGCAACGCGTCCGAAAGGGTGAACCGGACTATACTGTCCGCGATACGGGCGTATCTGGGGCAGGATCACCGCGAGTGGGACCTACACCTTCCGGAAATTGAAGTGGCCATCAGAAACAGCGTGCATTCTGCGACTGGAGTAACGCCTTTTTTCGCACTATTCGGCCGACATATGATGTTGCACGGTTCGCAGTACCGATTGGCGAGGAAATTAAGGTCCTTAGACGAGCACGAATTCGCAGCGTTGAGTACAGCAGACAGGCAATCCCTGTTGCAACAGAAAATCCAGGCACAATTGCATGCGGCGTATGAGCGCAGTAGCGTTCGCTATAACCGGCGTGCGCGGCGGCTAAGACTAGCGCCCGGCCAGGAGGTATACCGGCGAAACTTTGCATTGAGTGATTTCAGCCGCGCGTTCAATGCGAAATTCGCGCGGAAATTTCTAAAAGCTCGCGTAAGGAAATCCATCGGCACCAACGCATACGAGCTGGAAGATTTGCAAGGGAACTTGCTGGGGGTATTCCACGCAAAGGATATCCGAGTGTGACGCCTGTCCTAAGGCAGAATGGATGAATATAGGGAGGAGGATGCAGCCAGAGCTACTCACCTGAAGATCAAGAGTGGGTGTGGCCTACGTTGGGCGCCGCGGTAGTAGTCATCCGAGGCAACGCCGGACTCGAAGCAGAGGACTCCAACAACACCAGCCGTTTGATGCGCGCAAACATCACTTCGGGGCACGAGCGTCCGCCCACTTGGATATTTGCGGTGGTGTTGCATCGGGCTGGTCACGAAGAATAAAAGGTGGCAGCGCTACGGAAGGCGCCAAGAATTTATAAAGGTACTGCAGCGCCATCTAGCGGTACCGAGCGAGGCACCATGGTGGCAACTGCAGCCACGCAGGCGCAGGGTTGTGTCCCGATGGCACCTCAAAGTGGGGAAACGTCAAGGCCGTGATGAACGGATGCGCAAGGACGTAAAAATCCGCAGGCATACGACATCCGGCCTATAAAAGGCAAGCCGCAACACGCCATTCCTGTTTTTGGGGCGACGGTGCAGACCCACGAGGCAGTGTTTTCTTTTGGTGAACTGGAGGCCGTGCTGAAACCTGAAAAAGGAAAGGAAGAACCAGAAGCCGTTCGAAGGTGAGCATAAGGATATAGATGCAAGGCAGAACTAATGCCGATGTATACATACCTGTATATCCACTTAAATGTGCCGACCAGTGCTTAAATGCCTTTTGTTCCTTGGCATATAGATTTTCCGGCATATCGCCAAGTTTTCGGACAGCGGTGGAACCATACACAGCAGCTGCAGCGGCCGTCATAAGTAGCAGCACGAGCTGCATCGTAGCAGGAGCAACAGCGACAGCAGCAGATCCAGCACCAGCGTCTTCAACGACAGCAGCAGATCCAGCACCAGCGTCTTCAACGACAGCAGCAGATCCAGCACCAGCGTTTTCAACGACAGCAGCAGCAACGACAGTGGCAGCCGGAGCAAAGGCGCCCACCCAAGAAGTAGCAGCAGCAATAGCGGCGCCACCACAACGCAACAGCAGACACGTCCGTCTGCGCCATCAGCAGCGGAGGATAGACAAGCCGGTGAGTCCGTTCCTTGGCCACGCGCCGTGCCTATTGTTCGCGGTTGAGCAGCGACATCAGGCAGAGATCCCGCGCGCCTTACGTCGTGTCGTTTGTATGGGCTGCGCCTGCAGGGTCCCACACGCCGCCCATTGAAGTTTCTGCAAAAGAAAAAAAAAAAGAAGATAAAACAAAATATATACAGATATAATAAAAACCAAAACAAGGCAGAAAGTGGCACCTAAACAGAGCTTGGCGCTCTATTTAATTCAAAAAAAAAAAAAAGTTCACACTCTTATACACACTTATATTGTATGAAGATTGCCAATTGCAGTAGCGCGCAGTGTTTTATATGTATTCTTATATTTCTATTGCGCCCATGACCGTCGAGAGCTCTCGTTAGGATTTGGTTAGACATTTTTCTATAAATTTTTGTACCGCGCATATTTTTCTCATACACATACACATATATCTATATACATATTTATTTGCCATAAACATACTTGCATGTTGGCGCACATAAAGAACCGCATTGGCCGTTGGCAAGCCTTCTTTATTTTGTTTTTATATAAATTATTATTGTTCCATATTTACATTGTTTTCACTCACACTCAATCACACTGAAATATATGTATGTTTGTAGCCACATAAACTGAAAATTAATTGTTAATTTTAATGGTCGCACCGTTGGTGATGATGCATTAAAGCAGCATCAGTAGGGGCGGGAGACTCACCTGTGCCATGGAATAGCCCAAGCACGGTCCAAATAAGGGTATCCAAGAAACATTTTGCCTTTGGATACAGGCAGGGTGGGTACGCCTGGGATAACAACAGCAAAATCCCACACGGTTGTCCGATGCCACAATTTCTGTCCGTCCGCACGTATATAATCTCCTTTTACAGTCACCCGTATTCGTACGGATGGCTTGAGGGAGTTATCCGTTTATTTGTTTTTTTGTCGCATTACGTTTCTTTTAGTTTATGTTAGTTTTTTTGGTTTGTTTACGTTTTGAATTCGGTTTTGTATATTGCGCGTCGAATTTATTGTAGTGATGGCATTTTGTTTATCGATGGAGGAACCGTGTTATCGGTTATTGTACGACTCACGCGGGCATAGGGTTGGAACCACACACCCAAGGAGAATTCCGATGAGCCAGCCGGCGTTGCCCAAGAGGAAAAGCGTAGTCGTAACAATTCAAAAGCTTTTATTAATTGACAACCAATAGAGATTACATATTTAAAAAATAGATATTAATAATCGCATAAATTGGGCTTTTGCTGTGGTAACATTGAAGTGGTATCGAAACTACTGATATGGGATAAAAATTGATCACATTGGCTTTAGCCAAATGCCCAAAGATAAGATACAATAAAAGCAAATAGAGAATAGACCCAATTGGGCGCCTCCAGCCATGATTGTCTCTCGAGTGTTGCAGGCAGGCTCGTGGCATTGTTCGCACTCTTTCCGTTTTATTTTGCAATAGCTCTGGTCCTGTTCCGTCAGCTCGATCCAACAGCCGCGAGTGGTCACCTTCGTGTCAACTGTATGATAGGAAAATATAGCTTAATTAAACCGAATGCAAGTTTAACCAATTTATAAAGAACGTCTTATTGAGTAACGCTCTTAGCAGTTGTAATTCGAAAGCTGTCTAAAAAAAGATAAAATGAAAATTTCAAAATAAATGAATTGTTTGCATAATTAAACACATTTTTTTTAATAACAACTTTATGTACAAATATAGTTTAATTAAACCGAAAGCAAGTTTAACCAATTTATAACGTCGTCGAACGTCTTTTTGAGTAACGCTCTTAGCAGCTGTAATTGGAAAGCTGTCTAAAAAATTATAAAATGCAAATTTCTAAATAAATGAGTTGTATGCATAATTACACATATTTTTTTAACAACAACTTTATGATGGGTAGCTATAGTATTTAATGGGAACACTGGGAACAAAACATATAATTTTCACAAATCTTCAGCCATTTTGTGAGCTTTAAATAATACTGCTTTGACAAAAACTGCTTGAAGCAGTTCTATCCTACCAAACGGAGCAAAAGCTTAACATCCTTACAGTTTCTCTTCGTAGCATCTGAATATACAAGTAGTTTACTTTGAAATATAAATTTCAAATAAATAAAATAACATTTTCAAGGCAAATGTTTGCTCAAATGGCTATAACTCGGTCTACTATCTTTTTTTCCTCTTTACAGTTGCCTAAAATCTCCAGTCTTTGTTAAATATATAAACTGAACTAAAAAAAGTAAGCTGAAAACCTAAAGTTGAAGTGAAAACTGTAGCTTTTAAAGATAGGCACTCTAATCGCCTACGAAAGTAGGCCACAGTGTGGAGGGGCGCTTGGAACTTACGTTTGTATAGCGTGTAGCAGGTATGGCGTCCATTGTACGGATTGCACTTCTTCTGATTGTACGGGTGGGTGGCGCAGCTGGCATTATTGGCGGAACTACAGCTGTAGCAGAACTGGAGAGCTAGTGGCGGGCGGGTAGCAGGAGGTGTTGGTGCTGGTGCTGGAATCGGCGCGTGTGTATTGCTACTAGTGTCCTGCTGGTCTGGCAATATGACCTCCTCCGACCCCTCATTATCGCCCTCTTGGTCAGGTTCTTCGGGTAGTAGGGGCTCATTCGGCTGATCCCCTTGAGGCTGCTCTTCTGACTGCTCTTCTTCCGGTTGCTTTTCCATTTCCAACGTTTCTCCATCTGTTTCCATAGTAGTCACTATATTATGAGGAGTCTCGGAATATATCTTCACTTCTTTGGAGCCATCTGCCTCATCTACTAGGTCCATTGGTGGTGGCGATTCGCTGCTCCACTGCCCCCAACTGGACTGGCATAGCAGCAACACAGCTAGGGCTATCCCCCAGCACACTTTCTTGCTCCACATTCCACACGCACTCGGCTCAAGGCACAGTTGGTATTGAAAGCGAAAACGATCTTTTAACGTGCCCTGAACCTATTTCTGTTTGCACTTCAATATCCAAGCTCTCGAGAGCTCTACAAATAGGCGCACCTGCGACTAGATAAGCCGATAAACCTGCGTCGGTGCTGTTTGCAAACAGACTGTTCCCAGAGTTGTGCCACAAATGACTCGCATATGTGGCTGATTGTCACGCAATTAGCTCTAAATTAAATCGATATGACCGGGCTAATAGGCCGGGCTATAGACCGTCGACCCAACGACCCCGCAAACGTTTCATGACATCTCAAAATGCCTCACTAATTTGAATTATTAATGATGTGAACCCTTGACATTGCAGCTGCATTGCACGCTTTCCAACCCATGGCGCACTCGAGGAAATGTCGAACAACAAATTCTAGACAGATTACGTTCGAATTCAGGACATTCAAGCCTTTATAGGTTTAGTATTTAGATTGATTCAGTTTTGTTTAAGTCAAATGTAAAATAGAGCCCAGTCGGGCTGGAGATTTTCCTCTTTCTAAAGTAATCCTACTAGCTATTAATTCGGTATCTGTTTTTCCCCTCTTATACTTTACTTTTTATCTACAACGCTGATTAGCTCTGTTTTAACAAAAAAATATCATTATTTTCTCTTTTTTTTGACTGATCGCCAATGACTCAAGCCCTAGCCATTGCTAGGGCCTTATCACTCCTCCATATAGTTGATAGCGAATAATGCAAAACCTCAAGAGCCCAGATAGGCTATAAATTTAGATGGCCGAACAAAGCAAACCTAATCTCTACATTTTTAAATCCATCCCCAAAAGACACAAAGCAACAGACACAAGCAATGCAGTTCAAATTTCTCAACTCGCCACAATGGCCGCAATTCGACTTCCACAACTGCTCCAATTATTACATTTCCTGCTTATCTCGTGTAAGCTATCCATGGTTTATGACTAATTCGTTTCCAATATGCACGATTACAATTTGGCCGCCATTATGCCTATTTTTAGGGCCCAGTTGCTCGGCAATTATCTGCTACCATTGCGACTCCATAGCCCTCGAAGACTGCGCCATGACCCTAGGGGAGGTGGGAGTGCTCCCCTACGTCGACTGTACCAGCGAACTGACGTGTGCCATGTCCATTGGTGAGTCCAATATTGGTTCGTCTGCTTCCAAGTAGTTATAAATTACACTATATGTGAAGCGATTTTTAGCAGATAAGGTGATAATGTGAAACTAAATAGTTATTGTTATTGTAACACTTTGGCCTACAATCGACCTAGATCAGTTATCTATTGATTACTCCTTATAGCTAGATCACAAAATACCAGAAAAAGATCAACACAAGCAAAAATTGAAACGTTTGAAAAACTTTTGCTGCAAAAATAAGTTCATATCACAATTTCAGTTGCTCTTTAAAGGTAGAAGGAAGAAGCCTAAATATGCGAGTTTAAGCTGGCTGAAGGGCATAATGTCCAATCAATATCCTACTAATCACATCAGAGAATGCAAATCCTGTACAAATAATAGAGAAAATGGACAGCAACATAAAACCTGCACAAAATCTTGTATGTCCTGAAACAATTAATGTTTTAAAGTCTTCTTCGCAATTACTTTTATCCAACCATTTTATGGTTGTACGAATCCGATGCAAACCCAAACCTAATGCTTTAAACTGATCATTGCAGTCGATTCGATTACGTATCGCGGCTGTGGCGGCGACACGCCCACAACAGGCGCCACCTACAAGAAAATCTGCTCCTCGAATCTTTGCAATGCCGGGGTTTATCCGCCGGGTCGCCTCAAATGCCATCACTGCGCCGGCGACAGTTGCGTGGCGGAACCTGCAGGTAAGCCCCATCCCTGCCGCCATCACCACGAGGAGGACGAGTGCTACACGGAGGTGCTGAGCTCGCAGGAGGCCTACCGCGGCTGTCGCTCTGACACGAACCACACCATTGCTGGGGCGACGGAGTACTGCGACATTAATGGCTGCAACGACCTAAAAGCCGCGAGCAGTCTGCGCTGCGCCCGTTGCGACTCCCAGGAAGGACGCGGCTGTAAAATGGATTTGTTTCACATCAACGGCGGCAAATGCAATATATCGCTATACGATCAGTGTGAAATGGAGGTTCTGCTGGCTGGGGAGGGCCAATCTTGCTTCACTTATCGTCGACTGAATCGTGTGGTGCGAGGCTGTACGACGGAGCTGCCTGCGGATATAGACTTGGATGGCTCACAAATTGTGGAATGCGACTCGGATAATTGCAATTTGGGATGCACGGCACAGCAGCGTTGCCTAACCTGCGACTCTGCCTCGAACGAGCTCTGCCTCAGCAATGCCACTGCAGTGGCCAGCAGCGTTTGTGGCTCGGCAGAGAGCTCCTCCTGCTTTGCCTGCGAGTATGCGGATTGGAGCGTGCGTCGTGGCTGTGGCGCCCCGCCCAGCGACGCACCACGCTGCTACCAATGCGATGAGGGCGATGGCTGCAATGCACAGCCCCTGACCCGCTGCTATGAATGCAGCAGCCTGGACGAGGCGGGCGCCAGTTGCGCCAACTGGGAACGACCTGTCGGTATTTTCATCGAGGAGTGCCAAATGCCAGCAGCGCCTTGTCTTATGGCCAGCTACGAGAACGGCACTACTCTGCGTGGCTGTCAGCGTTCAGATTTCAATTGCAGCATGAACGGCTTACTCAGTTGTCGCAGCTGTGAGGGAAGCTTCTGCAACAAGGGCGCCTTTCCAGAGAAGCGCCTTTGGTGTCATCAATGCGTGGGCGGCGCGGATTGTGCCGTCATTAGCGGCGATCCCAGGCCGTGTGATGTGCCTGCAAATGAACCATTGGAAACAACTATGGCCTGCTTGGAGTACTACGATGGCGACAGAGACCAGCCGGTGCGCGGCTGTCGCACTAATTCTCAGCTGTATTACGAATGTTTGTTCCGAAGCGACAAAAGCACAGGTTGTAAATTGTGCCGCACAAATGGCTGCAATGACAGTCCACTGATGCTGCAGCAGACTAGCAAGAAGTTGCAGGAGCAGGCAATGGATTTTCTAGGATTCGTTTCTGGGCGTTCAACAGCCAACAAACTTGCAACATTCCCACACTTTTGTTACTATATTTGTTTAATTTACCATATAATTTCTATATGAAATATAAATGGCAACTAATTTGCTTTTAATTTACTATGAAACCCCAACTCATCGACCATTGCAGCGCTACTGTGGCACTTCTAAGGCGTTCTTACCGGCGCCGATTTGTTCCGGTGGCGCGTAGCCAGGATTTAGCGCACGACCGCGATGATTGAATGAGTAGAACGATGGAAAGTTGCCCAGAGTATCCCAAGTCTTCTCCTGCATGTCCACTGTGGCGCGTATCTCCTTAAAGTTGCCAACAATCTGTATTATGTTGTAAATAACAATGACGAGGCTAACCACGGTCTGAAGTACAATCTAGAATAAAAAGAACAGCAGAAAAGTTAGCAAGTCATACATATAAGTAATGGCTGTACTCACATCCAACGGCAAAGTGGTCCACTCCTGCTCGGTCAGGCGCAAGTATGTACGATCTATTGAAATGTGTAATTTACAAATAAAAGATGTCATATGTCCATATGTATGTACGTATGCATGTAGCAGTACTTACGATGAGCAGCTGAGAAAGCGGCATGCGCCAAGCTAGCAAAGCCAGCGATTAACAGAAACTTGTTCATGAATTTACTGCCCATGTTCCTTTGTTTATTTTTAATTAATAATTATTAAGCAATAATTTTCAACAAATAATATGCGGGAGTCTATTATTTTGACAGTCGCTAAATATATTAAGAAGGAGATGCCACACTTGCGAAATAAAGTGAACAGTGCAAGGAGTTGCCACACTCATAAATTTATATGAGCCGCTCGTTCGTTATTACACCCGCAATTGGATAAACTTAAATTAAACGGAAAAAATGATTGAATTGAATTGCAAATACCCAAAATGCTTGCTCATTCAGTGCTATTGCCACCAGTGCTAACGCTGTTCTCCAACAATCGTTCTTATCAGAAATAGCTGCATCTACATACCGCACACCACTAGTTCACCATACTCACCACTCGATAGCTGCAACTATTGGTATTAGCATCGATAGCTATGCCGCTCATTCGTGTTTTTGACTTCGGGCGCTGTTGTTGTATTCGTTGGTGTATAAATAAAATTTTCAGTGAAAACAACCTGCACAAACGTTCTATTCGTGATTTTTTTGGCGCGCGTCACAGAGCAACAATATTTAAATTTCAATACGAATTTAACGTACAAAATATAACAATATCGAAACCGAAAAGCATTTAAGACACAGTTTTGCGTATTTGTGTGGGCGTCGTGTGTTGTGTTGAAAAATTGTGCGGGTGTGTATGTATCCTGACATCCGTGTCCTGTCTGCTGCAATTCTAGGGTGTGTACCGCATTCGCAACTACAGAAGTTTGTGGAAATTCCAGCACAGGCAAACAAACATTTGCATACTAAAGTGAAAATGTCGGTATCTTCGAACGCCTCCTCCGCATCGTCCTCGGTTACGGGCGTGCCCATAACAAGCAATGGACGTCGACCCTCTTTCGGCCGCAACGGCAGCATCGATTCGTCCTGCACTACGGACAGTTCGGAGCTGACGCACATACTGAACCGTCGGCAGGAGATCATGGATTCGCAGGAAGCGGGCATTGAGGTGCCGCGCACATTTAAGGTGGTAAACGTCTACACCGAATTCCATGAGTTTTCGCGCAAGCAGATCAAGGATTATCAAAAAACCTTTAATACGTAAGTACCATACATAATCTCTTATAGACGTTATCGGCTTTTATTACGGGTCTCCCTTTATATCTATCTCTTTTGTATTATGGAGACTTTTTCTCATGCCATTTTATTTGATTGCACATTCCCACCCAATTCACATAAACTGCAATTGTTTAAGATTGTTTGCAATAAAACTTCATCATGCTCATTACTTATTACTCAACAACAGCCTCACAGTGACAGTGTCAGGCTAAATAGGCGGCTAAAAATGCATTTAACGCCTGGGAATTGGCTGATTACAAGGGGATTGGGGTACTTGGGGGCCGGCTTATGACTCAGCGGGCTTTGTCACAGCTAGTTGCACATTCCGTGTTCTGCGGACGCTCGCATGAGTCAAAGTCACAGCCAATATTTGCAGTGTAGCTATATATATAGTTTACCTGTATATATAGTTTACCTGTGAGGCTCAAATTTCATTATTTCTTTCTACTGGCACACGTCAGGTGTGATAATAGCGCGATTCATTTCTCATTGGACCATTAAATGGCCTTTCTACAGTTTCCTTAGGTTTCTGCGGTTACACCCAGTTATTTGGCCTGACGTGTGCGATGAAGCGCTCGGCATCTGTTGTATAATAAATAGCTCGCGACATTTTATTTTATTGAATTCATTTCTCAAGTTCAATTCCACATAATAAGCACGTCCGTATGTATGACGCTTTTAATTTAGCTGATAAGCGGCAACTCAACTATCTGAGCTCATCCAATTGGACTTAGCTTGGCGTTCTGATTACAGTTTTATTAAATATCGTCTCATTCCCCCCACCAACAAGAAACCCCTCCGATAGTGTTAGTAATTCCACTGATAATACTATCTCAAGTATTCAGACACTCTCATCCTCTAAACTTATCATCATGATTATGAATATGTCGCCTTAAATGTTCCGTCAATTAGATAATATTTAGGGTCTTTACGATAGCCTAATTAATTGCTTAAAAATCTTACGTTTCGCAGACCTTTCATTCCACATTTTCTAAGAAATCATAAGGTCCATGGAACTTCCTGAAAAATAGATCTATTTTATATAATTAAATAATGAATACTTAGCCTACAATGTCAAGCTTCTGAATAATTCATTCGGTTAATTCATTAGTCGCGCTTAAAACAATGCATGAAAGAACAAATTTATTTCATTCGTTTAGCTAAGAAAAATTAATGCCAAATGGCCAAAAGCACTCTCTGGAGTTGATTTTTCCATGTACTTCTGCATTCTCTTTGTTGGGTTTTAGCTTAAAGTGACGGGCGCGAACTTTTCTTTTGACTTGGAACCAGGGGCTTTTTTAAAGGTGTTGGCCACATGTGGGTCAACCCTGCCCCAAACGGCAGTCACGCCCCAAACAACAGTCAGTGTGTACGCAATGCTGTCATAAACATTGGCAAATTGCCAAAATGAAATGTTGCAACGAATCGAAGCAATGGAAATTACTGTGCGGCAACTGAACGTGCCTCGCAACTGCAATGAGTAGCGCCACAAAGTCTGGGAAAACTTACAACTGTCTAACAATGTTTCTTTCCCTAAAAAGTACAAGACTGTGTCGTGTGTCGTATAAACACCTAGGTCTCGGACACAACAAGAAATGTTCACTAAAATTTCGTTTAATATTTGGTTTTTAATTTTTATAATAACACATAGACACCCGACTATGTATAACGTTTCCACTTGTTTTTGTAAAAAAAAAACCCTAAGAATTGATGTTTTAAATGAAAATGAAAAGAAGTTTTAGTTTTTACAGTCGATATTTGTTCTTAATATAACATACAAGGTTGTCTTCTTTAATTTTGACATTAATTTAATTAAAAAAATATATTTTAAAACTTAATTTATTAACTATTTTTAAATCATACTAAAAAAGTATCCCATAGGACCATTATATCGTAAAATATCGTATTATTGTGATAGAAACTTTCAGGCAATGCTGTATTTTACTAAAAATTAAATACAATTTCATACAAAATAGATTTTTATTAAAAAAAAGTAATATAAGTTGCATCAAATGCTCAAAAAAAAATGTAGGTAATATAATTGAACATAATGTACCTCCTTTTTGTCAATAATTGAATTTAAAAGACATATCTGGGGCCGAAACCTAATCTGATTCAAGCCAGTATCCAAGCATCTCTACTGCGCAGTGTCGTGACTCTAAGACGTTGTTGTTGTTACTGTTTTTGTTGTTACAAGTATTATAGGAAACCTGTAGAACTGGAGCGTCGAGTACTTTGGCATTTAAAATCACGACTCTGCTCATCCGATAATTATTTTTCGCAACACGCAAACGTGTTAATTTAATTTAAAATCAAGCTCCTGCCGCATTATAAAAACCAAGATGGTTGAAATTAATATTTACATACCCGTCATATGTTCATTTGTTTACGTTTTCATTGTTATTGCTTTTATTTGTGTGAGTCACTATGCGGAATTGTGTTTTGCATTTCAATTTAACATTTTAAATTGTTGTTTTTTTTTTGCCGACCATAGCTATCGCTGCATTAAATTGCCTCTGAATCAGAGCTCTTTCCAAGAAACGCCGCACTTGTTCTAATATATAAACAAATCCGATGCGTTATACGCAGAACAAGAACATCAGTTGTGGTGGCCGGAAATCTCTGAATATTTACATTATTTAAAGGCTGTTTAAAAAATTGAATGAAATATAATTGTGTTGAGGCTGCAAAATGAGATCGAAATTGTGTCGAAAAAAGGCGCTATAGATACTTACTTATTATATTGTAAAACGTAAAAATCGAGTTGAAAATTACGGCTGATTCATACGCCGTACTCACTCCGGTGATCGTGAATCACATATTCTTTTGATTTACATTATTAGGGGAAGGAATACAAAGGTACCCATGTACAAATTTGTATAAATTAGTAACAGAATTTATGCGTTGTTGTGCAGGGCATTTGTTTGGTTTAAATAGCATTATTTCTTTTGTTTAAATATTAAGAAATATAATATATATCAATGAACAATTTTCTATTTTGAGTTCGTTTGAAAATCATTATTTAGCTTTGTCTTACTCACAAGCCAATTATTGTAGTTTGTGTAAATTAAAGTTAATGCGCTTTTCCAACCTACCACCACCCACCATCCACTTTTTCTTAGCATGGGGCTATCACACGCATACATACATACATTCATATGTATAGGCATATCATGTATAATACAGGCATGTTAAATTTTAACAGCATCGTAGTTTTTTGTTTGTTGATTTTTCGTTTTAATTTCCTGTTTCACATATTAAGTCGCAATTTTCCGCAATTTTCCTGCGCTCACTGGCTGGGCTGCCTTTGGTTTGCTTAAAAGCGTTTCCGGGCCGAGACGATAAGCATACACACAATATTGTGTGATGGTCTTTCGTTGTGGTGGCGTGTGGGTGTGCAATCATTGTTAGAGGCGCAGCTTAATTGTATTGATTATGCGCTTAGGCTAGCAACAACAACAACTCAATTAAACATATACATACATACATAAATCAGTAGTTTGGAGAAGCACAGAGCATCATTCTCGCATGTCTTATCGGATACATGCACACTTAACAGTCGGTCATGCAGCGGTAAATCTCCAAAAAGACTTAGTAGAGTAACAGCTCTCTCTTGGGTATTGCCCATCAACTTTTTCTCTGATTCATTTTGAATTCAATGTCGCACTCTTTATTGTAGAATCCGCATGCAAATCCAACTGTAAAATGGTGCGCATACACGCATACACACCTCCCCACACCCACACTCACACATTTTGTAATATCTGTGGTGATTTTTGTTTGCTTGTCTGGTGGTGTGTTGATGCCATGGTCATGTCAACGCTCTGACACTTTGGTTTGTTGGGTTCGCAGTTGACCAACGAGTACAATTTGAGTTCAAGGCAAATGCGCTTTACCCATTATGCTTAGTTACATGTGTATGGTTACTTTTGTTGTTGTCATTTGTATGTGCTTGTGGGGGGTTCCATGGCAGTGGCGCGAGAACTTTTAATTAAGCACACAGCCAGCAACCACCACTCACCATTATTGCACAAAAGCCCACTCTAGCATGCGTACTAAGTGTATGCCTGTATGTAAAATAGGGTTGTGTTGCACATTTCGGGACAATTGCGGCCGCAATTTAGCCTCAAGAGTTGCTGAACTTCCTGCAGGGAAGTAACAAGAGTTGCGGCGACAGGTTCATTGACATCGTTTGCCAACCAATTTAGAATTCTAATTTGTTTGCATTTTTGCGCCATGTATATACTTATATTCATTTCTGTATGTATGTCTGAACACACAAAGTCCGTTATCTATGTGTAGTGCATACAAAATTGGATAGTTCTCGCTCTCCGATAACCAACTTAAATGTCGATAGCAATGTTGTGACCACCGATGGATCCTTCCTTCCTTCCTGTGCAACATTGTAAAAAGCATGATTTGATTGCTTGTTTTTGTGTAAGGCCTAAAACTATTATAAGCTCGAATTTCAACAGAAATTTATAAACTTAAGCCACTGGCAACATTCACATGCCAAAATGGTTTGAATAAGTAATTGCTTCATTAGCATATCTGGAATCTATCTTTCCAACAGTTTGTGTGCTTGTCCAGCAGATGTGAAATATCACCTTGAATTTTAGCTTTGAAGTTACTTCAATAACTCAAAAAACACTACTTGTATGCACATACATTTTTCAATGTAGGCTAAAAGGCAAATGGGCTTTCATCATGTACGATTTTAGGCCTATTGCAAAGCAACTGCAATGTTATACGTGATGTGTATGTATAAGTATGTATTGCATACAAATTTCTTGTTGATTTCACTCAACACATGCGGGCGGAGCTACATACAAAAGTATATATTTTTATACAAAAGTATAGCTAGCATTTGATGGTCAGTTAACCGATAGCAATGTGAGGAGGGAGTTCTCATTTGTTTCCATTTCGAAACCCCTGCAAGCACTGCGCAACAAAGAAATAAACTGATATATACATACTTGTAG